TGGAGAATCCGAAAACAGAATATAACATTGACCGTTTAGGTCCTATTTGCAATTATAATACAAAAATTACATGCCAATAAGGCTTTAATCTATAATTTTGTTACTGATTTCCGATTTAGAATTTAATCTACATTCAGAACTCAAAAACAGAATTTAAAAATTCCAATTATTATAGAAGGTGAATTTGGTGAAAAAAGATCCTAAGTGTGTAAAGGCTTAAAAATGTACGCAGCTTAAAGAGGACCTTTTTAGCTATAATATAAAGATGAGACAGTTCATATTACTCCATTGATTCCCAAGATACAGGGCGTTTTCCGCACCAACTTTTTAACTAATTTAAAAAATCGGCAGTTTTCAATGAGTACTTATAAGCACATCGTATGGGTTTAAAGAATTAAAGAGATACACATTTGTAGAGAAATTTGTTAGCTATCACATGAAAATTAGATAGTTTAAATTACTCCATTGGTTCCCGAGATACAGAGCGTTCCTTGAACTTTCATTCCACATTGTAAACTTGCAATAGTGTCCATCATATCAATTGTAGCAACCCCCAACGAATTGGCAATATGCACTGTCTGTATTTGTATTTGTTCACGAATGATTTAAACGCACGAACGCAGCCGCATCAACCGCCGCCACCGCAGCAGACTCAGCAGGTTGGAGAGCTGCGTCCGTGACCTTATTCGTCTTCGTTCGTGCAAATTTTGTCACCTATGTGCATAAATCATTCAATGTCAAAATGCCGATCACATCACATATCCCACGCACGTCGTCATTCATTTGCAAACATTCAGGGCTCGTCCCGCTAGGGCGTTTATCCATGGACATACAATATGAAAGCCGCTCGCATTTCGTTACGTGCACGTTGGTACCGGGAAGTGCACTCGAATCGTATAAATGCCAAGAGTTTGCGCAGCAAAATAGCAAACTCGCTCACTTGAGGTTCGCGCCACCGCTTTGTTTTGTTTAATTAATTTCTCAAACATGTTTATTGCATGCGGCGTCAGCGGCAACTACGAGTGCATCAACTAGCGTTTTCGGTTACAATTGTTTCATGCAAACCGGGCGGAAACGAAAATATGCTACATATCCAACGAAAACCTGATGAATGTTATCTTGTTCCACTTTTTATTTCGGAGCATGCTAATTGAAATTTAAAGCATGTCGTAAGTTTTAGTAAACTACAATAATTACAATTAATATTAACATTGAAAGAATGGAAGTGATTGAATAAAAAGGTTTAGTGAAAATTAATGCATGAGCACAACACAAACTATTATGTATTCATAAATTTAAAAAATAAATAAATAGAAGTATAATATACTACTTAATATGCTAGCTACCATAAAATCACTACCGCAATTTTTCCACGCGGCTATGGATTTGTTTTTCATACCTACCAATTTAAAATGCAACCACGTAATGAGACACGTGCACTTTTCTCGTCTGGATGCGTTAGTCTAATTGTGTCTACTCGGACATGCAAGCATCGTACACCGTGCGACGCAAATGATATGCTTTTTTAATCCGTCTTCTTTTTCATTTATCTCACTGCAATCCTGCAAACTCGGGACCAGCGAGTCAACAAAGCTTTCTTTCTAGTAGAAGTGAGTTTCGTGTATGTACGAGTAAAAGAAGAAAAGGACAAAAACGAGGTGCCAACTTTGACTTATCTTATAAATTATGATGGCGATAAAATAAAAATACGAACTTCTCTTGAGACTGAGCTTTATGTGACAAATATAAGATTGAAACAAATACGCGACGAGCATCAATTCAAAAGAAGCAGCCAACGTTCCTGTTTATCACAGATTCCATTGCGCCACCTCAGAATTTTGTCGGTTTCCTACGGTTACAGTATGTTGTCGTAAAATGAATTTTACGCGGTGCACTCACACACTGGTGCACGTTAAAATGCAATTTTATCGACTGTCACAACTGAAAGTGGAAATTGTAGAGTGCGGCGGCATCGTTGGTGATGTTTCAGTTTCCGATTTTAAACTAATTCAGTGCGACGTGTATAAATGGAAACGTATTGTTTTTTGCAACTTTATCGACGCCCGTCGAGTGAAATAACATTACTAACCGTATAAATGTGACCGCTCGCCGTCCGGAAACCTCTTTTCGCGCTACACGTCTGGGCGCTGGGAGTCGCATCAATTGAAACGAGAGGCCGCAAATGCCCGGAGGTGTCGCGCACCTCCAACCCTTCCTCTACATTCCATCCCGCGCACCGGAGAAAAACGCTAAAGGGATGAAATAAAAATTCATTCTCACTTCCAGCCGACTGGTCAACAGGACGAAACACAATAAACGTGAAGTAGCTTAAAAGCGACCACACAATCCGGTGAATATTAATTTTTTTCGCAAATATTTATTCCCTCACTTAACCTATTTTACAAAATGTGGCAATATCAAAATTAACGTTAGTTAGGAGTTTCGATTGACGTCGCAGCTTAGTGTATTTTTAATAGCACATTCACATTACAACGAGCAGCAGATACCCGTCGGCCGATACCGACCGTTTTATTCAATTTTCCCAAGCCGTTTCGGCATGTACAAGCGTCACATCGAATGGATTTCCATTTACGTGTAAATAGCAAATGTAATTTTATTTTGCTCCTGCTGATTCCAATCTCTCAGGCGTACAGGAAAAACTATTCAAAACGCAGCGGTCGTTTGAAACCAGAAAAAAATAATCGCTGCGACAAAAACTCTTAATTAAACGCGCGGCGGCTTCAAGGATGTTTGTTTATTGAAAGTCGACTACCGCCCTCCCGTCGTGCGGTATACCCAAACAATGGCCGCAACTATTTATTAAATCCATTTCAATTCAGTTCGCCAAGCATAACGTTATAATAAGCTGGTGTTTGTGTTTATTAAACGAGAGCAAACTTTTCGTAATTATTACTATTTAAGTGGCTTTTTATTGTGCTGGTGGAATAATAGGTATTGACAAAACGACAGAGAATAAAGCCAGGACAAAAGTGTTTTATTCAGTAATAGTGGCATTAGTATAGTCATTGTACACATTGTTTGTCGAGCGTTTCTGCAATAATGAGGAAATAATTGATTTTCGGGAAGTTTCTTGTTGAGGATGTTAGATGGTAATAAACCAAGGTAAGTATATTAAATTATATACAAATATCTATTAGGTATCGTATGTACATATAACAAATAACGAAAATATGTAAAAGTATATTTTGCAACTCCAATTAGTAGTTTTCATTTAATAAAAATTCAAAATTACAAATAGTTGATGGTTTTATATTTGGTTTACTGCATTCCATCTTCCTGATACAATAATAAACAATAACCAACCTCAATGTCAATATAAAATCATGTTCAACGTATATATTTTTTGTGATAGCTTTTTATTAAAGCCGTCATGATTGAATGTTCCAAACAGGCCAAAAAATAATAATGCGTTTCATTTCGATTGCAATGTAAAAAAGCAACCGGAAATGGAAAACGAAGTGAAAATATAATATAAATCCAAAAATTATGACACTTTTACTCTGGGGATTTCGGAGTGCTTCGCAGACGGTTTGCACGAGCAGGCGTCTATGTACTTCCATTCACTTTAGCGACACAGGCACATATACCGTCGTCACCCATTTTGTCTTTGCTTTATTCTTTTGCTACAGTGCGAGTCCATTATTTGTTTTCGTGCGAAATTAAATTTGCTACAATGATGCTTGTCTTTTTATGTTTGTAATGGAGTTGTTTGATGTTTTGTTACCATTTCCAGCTTTCTTCCAATCTCTTTTTCGAAATTCTGATACCTATACCTATATCCGTATCTCAAACAATTTTCGGCTCAAATTCATGCAGCCACAATGAAGATATTTCAACAGCGCGGCGAAATTAGAATTTTTATAGATAATTAATTTTTCTTAACGGGCGTCTTTAATACAGTGACTGTACACTAATGAATTCGGTGCGGAAGCCATTTGGTTTTCGTCTTTCGGTTTTACCTGCCTTCTTCGAACCTGACGATCTTGGTTTTGGAGGCAAAGGTTAGGTTAATTAAATTTTGTGATTGACTGTTATTATTATTATATGCGTTGTCAAAGCGCCACACAGATCTGAATATTTTCGGAACTGGTGGCAGAATTTTCTCCGAAGCGTTGAAAAGTTTCGACGGAGACGCGACACCTAAGCGACGGCTGCCGTTTTCGAAAATGTAATTTGCCGTGCCTCACCGCTACATGCCCGGAACAAACTATTCCAACTTGTGCAATATAATTAGCCGCATACTTTAATTATTATTAATTTTCGTTTCACGCAGACGGCGCCACGCATATAGTTCTATGGGAAAGTGAGTGGAAAACATGTTCGCTCACATGTGGTCGTGTCGGATTACAAGCGACCCGTTCTTATTTGCGATTATAACTTTACTTATGAAATTAGTAACATATTGCCACGCGACATTCGACTCATGAAGTAAACCCAACTTGGAACTACTGTTGGAGTTTACTAATAATTATACCGAATAAAATATGGTGTTAAAAGCCTAGAAATCAAGGACAACAACCTGCGGTTTGTCCACTTGAAGCATTGAGCGACATCTCCCGGATTCTGTTATCAAGGCAATAGAGACACGCAGGCGCCGATTTATTGGCTGCGAATTCGAGCGTCTCTTTGAAACGCGCTAAACGTTCACATTCCATCCGAAGGAATGAAACTCATATGGCGTTTAATTATAGTTTAAGCACTCTCCGACTCGTTAACCCCTAACGAGTCCGAATGTCGTTTTTCACCAGCGACGCAAGTTTTCAATTAATTGATTAACAAGTTGCGCCTCTCGCAAGTTGTTAGCTGGCTGGAAATTACAAGTTCGCAAACTTTTCGTATGATGTGTATCAGCGCGTGCTCTACAATTACAATTAGCACAAACTCGTTTGTTGTTTACGAAATAATTTATCACGATGTCGAGGAAGTGTGGAAAGTGTGGAGAGGCGAGGACAATCAAGCGAAGGTGTTAGATATACACGTTGGAGTCTGACATTTTATATATTTTCATGTTCATTCATACGATCTGATGCCATGGCTTTGTCATAAAAATACAGCAGTAGTATAAAAAAATGTTGTCCGCGCGAACGCAGGCCACAGACGCGTGAACAACAATTACGAATTCATTTTCTATCTTTTTTAGAGAGATATTTGTTAGGAATGTTTTACATACTCATATGTATAGCAAGATATTCTGACATATTTTGTCTATAATATACAAAAATAAATATTTGAACAAGGCTCTTACAAGGCTCGCATACACTACGTACGGTACGTAGTCTATGAAGAAGTCGTATCATTGTGCAACAGTTTTTACATCGCGAATAGTAATTGGTCACCTTGAACATACCATATGTCGTCTTCTAAGGGCCTTGTTACTTATTGACATCGACAAAACATTTACTTTATAAATACAGAAATAGCATGGTTACTTATGCAGTTAATAAGGGTATCATCCAATATGGAAAATTCACATTTAAACATTTACATAAACAAGTGAGCAAATAAACCGAGTATCACAAAAGTTGTAAATGAATCGACGAAATCGCAAACATTGTCTCGTTACGTCATGTTAACGTTGACTTTGACTATTTGCATTGCCTGTGAATAGATTCCACATCGAAGCCGGGTGCGCGCAGTCATTGTTTTAATGTTTGCACGCTGCACTGGCGTTTCTATGAAAGGACGAAATTAGGAAGTATGTAGTTAATTATTCATAGGAAACTATTGAATGCGATAAGTAAACGAGAAACTCGAATCGAGCGCGAGCGAAATAATTATGCTGGCGAATCGTATCGAATGCATTGTAGGTAGAATTCGATTTGGTGTAGAAAATTGATGCGATTTGGACCACACTACTGGTTGACGTAATTACGCAACCATTTGTAGATTTCCGCCTGGTTCTGCGTCACCCAATTGATGTTCAACTTGATCGTTTCGAGGCTCTGCTCCAGTGCGCGCGATGCCGAACCCACATGCATTCCTTTGAAGTAGGTAGACACCTGTTAACAAACATAATTCGTGAAACCAACCACATTCGCCCATGTAAAATTATATTATCTAAAGTTTTGGAAAGATGTTGATAGATTTTAAGATCAAATATGAAGCCTTGTTTCCCCTGATGTTATTATATGATATAAAAGGGCACGGAAAAAGAATGTGTCTCAGTATGTGAGGATAACTTGGCTCGGAAATAATCACGGACGGCGAAAAGGCCAGCACACCGAGCAATCGAGGGCATTGCCATTACCGCCTCTATCTATTTCATTTCCGACGGTATTCCCAGGCGACGTATTCGTTTTTCTTCCCGGCGAGTTTTCTTCGACCGGCCAGCGTTATTCCCAGGCTCTACTTAAGCAATGTAACACACACGCCAGGAAAGTCGCATCGAGGAAAACTTTATTTGCTGAGAGTAATACCCGCCACGTTTATTACGTAAAGTAATAGTTTGATGGATTGCTCTGTTCCACTGTTCTAACAAGTTAAAGAAATTCGCTACAGTTTTGTGCTGACGTCAGAGAATTGAAACTTGCAAGAAATGGTAAATTCAATCATTAATTAGCAATTAATTAAATGAAAGCCACAAATTATGTACGCCTACCTATTGTTCTTTGTTTCTATTTAAAAAATATCCAACTGACATGCAAGAGGGATTAAATTAAATTATGTTGTTGAATCAAAATCATTTCGGGAATATTTTTAGATTAATAGCGTTGAATGATGTTACAAAGTGAATCTAGTTTTTATTGTTTCAGTACCAATAAATACCGCAATGCAAATAACTTTTATACGCGTGCTCTTAGACTGAAAGATAAAATTTTATCGTCATTTTAACGCAGTTGCGCGGCTTTTGATTCGCATGAAATGGAGAAGAGTTAACTGTTCCCCTTCTTCATTTATGTACACTTTTACGAGACATCAAGACAAAAATAGACCTTTAACTTGTTATACAGATTCACATATTTTAATCTCGTAAATTTTATTCCTACCTCATTCCTAAGCTTAAAAGGGTATCTTTTGTTCAGCGTAAGCCTTACATTGTTTTATTTTTCATGCGGTTTCAAGTGGGTGGCTTCTGCTTTCTGGGCCGAAAGCAGCTGTAATACGTGACGCGCGACTTCGTGCGCGAGATTTAAAATTTATCCCCTTTTGTCGAGCACACTTTTATTTACCGGAATCCATTTTGCATAAGTGAATTTGCGCAGGAATTGAAATTTTATTCATTCATTCCGGCGGTCGTTCATTTATTATCCGACCTCGCGGTAAATCTAGTGCATAAATTGACCTTTGCCAAAAAAAAAATATTTTGGGTTCATTTACAATACCCACAACAGTGTAAATATGCGAATTTATATGCATCAAATTAAATAAATAGAGATATGTAATATTAAAAGTGACTCACGTCGTAGTAATCGTAAGGTGTCGACAGGTGTGCGGTGACGGCTGATATGAGGCCGCCCATCATGAAAGTGGCGTTGCCGAACAGCGACTGCATTGTCGGCCAATATGCCTTAAGATGTCGCCAAGCATGCAATCGACCTTCAGGATTGGCGGAAACAACCGCCAATACAATCTTCACATCTTGTGGTTTAACCATGTCGCGTTCCAACGTCTCCAGTAAGTACCTAAACGAGAAGAAACCAAAATTAAGAAGTCGTTTGATAGTGAAGCGTTAAACGTTACCGTTGCAGGAGCCAAGGATCAGACGCGGCGCCCAATGCCTTCAGGAGCAATTTGCGCTCGCTAGCGACTTTGGTCGTGTTGTAAGTGTCCCAGCAGTGCTGCCATTCCGCCAATCCGCCATATTTAATACCAGCCGTGTATACAACTTCCTTTAAATCGGAGGGAACAGTTTCATTTTTAGTCATCCAGTTTTGAAAGACGGTTTTTGCTTGCGAAACAGTGTCGTTGATTTCGCACAAAACGGCAGTGGATAAAATGCTTGATCGCATTAATCTGATAATAAATATAAACATAACAATTATTTTAATATAAATACTAAATAAATTAAAATAATAATAAATTACTTTTTGAGGTGAGGTCCCTTATCATTCCAACCAACGAATTTCGTAACTGGTGTCATAATTTTCCGCATATACTGTAAAAAGAGTTTGTATGACAGGGATTCAGAGAGAATGCGACTCCATGATTGAAAGTGTTCAATAGCGGTTGCCCACGGAACGTAATCCCGTTCGTTGATCAAATACAGCGACATCTCCAACGGGACAGTCGCGTTCAGTAATCCAGCTCTGAAATCGCAATATTCATGAGTGTCACATGGATTATGCGGGATGACCATTAATTACCTGCATAAAGTGAACGCGTCGTCGATGAGACTCGCGCGGTCGGCAGCATTGAACACGGTGTGATTTTTACGCAAAGTGTTGATAATAGCCGCCCACATGGCATCATCATACATCACTCGATAGAAACCTGATTGATTGACGTTAGCTTTGATCCATTTCACATCCGGGTCTATTTCAAATCGCACTGCAAATTAAAACATTCTTTGTGAAACTGACAATCACAATTTATTGTCACTCACCATCGGACATATTCATCCAGACGTTATAAACACATTCGGTATCATTGTCGGCGATGTATGTTAATGGCACGTACCACTTGTACTCGTGTTTGGATTTTGGCATTGATCTTGCTGTGCTATTGACACCTTCGGTTGTTAGAAGGAAACGTTCCTGAGTTGCTATTATTTCGTTGTCCTCACGTGTGATCGTAATTAATGGAAAACCCATTTGTTGTGTCCATGTGTCCATAATTAGCTAAAGCAATCGCAGCGTTAGTAAGATTTAAATTTTTTGTTTAAAAATGAAAATTTTACCTTAACATCTAGAGATTGATTTGTATTTCTACTGAACACATTCCAAAGTTCTTTGGTGTCGGCGTTATTAAATCTATACGTGTTTAAATAATCATTGAGACCGTTTTGAAGAGTTTCCTGTTGGAGAAACTTCCCCAGCATGTGCAAAATGGCGGCACCCTAAAATGATAATTGACATATGATTGACTACTTATTAAATATTTATAAAGTAACCTACTTTGCTGAAGGAGATTGTATCAAAAATAGCTTCGATTTCATTCGGGTCATGAACAGGTACGGACACTGGATGGCTGCTGGAAAGCGCGTCTAAAGCTAACGCTGGCTGCGTTTTATCTACAATGAACTGTTCCATCATCTTCCATTCGGGGAAAAGATTATCGACGCCAAGATACTCCAAAAAGCTGGCGAATCCTTCGTTCAGCCACAAATCGTTCCACCACTTCATCGTGACCAAGTTGCCGAACCACTGCGCGTGGAAGAAAAAAAGATAACAATGCGGTATTATCGATCCGATTCAATTCCGCTAATGAAATAGGTACCTGGTGTGCGAGCTCGTGCGCGATTATAACTGCGATGCTTTGATGTGCAGCTGTTGAGGTTTCCACGGGATCAAAGAGCAAGGAAGACTCACGGAACGTGATCAATCCCCAATTCTCCATTGCACCCGTTGCAAAGTCGGGTATTATAACAAGATCTACACAGATACCACAATATTAATGACATTAGTCTATTTTTAACAAAATTTACTGAAAATATTTTATTACCTTGTTTGGGTAATGGATATGGCACCATAAAAAAATCAGCGTAATAATCCATAATATGCGTGGTAATATTAAGGGCAAAGAACGCTTGGGAAGTAAAAGTTGGCGGTGTGTAAACGGTGACGGGAAAGCCACGATCGGAGTTAGTATTCACGTGTTCGTAATCGCAGATTACGAAAGCCACCAAATAAGTGCTCATCTCAACGGACTCTTTAAAATCGTCACGCAGCTGTAAAATTACATTCGGAATTTAATTATCTTTGGGGATGGAGAAATTTGAAGGGTCCATAATTGGATTGGACCACCCCCAGACTAAATGTTTTACTCACCAAACCAGTACCCATGTAAAAGCCAACATCTTCGGTGGTCACAACCGGCATATTGAACAGCGCTATGTGGAAACGGTCCCGAAATATGGACATTTTGAATTTCGCCTTGAGTTGCGGCTCGTCGAAGCAAGGGAAGGCCGCTCGGGCATACGTCGGCTCAAAATGAGTCGTCGCCAGGAACCTGCATGTCATTTAAAAAAAAAACTCATTTTATTCCCCTTTTCTGTGCATACAACGATTTTTTAGGTTCACATTAGGGGCATGCATAATAAGTGAAACTGACAGTTTCCCGTTGATTGCGGAAACTAATGTATTTTCATTGGTGTAGCGTGTTGGTGTAGTAAATCACAAAAGGGTTGCTTCCCTAAAGTTATATCGATCGCGATAGTAATTGCCCCGTGCAACACATGACAAATATACCTTTTTGTAGAATATTATAAAGAAAAATAATAATAAATAAACAAAACATGTAAAATACACGCGATAAATACCTGGTATCCCCATTTTCGTTGGTATAAGTAGAAACATAGAAGCCCTCGTAATCCATCCCTAGTTTTGTCGTGTATCTAATATTTAATGTATAATTGTTGCGTTTACGAAATTTATCCTTAATCTCTATATAAATTTGTTGAGCACCGGTGTATTCCAACATCTTAGTTATCCTTAAGTTGTGTCCTTTTCGGTCCTGTATCATCTAGAAAATTAAACCAATCCGACTTAATACAATGCAATACACTCTCTCTTACTGCATGACGTTACCTTATCAGTGATAGAAAGGTTTTTACTGTGCAGAACAATAAAGTGAGTATCTTTTTCTACGTGAAATTCTATGGAAACTTGACCTGAAGACAACAAAGAAACAACATTACAGTAACGCACATGGTTGTTACGACACGTGCACACGTGCAACACGAAGCGTTTAGCATCGCGATCGCAGTTCGGCAAGTGTGCGTGTGCAGCAGGTCGACAAAAGCATTTCGCACCTTTTACTTCGAGCGTGGTGAGATTCGGGTGAATGGTAATATTGTAGCGGGTCGGTTTGATATAAGGGGGAAGACGAACGTTGTTCCATGGGAATATTTGGCCGTTCGTCGCGCGAGGGACGAACGTTTTCGTCACGTTCCAATCCTCGTCGACGAAATTAGGGGGTTTCTCCCCGGCGCACGTGCAGTCTGAAAATACAAGCAGAGAAAACGCATTATAGCGGCTCTGCCAAGTGCATCCACCCTTTATATCTTTCTCTCTTTTGTATCAACTCACTACTCGCAGTAAATATTGTAATAAAATCGGTAAAATTGAAATTACCGCTTTGTGGACCTGTATATGCGATGATGACCGACGTGAGGAAGAGCAGAGCGAAAACGACGGTGGCGATGAAGAGTGCACGCTTCTGAGAGCACGCGGCGACCCCATTGTTTTCGTAGAGACTCTTCTTGGTTGGACCGGCAGGACTTTCAGTTCCTGCAACACCACCTAATTCACAGGCAAGGTTATTCGTGTAGGATGCGGATGGACACAGCGTCTGAGAAGTGTAACTGGTATGCGTGTGATTTGTACCTGTAAGAAACGCAACATCGTCAACATCCTGCTCACTCATTACGGCCTGACCGCGTCTCCAAACGACTGCTTCAATGTTGCGCTCTTCTTCACTATCGACGCTCGCTTTTACAAACTGACCACGATTGTTGCCCTCCAGAGTAAAGATTTGAGCGTATCAAGGTGTTTTTAGACGGAATTAGGGGTGGATTTTTTGTCGGATGGACTCGTGAGGTTTGCGTTCACCGATGCCGCACCAACGCCGCGTGACTGGAAGCAATTCCGATACCGGTGGGCAAATCTACATCGTCCAAAATCGAAGCGCCATCGATCGTCCAGGCAAACGAAAAAAAACCAACGCGGACACAATGCGAGCGGTTTTCCACACTTTCACACACAGTATCAACACGTTTGAATGCCTGCAAGCACGATTCACACTGCCGCGAACAATTCTTCAGACGCCTCCCGCACCAACGCGACTACTAGCAGCCGCATCGGCCTCGGTCATCCCGAAAGGCAAGTTACGACGCTCACGGATTGATAGCATGCGCGCGTTCCCGGAACGCCACCGGCGCAATAGCTCAATACTCGGGAAGGATCCTACTTGTCCTGCGCCGGCTCGCACGTGCTTTTATTACAAAAAGCGGCAAACGACAGAAAACATTAAAAACAACACGCGATTAAAAAAATAAACAATTTAATATCGACTAAACTATTAAACCTTATTTTATAATATGGTGACTATGGGTGGAACATTGAAGCATTGGATCGTTTATTGGAAAGTGTCATGTGAAAAAACATTTTAAAATGTTTGTATCTATATTATAAATGTTACCATTTCCATTTTGCTTGTATCTTCCCATCGGTTCCATCGGAATCTCAACTGGAGCGTCCGGCGGCGGCGAGGTGCCCAACGGCATTGTTACACGCACCGACACAATGTGGGCGTCATCCTTACCACGCAATATTAAAGTTTTAAATCTTAGCTTGCTAACGAATACTTTAACTCAAAACTATTCATTCCTCACACTCCCACGGTTAACCAGAGAATGTAATCGGGTAAATACACATACTTTAACCCGTTTCCTTCGTGCGAACCTGTTGATTATAAATTAATGTCGAGTATTGTTCACAAAACGCGTTGGAATCAAAAATTGAATCAAATATTCCGTTCTATCACGCACAAAATACGCGCGCCATCTGATATTTACACTTTCGTTGGTAGATAATAACACACGAGGATAATTGTATGCGTCGCACGACTTACGACGAACGGAGGCGGCACACAAAGCCGGTGCGCGGCGGGAAAGGACCATGCGCAACTCGGGGATGGACAGATCGAGCGCACTTTTACAGTTTACACGGTTTATGGCATTCGACTGTGGTCATTGCCGGCTAGACACTACAATCTGGATGCATCACGCTTCATGCAGTATTGATTTTCCATTACTCCCGTTATCCATCTCACACTCGCACCCTTCGAGCAAACATGGCTGGGGCATTTTACCCCTATAATTGCATATTTCGGAGAGGAATCATCAGGGGTGCAGTTGGATCTCATATTGATCTCGAACGCAGCGGGCAACAGCGCATGCCCACAACGCGGTACAAGAATAATGAATATGTTAAATATTTCAATTTTTCTTTATTAACATACTGTGTAATTACACATTACAGATTGATTCTGAAACATGTTCAAATACCTTTACTATTACCTATTACAATTGCTTTTGAATTCTTGGTGTTTTTATTTATTTTGGTGGGAGATTTTCTAAACCCTAAAACAAAATTTATGTATTATATACAATTTAATGATATATTTTGCATGTATTAACTTACTGCTACTTTGTAGGCACTGCCACCACTAATTCTACTGTCCCTTATGTAGCTCATACGGTTTTCAAGAGTCAGCATACTTCTTCTGTATCCCTGCAAAGATGTAAAGAATTATTATATAGTTTCACTTACGTGTATAGATAGTTTAGTTTAGTATAATTTAAAATAGTGCAATAATGTCTGTAGATATGAAACAAAATAAAATAACTTATCCAATAATTATATAATTTAACCTCTAATATAATACATACGTTTCCAAGAACAACCTTGTTGATGAGGTAGGAACCAAAGGGAGGCAGTGAGAGGGCTGCACAGATGATGCCAAAACTGGGTAAAATTTCATACCACATTTTGTTGTTATGCTAGCAACAACCACCTTAGAAATGGGTTTATTTGTTGATGTGGGCAAGGCGAGTGACACTGGCAACTCGCTGTGTATGGATGTGTGTAGTATATCTGACTAACCTACAAGTAGACAGTAATTTAGGCGAGTGGCGAGTATTTGAATTATCAAAAGTTGTTAAGAAATATTCCCTTATTCGTTTAATAATGTCAACAAGCATGTTTATTGAAATAAAAGTCATCTAATATATGAAATCTGAACTAAATTCAAAATGGGACGTTGGGATGATAAAACCACGTTCAAGTTTGTTGCTGCCTATTTGAAACATGAATGTCTCTGGAATACAAACTCAGATTTGTATAAAAACAAAGCACTTAAGGCAGATGCCATCTACGACTTGGATCAGACGATGGGGATCCGAGACTTTCACGAAAAAGAGATCAAAATCAAAATTAAAAGCATTAGGTATATATAATTCCTTCATATTTTTGTATATACTAAACTAAACTCCACTTGCTTAGATCTACTTACTGCCAGGAGTTGAAGAAGATTAAGGAATCGGAACTATCGGGAACAAACCCCTACATATATGTGCCTACCCTTAAATGGTTTTCTATGTTACACAAATGTCTCAACAATCTAAAACCAGAGAGTACTGCTGTTGCAAATGAAAACAATTTGGTAAATCAAGCACATAAATTTATACTTGTTTTGTTAAGTTGAAGGTCCATTGTTAAACAGTGGAAATAATTCTTTGTTTCTTTAAGAAAACTGAAGATGTTCTCGCCTGGGAATTTCCTGATGAAATCACTGAAACAGAAGTGGAAATTAAGTCAAAATTAATCGAACGACAAGCGGTTAAAAGAAAGCATCATGGAGATGATAAAACAACGCTGAAGTTAAATAATATAAAAGACGCATCTACCAATTCTCTCCGAGAAGACGAATTTGACATGTTTGGTAAACTAATAGCCACACAACTAAAATCCTTACCTCTGATGCTGGCCCTGGAAGCAGAAGAAAATATCCAATCTCTTATGACCAAAATTCGTCGGAAGCATTTAAAACGAACTTCAACTACAAATTATGCAAGTGACGAAAGTTCTTAAATTTAATAATAAGAAATGTAAATGAGATAGTTATAAATATATTGACAAATGCCTCATATATACGTGTACGTTATCTCACAAATGTAAATGATTCGCAAGTGTTCCGCAAATGCGAGAATGACTTTTCATAACAGTTAAGAGCATCCATAAGGCCACCGGAAAATCACATCTCGATTGTCTTCATTATTATCATCAGCCACGCCTCTCGTCATTAGACACAATAATACAAACTGAATTAGGACTTATCAAGTAACAAAATATACCCGAATGAAATGGTTCATTTGATAAATGCATCTAAAAAGGAACAACACACACAACAACGAATACCTAAAATTTCAAAAAAGGCAGCAATATAAAATAGCTAAACTAAACCTTTGCAACACCCCCATCAGTTCACATTCCATTACAAACAATACAAACAACAAATTGAAGATGCCATTTTTCTTTCACTAAAATTTGCAGATTGGTGCAGCAGTCACCAACCAATGTTTTTTCTTTACCTAATTCGAAATGAATGGCGTAATACTGTTGATGGAATGTGCGACTGTTAACTTAGAAATATTCACATGACTAAACATTACAAAATTATCACACCGTGCGACTGAATTTAGGGCGGATTTGCTCCGCGGTTTTGAACTGCTGACTGAGAATGCTTACTTGTGCATAACTAAAATAAATTCGTTTAAAAACCGAAATAAAATTCTGAACCCTGTCTGGTGAGTACGAATACTACCTACAACCTGGAAATTAAACTACTTCGTACGCTGGCAGATGAGAATCGATGAGATTCGGCGCGGCGGCGTTTTGATGTTGTCATTTTCGATGTCCAGGTCGAAATCGGTTGAGCAGTCGAAGGTATTATCGTGATTAACGACAATAGTCGGCACTAACTCGACGTCCTTCTGCGCAAGATACTTTTGATACCAATCGTCCTGTAAAATATGTAAAGTGGAATCAATAAATTAATTTTAATTGCTATTTTGGGATAAATATGACGTACAAAGTAATTGAACCGAGTCTTCTTCAATCGTGAACGCATTTTTATCGCGGGTGATCCCAATAGTTGAAGTGCTGATGGTCGTTGGTCAGCTTGGGAACTCATCATCCAATTTAATAGTTGTTCCATTTCTATTGATATACCTGAATGTAAAAACGTATTACAATCATATTATTAGTCCATTTTTTCATACATCAGAGGCAATAAAATATCACTTACGTCTTTTTTCACCTTTGGGCAAAGTCCGCCAATCACAATTTCGTATCTCGTGCCATAATTCGCCATGTATAGGAAGTAGTAGATCCATTGCAATTTCCAATATAGAAATTCCCAAGGAGAAAATGTCCCCAGCAGGTGTCACTACCCCTGAAGTATTTCACTTGCTATGTATTTAGCGTCACCTTCACATGAAGGTACTGAACTTTTCTATAAAAAATGAACACAAATAACCTTGAATTTAATTACTTATAATGGAAGAGAGAAACATAAAAGCCCTCACACCATAGTTCACCCATGACTGCCCAAGCATGCATAGTCTACTTACCTTCTGATTCAATTTATACAACAATCCAAAATCACATAATTTATATTTGCCTTCAGGTGTAATCACAATATTCTCAGGCTTTATGTCCATATGCACATATTGGTTACCATGCAAGCACATCATGGCATTGGTGATGTCATGCAGAATATACCAGCACTCCTCTTCACAGATACTATGATTCTTCTGAGCATAATCAGCCAAGCTCATCACTCCTAGCTCCAGTTGAATGTAAACCAGGTTGTCTTCCTCCCAAGCATTGTAGTACTGAATACAATAGGGTAAACCATCAACTGCATCCAAATTGTGGATATCATTCTGTTTATATCTCTTTGGAATGATTTTAATTGCATATGTTTGTTGGTCTTCTAGGGAATAATAGGAATAGACTGCACCAAATGATCCTTCACCAATCTTCTTCTGCTCACTGAAGAGTTGGTTGATGTACTTTGTTTTTAAGCTTTTATCATAATTTAAGCTTAGTTGTCCTGATACAAACGTTTACATTTATTTAATGTTTAAAATCAACTAAGTGGTAGTGACATACCTTTTTTTCCTAATGCCCTGGCTCCATAACTTCTCAAATGGTTGTTGTTTAGACACAAATTTCTTTGTATCTTATGTGATAAGGGTGGACATTTTATAGGGTGATTTTGTTCTTCAGCCTGCACAAATGTATGCAATAAATATATCACTTTTAAAGAAATCACAATTATATTCAAAATACTCACTGATTTTGAGGATGGCCTAATGATGAACGTTTTGCCATTTCGCAAGTCGTAGTGGTTCGGCGCTGGTCTCGGTACTGTACTGATACTGTTATCAGGCAACGTGCTCACTGCTTCAATTCGGCTTGTTCCTTCTCTAACCTTTCTCACTTTGCGTGAGTTTTTCGTTGTGGAATCCATGATGGTTCATAGTTCACCTATATCCATGTATTTATCTACTCTATGGACTAGATTTTCTTAGGTCCGCTTGGCATGCCGCTGTTGCATGCCCTTCGATTGTACACCGAATTACTGAGATAACAGCTATGGACATCAGCCGTAAAAATCCCATAGGCGGAGAATGAGTTGAAACAGTTATTGGTGGTTAGAATTGTTTTTAGTGTGAATTATTCAATGAAAAGAGAAATAAAATTCACTCTTAACCTCACAACCGTATTAGAAAGAGACGCCCATACTCACATTTTATTTTAGTTTATTTAAAGTTTTTAGAAACAATTAGCTACGTTTTATTATTGTTAAATATTAAGTTTTTAATTTCTAAAAGTTATCACCTGTTTTTATTTGGGTTTTAATTTGTATAACGTTTTGTGATACAATTTAACGCGCATGCGTGTTGACAGCTTTAATGAAGAGGAGGGTAAACCGGTTAAATACCTACTGCTTCAGAGAAACTTTATTTCAGAACTTTTATGAAAGAAATTGAAGAAAACCGTATTATTTCTTAGGTAAAATCAAAACATAATTATTCAGAAAGTATATAATTATATTGTGTTCAAATAATTGAAGAATGATTTCCTCCCTGTAAGCAGTTAACAGATAACCGGTTATTTCATGCTGGTTTATACCACTGGGTACGGTATACCGGTAAATATCTCACTTCTCCACTGACTGCGGTACGGGCACATTGAAAATCGGTATAATTTCAGCGAGCCCCCGTACGGGATCTTTCGACATCGGCGAGCAGAGCGGATTCAGTCAGCGCATGGGCTGCCAGGTAGTGGCACAAGTGGCTTGGACAGCGTAAGTGTGCGTCGGTAGGTGTTCGCGATCGGGAATGCAGTGGAAGTACGCCAAAACAGCTGTCATTGATGTGTGAAGCCTGCCGGTACGTTAACACCGACTGATCGCCTGCTCCTCCGTCGCCGAGCGAACACCGAACACCGGACTGCCACTTGCATATTCCTATGGGCATGGTATGATAATTCAAGTACAAAGAGGCTTGCAATTAGGTACGGTTTTATGCGGATATCTATTTAAGCGGGCCGAAGCATAGCATAAACACGTGTACAAACTAGCTGATGTGCAAAAAATGCACTTTTTATTTGGCGGGTGCTCACAGCCAGACATCTGGGTAGACTGGGTCGAATATTGAAGAGGGTTACGATTATCTTGTAGGTGGAAGGGTAGCGCGGCGCAGCGCACATTGTCGATATCTCAATTCACCCAGATTTACCTAGCTCTGTTTTATTGAACGTTACTAAAATTAATGCGAAGGTGAATTGCCCAACGAGCTGAAAGAACCTTGATTTATGTGCATGTTTGTTAATTATTGTCTTTGATTTTTAAAGTAATGTATAGGGCTTTCAGGTTTCTAAAACGAATGCGAGAGGAGCAAATGGGATAGTTTAGGCGTAGAACTGAGGCACTAGGACTGATTTAGGTATATTATCTACATAATATCATCATAAAGTATTAATTTATTTATTTTTTACTCTTTTTAGGGTTTAATTAGCACTACAAAGTGCGGTTTTATCAAGAAATGAGCTTTAAGCTTCCTCCATCAATAAGGTTAAAAGATTACTATGGTCGACCATGGAGCGATATAGAATTTATCGAAAAAGATGGCGGCACAACCCGTAAGTATCATCAATGCACATAGTGTTGTTATATTTGATCTAAATTTGTACTTCAAGACGAAGATTTTCTTTAAATAAATTTGGTTTCATTGCAATTATCCAACTTCTAAAAAATTCTGTGTTTATTTTGCTTATTTGCTAATTTTCCAGCCGAAAAATCACCGCCAAGTTCAAAAGAATATCATTCAACACGCTTGCTACCCCGGGCTGACCTTCCACTCTTCGGGGTGTTTCCAAAACTCGACACACGAGTATTATTGGAATGTGATAAGTGCGGTAAGGTGTTACTACCGTGCGTTTACAATGCGCACTGTGCGAACCCGGATCACAAAACCATGCAGCCGATCGTGCAGCAGGCGGTGGTGCCATCGAAACCGTCAAATCGAGCTCGAAAATCGGCCACAGTAACACCACATTCTCGGCGGTTGTCTGGACTATTGATTTTGAATGCATTTGCTTTTAGAAACCGTCAGCAACGTACACCAATGCTCCTGCTAGCGTTAGCAGTAATCACAACAGTAATGTTTCGTTGATGATTCCCAAACCGATACCTACACCACCGCTGGTGTCTGTTGCATTACCGAGCGCAGTGGCAGCGGCTCCTAGCAATGGCCGCTCCAGTAAACCGAAGAAGAGCTCGAAAAGCAATAAGCGTAGCCGGAAAGAAGAGAAAAGCGATCCACCGATACCATCTGCGGAAGAGCATCCACATCCTACTAAAGTAGTCAAGCAGGACTCTCAACACATTGTGGCAATTGCTGCGAACGCACCAAACATTCCGCCCAGTCTTCTATTTGACAATGAACCAGCTACACCTAATACGACAGTCGTCGTTAACGCCGAGGTGCGTGTGCAGGAAACACTCGTGGAAAGGCGATGCGATGAATCTACCTCAACAATCCCAACGGTTGATAGTCCAAGATCAACATTTATTGTAACCACCATTTTGTTTAGCCATAGACGCATATCACACATATATTTAATTTCAGAACAATGCGATGGACTCATCAACCACGCCAAACTATGTGATTAGTATATGTAAGCAACTCGATGAAAGTGAGCTACCGGCGCTTGAGGAACCCATCGCGACAGACGCTATCACCGTAAGTAATGATCTCGAGGAGAATCAAGACAACTCGCCGGTTGAACATATGCCTATGAGCCCAGTTGCTGTGGTTAACATTGTTCCTGTGCAGGTAACTAACTTGCATGCCTATTTGTTTCTTGTACAATGCGAAACACACCGAAAACAAATATGTTAATATATGTTTCAAGAACTTTCAGTATTTACAACAGTATCTGCAACTACCGACACAGCCGATCGTCGTCACGATTCCATGCACAAGTCCGAGCACGCATTTGTACTCCTATCCCAAGCCGCTGACGGTGGCAACACGTGCGATGCGTAAGATTGGCAGCACCTACCTCTTGCAGAATCAACGATTGGATCATCAACGTGCTGAGATTCGGGCCATCACCAGATCGCGCTGCACGCTCAATCATCTTCCGACGTAGGCGACCTAATCATTAGCAATACTTGCATGTGAATGAAATCGAACAAATGACGAAGATTCATCATAGTTTTACGACTCGTGCGATCAATGTTATTACTTAATAGAGAAATTTTAAATTACGACTTTTGCGGCATGCACAAGTCGAATTAGCGTAATTAATCGATGGGGCCTTTATACCTATCCCAATGTGATTATCATTTCAATATTTTGATTGCATAATTACGATTAAAGGAAATTATTTTATTTATTATACTATTATGGCATTACTTCCCATAATACAATGCTATTCCAAGGTGATATGAAGATGTAATCATTTTTGACTGGTTCATTTTAACTTCTCATATCGAAAAGAAACGTTTAACATGCACACGCACTACATTCAACATTTTAATCATGACATATTAAGACTGTTTATGATTAACTCGTGCATACTACCAACCTACTACCGTTTTATAGTGTATACGTGATTCATCTTGTAATTGATATTCCATTAACCTACTCATTACTCTGTACATGTTCAAAAAATTGAAACGAAATCGCTCATGTAATTGTAACAAACGTGTAAATTTGCATGCTGTTGTACTTGTCACTATTGCATAATTGTGCAGATTCTGTTTCTGTGTTCAACAAATAATGTGTCTGCCCAATACTTAAATGCTATTCATCTCAACTTGAATGAATCGGAATTTTGTAAATACGATTATAGTCATGTCATCAACAATGCTGTAATGAATGTAATTTAAGCACAAAGTCGTTTAAACAGAAAGACATAATTTAAATAATTACTAATTGAACTCATGAGTATGGCGAATGGGAAATAAATACATTTTTATATAAAATTTACTGCATAAAAATAGACTCAAATATTTTATATGTGCCGATTGTATTTTATGCTCAATTATCGAAATCGGGATTTTTATTTTTGACATTTGTACATTGATTTTGTTCTTTTTTATTTAGTTTTTAATCTTTTTTTTTTAAATACTTGGCCCTAGTGTTGTAGCTACAGTATTTTAGTATCAACTACGTGAAAATTAAACAGAATATTTATTTATATAGTTTGTGATTCACATTTGCATGTAATTTTTGTTGTGTGGAGTCACTGATAATATTCTGGTATAACAAGATCCTTTTTTAGTATAGGTACTTAATAAAGAGAGTAACAGACAATACCAACACTTTAGAATCTTCAATTCTATCACTGTTCTAACACAAATGGTCAAAATATTTTTGAGACTAAAATTGGAGCAAGGATTAATAGCTCCATATTGTTTTTTAAAGAATTTTCCAAGGAAATCAGCACTTTACTAAAAGTTGCAAAATTTTACTTTATTGCATGTTTTGGCAGATAAAATGTCAATTTTAAATCCTGCAGGACCATTTTTATTTCATCCAAGATGTTTACATCGCGCTGTTTCCTATGAGTACCTAAATAATTATAAAAAGGACGAATCTTTCGAGTGGTGCGTTAGGAACGCACTCACTTGCCATTTCGTTCATGCCCTCGCATGTTGCAAAGAAAGGTCATACTTGTAAGCTGCATTTCCAAGCGGCGCACACACAAATTGGGGACGCGTAAGCACACGCTGGTTGGTTTTCGCGCATTTGCCGCGCTTGGGGGTACGAACAAAGAACGCGCCGACGTAGCACATCGCACAATGTTGAGATGAGCAAAATAATCGATAACGTGGTCGTTGTAGAGGGTTGTTGCGCGGCGAGGAAGGGATGAATGTTGTGCTGCACGTTGCGGCGAATATGTATGGCGTATATGCGTTTTCTGCTCTACATAATAACAGCGAACAGCGTATCGTCCACGCGAATGTCCAGCAATCGTACCAACTTTTTTACATCGAGCGCTCGGCTGGTGAATAGTGAATCGTTTGCGATTACAAAGTTACTCATTCGCACCTTGGGAACAATACTGTTAAGTTTTAAAGTCTTTATTCCTACGTCTAAAGTGCGTTTTTGTTAATTTGTGGACACTGTGACATTGTTTGGAGTTTTAAAGTTCAGGATAGTGTGGGTGTTTAGTGTGATGACATATGGGCACAGGAATTAAAATTTGGTTGAATTGCAGCGCGTGCTAAAGTGTAATAAATGTTTCGGTTGGGTAATGAGCACGTGCATGTCGCAAGCTGAAAGAGTGCGTCAATGCGTAGTGCAACTTAATACCAACAAAGCGACTAGAACGCCCGGAACAAGTAGAATGTAACACCGGACGCCGGCAACGGGACAAAACGGAGTATCTACGCACACAAGCGGGTGGGATATTTGTCGTCCCAGTCCTCGTGTTCGTCCTAGTCGGCGCTGTCGGTGTTTGTAGAGTGCGGTGCGTGCAGCGCGCGGTGGTATATGGCAGTGCCGTCGCGCGCCGAGACCGAAGAAGCCATGGCAATGGCAGCTGCTTGATAAGGGGTGCCTAGCGGTGAGCGCACCACGAGGGGTCACACGCGCAGAACCACCTGGCGACGCGCGCTCCCTAATATTCAATTCAGTATCGACCGGGCACGAGTTACGTTTCTCGGACAGTGAATCGAACTAAGCCGAGCGGCGGCACACGGAACTCGAACGCACCGGGCATGTACGCGATGACAAAACCGGCGGGCAACGATGGCGGCGATGGCGGCAAGCGCTGAAGTATGCGCGAATCTGTGCGAGCGCGAAATTTCCGCCGGAGTTTGTCAGACGGGGCACAGTTTAGTCACCGCCGCACGAGCGGCGTCGTCGTCGTCGGGACACGCGTCGAGTGTGGTGCCATAAGCGGCGTCGCGGGCGACGCTTAATGGTGGACGCGAGTATTACAAACAAAGTGCGTTTGATGGCGTCGCATTCAAGGCGGAAGTGCGTCGAAACGCTATAATATGGCCTCGCAAGGAGCGCGGCACGGGCTCGTAGGATAGGAGCGCCTTCGATTTTCACCAAAGCACGAACAAGGATAATAAGGACTCCGTGTGACACCGACGCACAGAGCATGTGAGTGCCGAGGTGCACTTATCACAATGATGGATAACATAATTGAGCACCAGCTCGGCGAGCAGGTGGAGACGGTGGATGGTGGAGGCGGAGCGCATGTGGTGGTCGCCGGCGGCATGGACACTCAAACCGTCCGCATGCGGTTGGTGACGCGCTCCGTTGTGGAGCGTCGACTTGTCAAACAAGAAGAGGCGGATGGTTCTTTATCAGTAATTGTTCAGCCTCAGGAGGACTCGCGTGACTCAGAACTGCTTAGTCCCGGTAAACTATCGCCGACGTCGGTGAGTGTCGCGAATATGATCGACAGCGCCGACTTCCGAACGTTGCAGCCAGAACCCACATACCAGACGCTAACGTCGGTTAACGGCAGGATGTCGCCTCCGGGATACAGCCCGAACTCGTCCTATGCCACGTTGACGCCGCTACAACCGCTACCGCCAATCTCAACCATGTCGGACAAGTTTGCCTACGGGCATGCGAGTAACGTTACCGGCTCCTTCACCGTAATGCAAAATAATGGACTGGGCATTGGTTTGGGGCTAGGCGTAAACGTCAACACGGCGTACACAATGCCCAATATGGGCATGACCCCTCCGCACAATTATTCCTCACCTGGAATGGGTATGCAGCAGCAACCGTCACCCATCAGCCCACAAAGCTCTTACAGCCAGAATGGGCTGCCTTCGCCGCAGAAAAGCATGTCACCTCCTCAATACGACTCGCCGTACGGCAACCAGCGCGACTTGGTTGGACGATCACTCTCTAGCCCACAACTCAGCCCACCTTCGGGGTCCCTGAACTCCCCGGGAGGTTCACTGGTGACGAGCTTCAGCGGTGCGACGTTGAATGGTCTCACGTTACAGCATCACCCTCCGACGCTAGTGCAAATCGCGGCACCACAACGTGAATGCTCTCCATCACCTCCGATTCTCACTCTACAACAGCAACAACCTCAACAACAGCACCAACAGCAACAACAGCAGCAACAACAACAACAGACCCAGCTACAACAGCTCAACTCAAAGAACCAGAATCAGAACAATTCGCTTAGCGTGACCACGATATCCGCCGACGTGGAGGAGATCAACACCAAGGAGCTGGCGCAGCGGATAAGCGCCGAGCTGAAGCGGTACAGTATACCGCAAGCCATCTTCGCACAGCGCGTACTTTGTCGGTCACAGGGCACGCTCTCCGACCTCCTACGCAATCCAAAACCATGGTCCAAGCTGAAGTCAGGTCGAGAGACTTTTCGACGCATGTGGAAGTGGTTACAAGAGCCTGAGTTTCAGCGAATGTCAGCGCTGCGGTTGGCAGGTCGGTAACCAATAAGCACCTGCATGATAACATATACATCTTGGCAATTTAAAATCACACTCACATTACACAAGTTAGCAAGGTTAAAAATATAAAAACCAAACATATTTTCACGGGTCTAAAGTGAAGCGCACAAAATACATAAGTGGTACGCGGCGGCAGGCAAGCAATTCAGTTCCCATGATGCTTTTGAGTCTCCCTTTACATCACGGACACAGACACTAAAGGAGAAACCCTCTAAACATTTAAGCTAAGGGATGTGTGGTGCACTGCGCCTTGTAGGAGTAGCGCGCGGTGCAACACTCGCATCAAAAACAAGAAAAACAAAATTTTCAAAAAAACTATTAATAAAGTTTAATATTGAATACTATTTAGGATTAAAATGTATATCTTGAAAAATACTGTTAATTTTTTATTTTATCATTGCTTATCAATGCATTGCACTATAAATATTGCTAAATCATTTATTGACATTCCAAACGAGTGGTTCTCGATACACGGTTAAACATCCGTTCCCTGCACGTTGTTTTGTGGCATTCTAATTTAAATACACGCGGTTAACGTTTGTGTAGACTACACGCTTGGTGTATATAGGTAAAGTATTGATTTTTTACATGACGCTGATAATTTCCCTCAACCACCCCCGCGTATACACAACGTGTACAACCCCTTTTATAATGACACAGACTAGCCAAAGCACGTTAGTCATTTTGGTTTTCACATGTATATCGGTGATAAACACAAATATTGCAGCATTTTATTTAAAATTTATTATTTTAAAAATATTATTGGATTTCCTGCAGTTTCAGAAACAATTTATATCCAAATGCATTCAAATTGGCGCGGAATGCATAGGATGAAAATGAAAAGTTCTCGATGTCGATGTCAATGTTATGTGTTGTTTGCAATGTTGACTACTCTCTTGTTTTCATTGCAGACTGCCAGATGCGCAATGTAAACGTGAGGGCAGTCAACGGCAAGCGAAGAAAACCACCCTCCGCTTCATGCTTGTGAGTCTTTCTGTCTGTCTGTCTCGATGTTTCGGGCATGTGCCGTATTACCTCCCTCACCCTTCTTGCGATTTTCAAAACGCAGTCTTTAAATGTTTAAGACCGCAGCATGACTCCAGGAAGCGCTGAGTGCGTGCCCGGCGCATTCGCAAGCTGTGTTCTATTGGTATGCCCGGCGCCTCCGCGCAACGACTCATACAGATGTGATTTGAAATTGGGTGGTTTTCTTGAAAATTCAGACTAAATTTTATATTGTATGATTAGAAGCAATTACACATGAGCGGACTGTCCACGTGCATCTAATGTACCGCTTACCACATTGCTGGGAATGTGTTGATACGACATATATAAATTTATTGATTTGACTTACTGTGGCGGATCCAAACAAACTACAATGCATACAAATCGATTAACACATGTCAAGGTTGTTGCCTCCAAATTTATATATATATATATCTGCACGATTGCCAGATTGTTTATGTATATCCAACTATGGTTGTTATAACTATGCGATTATTTAATTAACCTGTATGTACATGTTTATGCTGGTAAACATTTTAATAATTCTGTTTTCTTTATTTTACAGCTGCGCAGATACCTCAACGAGGCAGTGAGTATATATAGTTTTTATTTTATTTATTGTTCGTAGTATGTATATAGAAACAGAGTCGAGGGCCATACTTTAATTAAAAGATACGTCTGATTGTTTTAAATCAGATTCGGTTTTAGGCTGCAAGAGGAAAGAGGATGTTACGATCCAACAGCCGCCTCCACAGGAGCAGTTACCTACGCCGAAGAAGCCCAGGCTGGTTTTTACCGACCTGCAACGCCGTACTCTTCAGGCTATTTTTAAGGTAAATTTTAAAAAATCATGTGAAATTTAACAACAAAATTTTAACTTAAAACATGTTAAATAATTGATGATATTATTTAGAATGTAGCCACTGCTTATATAATTCTATTACTTAAATCTAGATGTCGCTAAGCTTCACTTTCTTACATTAAAAATTTTCTTACAATAAATGTCCAAATAAACATTTAATAAAATCTGATCCAGGAAACAAAACGACCGTCGAAAGAAATGCAAGTCACGATCGCCCGACAGCTGGGTCTTGAACCAACAACCGTGGGCAACTTCTTCATGAACGCACGCCGCCGCTCAATGGACAAATGGAAGGACGAGGACCCAAAATCGGCGGCGCACATGATGCACGGTATGTCCCCGGGCATGGAACATGAAGACCCAGACGGCGACATTGACCTGGACAATGATATGGATGATCACGACGACGACGACGACGTGTTGTGACATGCATTACGCGATCGCCAATTGTTAATGCTGTGAACACTTAGTATATCTTTGTTGTGGCCGAGAACGACATTGGACGGGGACGCCGCGACGCGCGACCACAAAAGTATTTGCGAGCAACCACACATTGTGACGAACAATCAAATTCGAAGCGGAGCGTGCGCGGTGTGCTTGGATGTTTTCAGTGCAATGTGAAAAAAAAAATGCGAACACGAGCAGGGTGCACCGGAAGCGGAGGCGAATATTAAACAAAAATGCAATCTAATGTAGCATCCCATCTATACACACAAGAATACAAATGCAAATGCAGTAGCCAATTGAGTTTGAACCGCAATCTATCAATTAACGTTTGATATTTTAGTCAAATAGTCATGATTTTTATTACTCATTGGCGAATACGTTGATTTATCATTAACCGAACGCACGTATTGATAAATAATGCTAAACGTTGACGAATTCACCAAAGCTACAACCAAGAACATCGCTCGTTGATATAGTTGGCTATTATTTAACCAGATATGAATTCGTAACATAGTTCAATTAAGCTTTAAGCTTGTACGATTAGTTACAAAGTTAAATTACCTTCGACCCGATAGATGATGGACCCGGCATGAAAAAAAAAAACTTAATTGTGAACATGAACAAGTACAATGTGAACTGTTTCTAGTCATTTACAGCCTAGTGTTTATTTTTATTTTTTGTTAATTTATTTAATTGTTTCGTGGGTATTTAATCATTGATTTGCTATTGGAAACTAAATGTTTGGCACCGAAATATTTTGAACTTTTTGAACAAAGTTCGTATACAAGACAAGGCACATTCCTAATGCGAAAAAAACATATTTTTTATATTGTACATAAACATGATCAAGTTGTTCCAGGAATGATATCGACTATTTATTTATTTATTGCTTATTTATAATCGACCTGTAATTACAATCATTTTGTATGTCACACTAAGCCAACGACGGATACGCAGAGATAATTGCTGAGAAACCAAACCAAACAAAAAAACAAAACATGTGATAAATTTTATTACTAACGAATGATGATGATCATTGCTAAACAAAACAATTGTAAGGTAATTGCGACAGTATTAAACCGATACAACAAACACGTTGAAAATGATGTAACACTGAACACAATAGTATGTTTCCGCAAATCGTAGATTTTTGATCACTAACTTAATGTAATACAAATCATAATGAGATACTAGATGCATCAGTGAGTGATTATGAACGGATTGGAATTGTTTGGTAAACGTGAACAAATAATAATAAGTAATCTACGTTTTTGGAAGAAGAAGAAAAAAAATCACGCAATAATATTTCCGTACCTTGTGTTACAATGGCATTTACTGTAAATAGCTATTTCATGCTGACTCGCTGATGCTAAACATCTCCCAAAATCAGTGTTAAATTATACATTCCGTTTTTTTAGTCATTAGTGATAAGTTTTTACGTTTGACGTTTTTTATTTTTATTTATTGTTTAAATTTTTCTTTTATATTTTATAATTTATGCTATTTGAGAGGGTTTTACTGCTTTAAGCCACAGTTCAATAAATAAAAAACATAAATAATTGCGTGTAAATAAAATTTTAGCACAAATTAATTCGGAATCATACAATTCGGTGACAAAACTGTATTTCAAATTTATTTATTTTATTTCATTAAAAGTTTTCTTTTCTTTTTAATTTTCAACCCTTTCTGTGACAGACCTGCACCCTGAGTTTCATTCGATAGCTGGAGTTGTGCAATGTGCAATGATGCGTGACATTCTGTGAACCACTGAACAAAACGTTTTCCCAATCACGAATGAACTCTGAGTGGAATGGGAATAGAGCGTAATAATATAAATAATTAGCTTAAATGTATATAGTTAAATATATAAATATATATAATATAGTAAACTATCGCAACAGAATAATAAACTTTGTTACTTCACATCATTAAAATGTTGAGACACACGGCAGACAAGAAAACCAAAGAAGCAAGCGTGGAAAATGCGTAAAGCTCGTGAAATGCGCGCAGCTAATTAATTTTAAAAGAAAATTGAAACAAAATACATTAACGTAAGTAAAACTAATCTAAAGCAGTATATTAATGTAAAATTATTTATAGATGAAATTAAATAACCTGGTGGCAACTTTGGGTCGTCACACAATGCCTTAATACCATGTAGAAACAAAAACATACAAAATGTAAAATGAAGAAAAGCAAACATTGTTTAACAAACCACACACATTATAGTAAGCACTCTTTTTGTCAGTACATTCTGTAACTAGTTAATTTCTAGTCATATTTTTATGTAAAAAAGAATAAAAGTTTAAACATGATTGAAAATGATGAACGCTGATGATGTAACGACGCAATAAGCGCAAAATGAGTATTTAATTATTTCTTTCTGATTAATTGTTTTGGTAAATCAAGTAAACATTTATTTTTTACTCTGTTGTGGTTGCTAAGTAGGATTGCAATTAAAATTGAAGCGTAAATAATTCACATCATTGTTATAAGCTCAATAAATATCAAGGCAGAAATTATTTTCAAATAAAATTTGCATTTTGCTTTTGGTTGATTGAGTATAGTTGAGAATATACAATTTATTATTTACTCAATTTATTTTATCTTCAATTGAATGTAATTTTTCTTTTTTTTTTGCGCTAAAAATTATCATTTATTGTATTAATTAATTTTTACTTTATGATGAAGAGTATAAATACATTATATCAGCATTTCAACAAATTTAAATTTAGAAGCCACTAAAAGAGTTTAATCTAATATAATTTATAAACTAGTGCAATAGAAACGTGTAAAAATGGCAATATCATATCCCATCAATGTGTAATCGTGACCCCCACGAGGCAAAACACATTCTGTAAACGAACGCATTGATTAAAGAAATACTATTTAAATTATTTCCTCATAAAAATGTTTTGTCATGTCAGCAAAATGAAAATTTCGATATTTTTGGTAGTACGGTTCTGAGTAAGGTGCGATGGCTTGTATACATGTTGCGGCCCCTCGACCGCTCTATTTTTGTCTCCGATCGATAGCGCTTATCAACGCGACCGCCGGGAATTTAAGCGCCGGAGAGGGTTGACGCGGCACGAGCAGTGCTCGTCTTATGCTGCAGGTCGTTAGATGCTTTGACGCCTGTTTTTGTGAGCTTGCGCGTCGCTGCGCAGCACGAAGAAAACACTTTCTTTCCTAAGCGCCTATCTAAATATAGGTCGAATATTGGGTTATCTCTACCGGCTCGCGGCGCGTATTTACACATCGCGAGCTATGTGAGCCAGCTGACGTGACTCGAAATATTGTGTAGTCTCGCATTAGCTCGAGCGTGATTAACGCGTGCTTGCAGCAATTCGCGGATCTAAAAAAGGCGCATCGCAAATTGCGAGTATTTTATTACATGCGTGTGTATTGGATAAGAGGATGAGGTAGAATGAGTGGCCAAGTGCGCTCCAGCTAATTGTCGCTGACGAGTCCCCGGGATAACGACGAGACGCGCAGGAGACGTGCGTGTGCGCTGGTGAAGTTCCCACTGCGAGGTGCTGTGAAGGCTTCGGATTCCTGCTGGGCTGGTGCGTTGTGAGAGTGTGGGTGGGTGCGCGCGACGCAGGATTATAAGCACTCCTATGTCGAATTTAGATAGCGGCGGCTGGTGCCAACGGTGTGGCAGTGGCGGCGCAAGCGAGACGGCGGCTTGAATTTTCTATTTCGGTAAATGTGCGCGCATCGAGCTCGCACATGGAGGCGCTGCTGCGAGTCGAACAGCTCGCCATCGCGTCCGATTTCCCATCCCTTTTTACGCATCTCCGCCGCAGTGTCCACAGCGAGTGCCACGGCGTCTGACATAGCGCCGCGACGGATCGTACGCGAGATGCACTCGGTCGCAACGCATCTTTCGCGCGCGTAGTGTTCGTCCTGTACGAGACGCGTGGAATGAAAGCCGTCAGGGCCGCGCTGTATTGTGGAGCGCGTACGTCCTGCGGCGGTATATAGGTGGGTGATGGCCGTGGACTTTGCTGGGCGCGTGTGAACGAGTGCGAACATTCCTCCGCAAAGTATGGCCTCGGTCGCCGCTTGGCTGCCATTTGCCCGGGCGGCGGCCATCGGCTGGGTGCCCATCGCTACCCATCCGCTCCCGCCGCCCCCGGTGCCCAAGGATCGCCGAAAGACTGACGATGAGAAGATGCTCATTAATGTCTCGGGGCGGCGATTTGAAACTTGGCGGAACACGTTGGAAAAATATCCAGATACCCTTCTGGGATCAAATGAACGCGAGTTTTTCTACGATGAAGAGATCAAAGAATATTTTTTCGACCGCGATCCGGACATTTTCCGCCACATTCTCAATTATTATCGCACAGGTAAGCTGCACTACCCGAAACACGAGTGTCTCACCAGCTACGATGAAGAATTGGCATTCTTCGGCATCCTGCCGGACGTCATCGGCGACTGCTGCTACGAGGACTACAGAGATCGTAAACGTGAGAATGCCGAGCGACTCATGGACGACAAACTCTCCGAAAACGGCGAGCACAATCTGCAACAGCTCACGAACATTCGACAGAAAATGTGGCGCGCGTTCGAGAATCCGCATACATCCACAGCGGCACTCGTGTTCTACTATGTGACGGGTTTCTTCATTGCGGTGTCAGTGATGGCCAACGTGGTCGAGACGGTGCCGTGCGGCACGCGGCCGGGTCGTGCAGGTGCGCTCCCATGTGGTGAACGCTATAAAATAGTGTTTTTCTGTTTGGACACCGCCTGTGTAATCATCTTCACCATGGAGTATCATCTGCGATTGTTTGCGGCGCCCAGTCGTTATACGTTCGTGAAGAGCGTGATGAGTATCATCGACGTGATCGCGATCATGCCCTATTATATCGGCCTCGGCATTAAAGACAACGACGACGTGTCGGGCGCGTTTGTCACCCTCCGAGTGTTTCGTGTGTTCAGAATCTTCAAGTTTTCGCGTCACTCGCAGGGTCTACGGATCCTCGGTTACACCCTTAAGTCTTGCGCTTCCGAACTTGGCTTCCTCGTGTTCTCGTTAGCCATGGCTATCATCATATTCGCGACGGTCATGTTCTATGCCGAGAAGAACGTCCCGGACACGAACTTCACCTCGATTCCAGCCGCCTTCTGGTATACGATAGTAACGATGACTACATTGGGGTAAGTAGAACAGCTCGTTGCGGCTGCCCGTAATTAACCACCCGTTCGTGTTGCACGTCAGTTACGGCGACATGGTGCCAGCGACCATAGCGGGCAAAATCGTTGGCGGTGTGTGCTCATTGAGCGGGGTGTTGGTGATCGCTCTTCCTGTGCCCGTCATCGTGTCCAACTTCTCGCGCATCTATCATCAGAACCAGCGGGCAGACAAGCGCAAAGCGCAGAGGGTAATGTCACATGCCCTTGTAGCACGCAGTCTCTTTACTCTTGCATTCGTATGCGTTTTATCTTGCTGATTGCAGAAAGCTCGCCTGGCGCGTATCCGAATAGCGAAGGCGTCTTCGGGCGCCGCGTTTGTCAACAAGAAAAAAGCGGCGGAGGCGCGTCTAGCGGCGCAAGAGTCCGGCATCGAGCTGGATGACAACTGTCGTGAAGAGGATATCTTTGAACTGCAACATCATCACCTCCTGCGTTGTTTAGAAAAGACCACAGATCGACAATTCGTGGAACTGGAGGTGCCCTACAATGGGCATCCGAAACGGCCTGGTTCACCATCACCGCTTGCCAGTCCGGCACACTCGGCTGTATCCATCGGACTGCTTCAGTCCTGCTGCGGGAGATGCTGTCCTCGGCGGTACCAGCAGGCTTGTGGCAAGTATATGCCGGCCGCGTCGGCGGCACAAAGTAATCAAACGGGCGGCGGCATGGATGGTACCTATTTAGTGGAGGCGTCTTTCTAGACCACATATCATATCAAGCTGCCTTCCCGTTGGGTTAAGTCCGATGCAAAACCACCAAATACCAAATTCTTATCTAACAAGTCCTTTGCGATCGTCATGCCTCTAGTAATTGGTGTGCTCGACTACTATTATTGCTCTGCCGCATCCGCCTACGTTTGCTATGCAGTATATTATATACTTTAGTAGCCACCACAGGCGTTATGTAGCATTTGATTTTTCTCCGGCCACAATCGATGCGTGAAATCCCTGTAGCCTATATATGATCCGAGAAAAAAATGAAGACGCAACAAAACAAATACCTTGCCGACCAAATATCAAAACCGAAACCAACAGCTCTCACTCACTATTTTTCTACTTTCTCTCACTTCTCTCACCACAGATACCGAAATGAAATCAAAACGTATCAGAGAATTAACAACAGCTTACTTTTAGCAGATAAACATAGAAACTAGTCTCAGTTGTCAGTAGTATGATTTGAGTTCATTTGCGTTTTACTTTCGATGTTGATATCTACATACATTTGGTTGTTTTTCTGTTTTATAATGATATACCACACGTATGACGAGTGATGTACACCATTATCAACTATCCTATGTTCTCGTAGGAGCATGGATAGGAGGTACTCACTAGTTGGTAACACACGGCCACCGTAAAGCTCCGTATTCCATATTCAGATGACACGATTGACACGAACGGGACGATGTCTGTGTGTGTTCGGGGGAAAAGGTCATCGCGTCATCGCGCAACCCTCCCTCGCAATGCCCGGCCGCCGCGGCGAGCTCTCGCACCCCCGCCTCGCATCATGCGGCGCGGGCAAACTGTATTCATCGCAATCGAATCACGAGTACCGCGTAGTAAACGAAACTTTACATGCATGCATGCATACATACGGTATGTTACCGATACATTGATTGCAAGCCACACTTTGCACGCGTCCGACAACAAATTTACTCCCCACATTCAACATTTTCAAGTACGTTGGTGCCTGGTCTCGGGTTATCTTAGCGCAATTAACCCACAGGCTATAATTGGCAGATTGCAAATCGGTAATGTCGTTAACCCCACGACTTCTAATAGCGCCGTCGTAATGTACGGTATGTATGCATAGCGGTGCGATGAGAATGCGTTCGCCATGTCAAGAGTTACATTTTCATCGCATCGAAGAGATGCAGCCGATAAACCAACATGTTTGTATCGTGTTGAAAGGATTTGACGCAGTGATGCAATCGAAGGTTGAATGCCAGACCTTCTTCTTCTTCTTTGGGAAGAATCCAGATATAAAAGCGCACTTATGATGATTGTGGATTTGTACGCCTTGTGATTGTGTCACTGCGAATCGATAGGCTAGATATTGTTACTACATTTTAAATTAAACGAAATAAGATTCATACTGTGGTCGTGGCCGATGCGACCCACTACGAACAACAAAGCAACTTACCAACTAAGAAACTTATTAAGACAACTAAGACAACTTCTCTTCTTTCCAAACATCGATCATGTTTGTATTCAAAACGATACAATTATTTGTAGTGTAAATTGTGATATAGCTGATAACTTAATATACTTACATATATTAACAAATAAGAAATAATGAGAACCAGAACCCTACTACATAAACACGCAAAGACGATCCTGACGAATTAAACACGCCCCAGTTACAAATTACATACGACTTGATTCTGATCCAGTGGCGTAGCTACCATATAACATTTGCAAAACATAACCTCAAATGTCGGAAATTTGAAAATAAGTAATACGTACGTTTGGGCTCAGATTAAACTTGAGTTTTGTACAATTATGCATGCTCAGCGTTTGTTTTTATTCACATTATTTTTATTGCTTCGAAAAAAAAGGTAAAACTTGATTTAGGGTCCTATATGTGTAGCTACGCTGATTTCCACCATCTTTTTACATATTCATTTAAACAACAAGTAGGTATTCCCCTCTATCACAGCGAAAATGGAACTTAAACCATAGAACATTTCTGAAAGTGTAATATAAATTATATAAATGTTTCTAAATTAATTAAAATTACATTAGTTAGTCATACATATACATATATAAATATATAAATATGCAGATAAATACATTCAGAAAATTATATATATATATATATATATACATAGAATTAATGTATGAAATATAAAAACAAGTGAAATTTCGAGACGATTTTGACTTATATCATTGGTCTACTATCACTGTCACATTACCCCTTGAGTTCTTTTCGGAAACAATCTCAACGTATTCAATTGTTTGTAATTGCAGACATAGGCAGGGAACCATGCTCGCATGTTTAGGAAAATGATTAGAATTCTTACAAGTGAAAGGATATTACTAACACACAGGATTATGTTTATAAATTTTTCTAAACATTATGTCCTCGTATGTGAGATTATGTTTAATTTGCAAGCTTGCAGGCTGTTATGTAGGAGCGGGTTTAATTTGAGTGTTTGCAATTTGTAGAAATTTTCTTTGGTTTAATTTGCAAAAATAAATTATGTTGGTGCCATGAAGATTTTTAGGGACAATAAATATTTCCTATATATTCGTGTAATAAGAGAGGGAATTAACTGGACAGTGAATAAAACGACTCGCAATCAAAAACATTGACATATATTTCAATTAGTTTTACTGTGTCGCGATGATCAACTCCAATGATCTTTATGAACGCGTAATAAATGACAACGTTGCATAAATTTTCGATGGTCAATTCAACGGATGTTTTCATCATGAACATTTTGTTGTTGCCAGTTCGGTGTACGGGATATCTCTCTTCGCGTCTACTTCAACTCAGTGGCCCAGCAAATCATTAGAACGATTACCGAGCATTCTTCCTCAAGTAGTTAAACGTAAACTAAGATAAAGACACCAGGTAAACATTGCAAATGTGTAAATTACAAAAGAAAATTCAGGAAGTCATGTAATTGCTAAAACAATTGCATAAACAGCTTTACTCACACACACACCTAGCCACACACACCCCCACCACACACATGAAAGTGAAACACCACAACACTATGCATTGATGCGCATGTAAGGATTGGTTTGCCTATATAAAGATTACCTAAAAAAACGACAAATTAAAGTAATGATAAAATCTCACCACAGAACAAATAAACGTGCGTTTAGAATTAAGATAAAAAAAAACAGAGTCTATATATACATAGATATTTTAAATATAAATGAAACAAATGGAAAATAATATTGTAATTTTGCGTCTCTCCCTAACAGATTTAGATCTTATGTCTTACGATGTCTTATGAACCAGCGCATATTGCGCGTCCCGATTCGTTATTAATGCTCTACATTATGATGCGATTTCAATTCACGATTCGTGCGTTTGTAAAGTATTCGTGACGTTGATTTAACTGTTGTTATGATTAAGCTAAAAGGTCGCAGGTTCGATAACATAGACGAACATAGCAAAATCAGATTAGATCAAAGTAAAAAAACATATAAAAAAGAAATAGCATCAAAACATTAGCGAAGCAGGTTACAATTATCACGTAATACAATAAAAAGCAGTCTTAAAAATAATTCGGCTAATAATAAACACACAAGCGTACAGAAGCAAGAAAACCAGTTTATAAAAACAAATTAACATTAAGTATCTATAGTGAATTATGCATTGCGTAATTATGAATTGTATGAATCGATTATTGAATTATGTAAGTAAGTTATCGATTTAATTCATATTAAATTTATTGTGATTATACTTGTAATGTTAGAGAACTTGTTATCGTTTATTCCTTTGGAAAATATCATTTGAACAAGGGTTTGTTAATAAATAATAAATGATAATAAAAAGAGATTTAAATAATAAATAAATAAATTTACAAAAAATGCAACTGACTTGTTTATACAGCTTTATCAACCTGTGGACAATAATCGTTTATTTTTTGTGTTCTAGTGGTGTAATGACGTGGCAAATGGTGATGGTTTTGCGCTATTAACCGGAATATTTACCTTTGTAAGAGGGGTTGCCTGGATTACTCACACACGCTGATTTACTTTTCAGATCATTGGTTCACCACCGCATGGCTGAAGGCTCGGCAATAATTTAATTATCGCAATTAAGTCTTTTGTTTACTCGTTTGCTCAATATATTTCCGGGGCATAATTTTTCCTGCGTTTTATTGATGAGTTTAAGCAATGATATTAGGTGAGTAGCCTAGGGTCAACCATTTTGACATTTTTATTTTTTATACGAAAACGACAACAAAACATAAAAATAAACAATATTTACTACGGTTAATGATTACAACTCAAGAATTGTACTTTTGAACAATCTATTTCAGCGCAAATCAAAATAATATCAAATAAATCAGTTTTATGAGTGTTTCCTGAATTTCCAAGCTCATCCCATACTAAATCGTAATACATCATAACAATGAAAAATTATTTGTTTGTTCAAGAAGCGCGATTTTATCGATCCGCAGCGCGTTTTCGCGATTTGTTTGGTTTCGATTGAATGCGTCGACGGACGAGATGCGTCTCGTTTCCTACGTCGGCATGCACTTGCTGTAATTTCATTACGGTGCCCGGCCTCAGGCTATGATGCATTTGGCACTTTTATCGAAAGATTTCACATCCGAATGGCATATAAAATTTATATTGCAAACCGGTTGCTACTGAAAATAACCAAACGCACGCATGTTACTACTGCATGTACCAAAATGGGTTTCATGTTAAAAAAAAATCTAAAGGGATGTTTGCGAATTTAACAACTTCCGCAACCATATGCTATATTTAACGTGCAAAAACGAGAAATCATTCTGGCACATTTCTGCATCAGTTTATGACACCTGTGGGATATTTATAGTGGGCACGCTTATAAATTTAATATTATTATATAGTAAGCTAAATATTTGCAAGTGCAATTGCATTAATTGGTGTTTAATCGGTTTTTAAGGACAAGTAAATGAATATGTTACAAGTCACATATTAGATGCATCGTACAAGTAACGCGCAGTTGAAAATATTAAGAATTTTCGTACGCGACGGAACTAACTACACAGCGCATTAGTATACGCAATGTAAACAGAAGCATTAAAAGTTAGACACGAATATACTTGTGCAACGAATTGGCCCATTTGCATTTGAAGTTGCACGCCATATCTTGGAGTAAATCCTAAACGCGGAGGAGTTATAACTGTTTCCATGCTAATGAAGTTTCTTTGCGTTCGAGTGCACTCAACTTGGAATGTAATTTAATATTTTACGCCTTACGATTTGTGAAATGAGTAACAAACGTTAAGAATTGAGAATATGCGTTAATAGGAATTTTCACAAATAATGTGAATATTTATTTTGCCTTAATAAATCATTGTGATATGAAAATTTTTCCAGAACCGTGCAAAAGTACGATTTATAAATTTAAAAATCAAAATAAAATAAAAATTAAATAAAAATCAACTAAAACTTATATATAAAAGACGTTTTTAATTGAAATCAAAATGATTTCCATGTTTTTACGCGATTTTAAAGTTACTTTGGTTTTCTTCTTGCTTTGTTTCATAAACTATGACATTGAATAAATTTATTCGCCCGTATAAGTACAAATGAATGTATAAACCATTCAGGACAATTAAAAACTTCAAGGCTAATAAATAGCCAAGTGTAACATGATATATGAAACTTTAATTAAATGATAAATGGTTGCGGAAATATATATTGTAGTTGCGAAATTAAGTAAACAATTTCTTGCTGTCTTCCTGAATGTCACCAATAAATCTTCACCAATACGACGTGGTAAATCTATGCTAAACTAGGACAAACTTTTCGAAGTATTTCATTGTTTTTGCAGCACTAACTGACCAACTCTTCAGCGGTAAGTTTTTCTAATATCTTAAATATAAATAACAACATGTTTTTATCTTGTCATTTCACACTTTTTGATTAGTTTTCCAAAGCAACGTAGATTGAATTAACGCACTACGTTAATAAATTCTCTGAACAAATAAAATCGTAAACACGTTAGTCATTTTCTTTTCAGAAAATGCATTTCTCATTCATGAAATTACACCGGGCAAAATATGACAGCGCGAACTTAACAGTCCATTAAATATTTGCAGGCTCATCAGTTTTCTGTTTTCAATTTTTCCGAGCTGGTTGAGTAGTTGCGCCTTTTTCGTCAAGTCACACACTTCGAAACTCAATTAACAAGTGAGGCGGTTTATAGACACTTGAGTGAGTCATTGCGATTTATTATGTCTGCAAAATGATGTTTGTTCCTGGATTATTATTCCAAATAGAAATGCGGACGTTTTGTGGCTTCGTTATTCCACATGTGTGGACTTTTACGAGGAACAGTCGCGAAATTTTCCAATTGCATGCGAATGGAAGCTCATTTCATTTTGGATATTCCAATAAAATACAAGAGTTAAATTTATTATTTAGCTATAACTAAATAACTGAATCCGTAACTATAAACTAAACAAATAATTCATTTAAAAATACTTCCAAGCGTTTTCATTAGTTTATATTAAATTGATAATGTAGTTATATTCTTCTTGTATCTTAATAAATATATAATTAACTGTATTGATTTGTGATCGATAGCAATGCGACTTTCAGAATGATTGACACGCGTGATTTTGTGTTAACATACTAAGTTCACACACTCGGCGCAGTGTCTCAGCTGCCACGTTCACAATATGCGCACCGTTCGTTTTACGGTAGGTACACAACATTATGATTTTTCATTTAACGTGTGGCGGCGTCTGTCGATATGAATTTATTTTATGTAAATGCAAATTAATGTTTACATTGTGAGTAAAAAAAATACGTATTATAAAAAGGGATCATTTTTTCATGTAGCATAATTTTAAACTATAATACACAATTTGCTTCTCATTTCTCTAAACATTTTCGATGATTATTTTTGTATTTAGTTTCGGAAAGCGACCTTAGTTTAAACTTACGCACACTATGATTGTACAAAAGTGTTTGCACTGTAAACCCTTCACCTTTACCTATATTTGATCAATAAATAGATATGATTAACTATCAATGTTATCAAAATAAACCTCACAACGCGGAATAAGTATAAAAATAGACCAAGTCGAATGAATGCGGCGAAAAATATAATGGGGACTTCCAACGCCGCTATGCTGTTGACGTCGACACGCGTTACACACCGGGTTATGTGTTACGTTTTATCGAGCGAAGTGTACGACCACCCCCGGCTGATGTGGGACGCAGTGGCGGTAGTGGTGACGGCAAATGATGCCTGCACGATATCGCAGCCATTCGCTACCCAATGTCAAGACTAAGCAATTGCAATCTTTGTTCTACGCCGACAATCAATCGCTGTTTATTAATGTTGATTAATTGCAGTCGTAATTGAAGCAGTCGCTGTCGAAAATTGCATAGTCAACCGTTGAATACTAAAAATGCGCTGAAATGTCACTTTTCAAAGGCACTATTGTCAGCTTTGTAAGCCGCAATTTGAAGTGCGCGATAAGCAATAAATGAATGATGCTTAGCAGTGTGCTGCTGGAGCAGGTGTGAAGTTGTGAAGTCGGGGAGCCAATAAATTGTGTTATTTATTATTTCGGTACACTTTTATCGATTTTGCGTAAACCCACTATCACCCCACGTGGATTATTTATATATCCTCAGCGTGTCGTGTGAAGTTTCTAATAGTTTCAGCTGGTGAGAACAGCAGCGACAGCTTATAAAAAGCGATCTGATTTCAATTGTTTCATGCTGCTGCGCGAATTGTTCTGTTTCGCAGATGTTTATGTGCTCTCACGTTTCTCATGTAATGTTTATTGCTTTAACGATACTTGGCTTTTGTACTTCAAAAATTATTCACTTTATTTCATCTAAAAATATCCAAAGCATTATTGTGATCCAAGAATTGACAACAAAAACAATGGTAATGAAGAAATAAATAAATATATCTTAAATCTTATTATATTTTTTCAGGTTTATGGTAAAGTGTTGAAATTTAAAGCTGGAAATGTGTTATTACAAGATGATGACCGTCCGCATGGAAATTGGTAATATTTATGGCCATTTTTCATAAATTCATGTATGCGTGAATGCATGTTGGGTGTAAAACCACAGCCAGGGCCAGGCGAGCCATTCGATTCGAAAATAATAAACTATCGCCACAAGTATTTCGCCTAGCGATAACAAATTGCGGATCGATGGTTTGAACGTGTGCCAACTTCATTTTTCACCGCCGCACTATCATCAGCCGCCGAGCATGCCCAGGGGCGATTAAAATGGTGAATAGAAAATGCTGCAAACAGAAACCACCGCGTCGCGCCAATCATTAATTGTCTCTCTTTTGTGTTCTCGGTCGGGTCGTACGTGGCATGATCGCAACATCTGTATTGACTAATTCGACGTGCATATTTAATGTGTGCCACAATGACAGGTGTTATCGTGGCTGTTGGCCACCCGCACAACTCGCAACACTTGGACGCCGAATAGGAATGGTAAATAGTAAATATGCTTGACCTCTGCTCTGCTCCTATTTAAAAAATAAAATAAAAAACAGCGTTTCGGCTGAAGTTAACAAACCGCATATTATTTCACGATCATCTCTTTTTGTTTCATTAATTATTTTTATTTTATCAACCTGAGGACTTGAGACATTCTTCAGTGTTTTTTAGCAGTGATAGAACCATATAGATGTCATAAATAAATAAATAATATGAAACTATAATTTATTAATGATATGACATGGCAAACTATGGCAACTATGTGGGTACTGATTAATTTTTAATAATCCAAACATAAGTTTTGTTCTTATGAGCGCGTTTTATCACAACTCAAAGACGAGAGAGTTGAGATCAAAGACTGGATTTAAATTACGATTTTCTGTAAAACTATGCACACTCCATGTTTGGCAAAAATCAGCATAAAGCACATGCATAAAGCAAAAGAACAATACGCGTCTATATTCATCTCGTCACTTTTGTTTGCATTGTTTTGCATACTACTCAAAGTACGTCCTTCGATCGACATTTTTATTTGCACCCGTCTTACGTTCACAACTTTTGCGTGTTACTTTAAGGAGGTCGCTTAGTCGACTCGAGGCGGGTGCACAAAGGCGTAGCGAAACAAAGTTATCGCGGCACCAATTCGTCGAACCTCAAAAGACAAAAAACTTTTATTTTTATTTCGCATTGTTTATATATCACATGCGTCACGATTGGCCAGGCCGGTATATGGAGTCGTTTCTATTGATTGATTTTGCACATTCAAAACGCACGGATTGTATTCATCCGGTAACAGTGCGTTGTGATATTTTTAGTATTGCAATTTGCCGCCTTAATTATATTCGAGTTCGCAACTTGTCGGCAATTGTGATTAGCGTTTGTTTTCGCGTTTTGTGTTGGTTTCCAGATTTCGCCCTTCGGGCGATGTGTCTTTGTTCTTTTGGACGTAACATCATTGTTTCGACGCTTTCGTGCCTTCAACGTGCGGAATAATCAATACCATGTTGCAATGTATAATAGAAAATAAAACAATACCTACAATCAATTCAGAATGATGTGTCATTGAAAATATAAGAAGTAAAAATAAAGTATAACAAAATATTTTGCATAAAAACATCTTTTTTGGAACGTACTGGGTCAACATTATATACCAGTATAATGAATTATAAACTAATCCGAAAATATTGATTGAAATCGCACGACGCCCACTATTTCTCAGAATAATTGCTGGTGTTTGTAGTATTTATTACGATGATAAAAACAATCAAGCTCTATCACTCTCACTTGACTATTCAATTTATTAATCATGTATAAGTATAACTTATGTATTATGTACCACATCAGCAAAATGTAGTTTTATTAATAATTCAGGTATGCTATATTTATTAAGTCAAGGTGAACACTTCTTGAATATCAACCAGAAAGATGTGTAGCGAGTTTGGTCTTAAATTGTTAACGCGTTAATATCATCTTCTGCAAGTGTCATAAACAGTTAGCCAATTAGAAATTGTCGTAAAGTCATAATGTACGAGTTCTCCAGAACCCGAAATTGGCGTACTACTGGCAATCAATACGATGCGGAGTTGTCCAAAATGGTAGACGGAGCAAATCTATGGTTACAATTGTAAAGTACTCGTACATATATCGAGATTGCAAAACTCTTATTCACACCATTATCTACGAGAAGAAACTGCACTACGCACTCTCCATTGTGTTGTTCGACCAAAGTAAACCAACAAATCGATTGTGGTGTAGATTTATGAGCACATCGAGATATTTTCGGAACATGCGAAACGATCGCGCACGTCTATAAAGCCAGTTTTGCATAGTTTTTATTCGAAAAAATTGAACATTGTTATTTAATTTGTGATATTGGAATTTTGAACGCGGTTTTTCTTTGATATCATATATGCTCACATTCTTAAAGTAAATATTTAGCCTATTGCTAAATATAGGTTGCACTTGAACTGTAGTAAATCTAGTCGTCCTACAATATTTATCTTGAGAAGTTTACATGACTTGACCTACCATAGCAGTTGGTCTAAGTGAAATGTTACAAAACTGACAACCTTATTAGTACATAACAACGAAAAATAATCTAATATATGATAAGAACTGAGGTGTTCCAGAAGTGGGTGGAAAGGTGTTTGTCATCAATCTAAAAAAGCACTTCTGATATATCTCCGTGGATGTTTTTTAATCTATTGTACGGATATGTGAATTTAAACAAACCCTAAATAAACATCGCACCCAAAAACAAATCGTTACTTTCTGCTTAGCATGGTTTAGCTATGTTTGTCCCGAAAAATAAACTAAACCGTGCGTGTTCAGTTTCGGGACCGCAGATTTACATTTGCAAGATTAATCGGTTACGATTCGTTCAGACGCGCGTAGTGCGTGATGTGCAATTACAAATCATAAATCTCTCAATACCTAGCATTGTTTTGCACTCAAAAAGTTATTGGCAACAAGTTTATATTTGACTCTGAGCATCGCAGAACCATAACATTGACTGGTTTAATAAAATCATTCGTATGTAAATTAAAAGAACTTGTTTTTCTTTTTATTTTTGTAAATAATATAGATATGATATGTGTGGATGTAACGAAGGAATGAAGCTTGGCTACATTTCAAATTTTAATAACATTACTCATTTAGTCACCCGGGTCACACCCGAAATACATACGAGTAAATCTACATATTTGTGCACATAGAGTAGTAATGAAAACAAATGATCATAGTAGTAATGATGGCCGCATTTCAAAAACTTAACTTCCAGAATATTCTCAATTACAGTCGCGGAGACAACTAAAATATTGAATTCTTAAAATGATAAATTATTTATAAAATGTTTCTTATGAACCACTTAATATTATTAAAATAAGAGGGAAACTTAAAAATCAAAAAAATCCATTTTTTCTTGTTTCGATGTAGCAAAATCCAAGAACCCTGTTAAAAAATAAAGAATAGTAATAAATAACTGAACTAATTAATTAATAGTACTTGCCATGTTCTGTCGTGTCGTCTTTATCACTTTCGGAGTTGGTTTCATTATCACCAAACTGTCCAAACGCAAAATTATCAGATAAAAAGAAGTCCGACTGTAGTTCTCCCTATGTATATGTACAAAATATATAAAATGTGAATTAGGTGCATGAATTATTCAATTATTTACCGAATTTTGAAATGTATACGCATCGCCATCAAAATCAGTTGTTGAAGCAGGTTTGATTGGTTCCCGCACCATAGACTTAGATTTTTTTGCAAAAGAGGATGAAATTGGCAGTGTATCACTTTTGCGCTTATTTTCCAACATATACTTATTCCCAGCAGACATAGAAACATCAAGATTTTGCAAAACTGTTACTTTTGGAGCAGTTGGAGGTGGGACAATTGGAATTTTAAACTTTTCCTCTGTGTGATTCACAATAGTTTCTAAAGAAAAAGATTTAAACATTACTCAATGGCATAAAACGTATAAAGAGGACCTACTGTTGCAAACATTATTTTGGTTGGTGATCGTTTCGTTCAGTTCCGCTGCGAAATCTCCTGCTAATAAATTTTTATCATAAATATTTATATCCACCTTTGTTTGATCCAATTTTCCAAGTTTCTAAATTTACCTGTATTTATTGTGTCTGTATTCACTGAATACGCCATTACTTCATCTTCTTCAACCGTGCTTGTTGTAATACTTTGGTCTTCAGTTAAAAGAGTGTTCACTGTAAAATAATCGTTGTTAATTTAATTACACACCTTATTAAAGCAATAAAAATGTACTTAATTCTTCAGTGGCTCTTTTATATTCAATGCAGGATTCGTCATGTTCCTTCTTCAAAGCTTGCAACTTTTGCAACTGCACAGTGCGCATTACAAGTTCCAGCACTTGTTTATTCCTTTCCATTGTTTTTGATTCTTCAGTTTTTATTACTTCATTCTCCAATGCTGTATAATCAGCTTGCAATTGAGCAATATCTGCTTGTAATTGCAGATTATGATCTTTAAGCGCCCGATATTTTGGATATTCGGGTTGCAGCGCAAGTAAATCTTCCTCCATTTGGACAATATTTTCAGTTTCATTTTTTACAATAGTTAGATGTTCTTCTTTTAAAGTTTTCATCGATTGCTCCACTTCTTTGATTTCATTGCTACAGGATTCAGTGCTTTTCTGCAGAAGATCAATATGATTCAAAAGGCGATTCTTTCGCTCTGCTAACTCGGAGATATTGTCAGACAACAATTTGTTTTGCAATTCGACAGTTGCCATCTCTTTTTTAATTAATTCTTTTTCATATTTTAGATTTTCTAGAGATATTTTATATGCTAGAAATTATACATATAATAATAAATAATTTAAAATATAATATAAATATTATATTACCGTTGATAGCTGCCTTTTGTCCAACATAAATAGTTTGCTTTTCAGCAATCGATTTGTTGATTTCTACCCAAGCAGACTGTTCCTTATTCATAGTTGTATCTTAAACAAGTAAGTATAAGCAGTATATAAATGATAATATGAAAATTAACAAACAAGTTCTGAATTTAAGTTTGAGCGGCAAGTATTACAGAGTTCTGCAACTGTTACTTGTCAAAACAGAGCAAGTATCATATGATATAACCTTGAATGTTATCAAAACATTACTCTACACTGAAATAATTTAATTAGGATTCATTTTTATTCGTTGTTGCAATGTGTTGTGCAAAGAAACGTCATCCAACATGTTAGATACTAAGGAAATTTTGGAAAAAAAGTTTAACATTGATACCCACCGTACGTAAACAAAGCATTAACCTTTAAACTAGAAAAAAATTCAGTACTATTTAATTTTGCTGCTTGTTGCTTATATTTCTGCAGGTTTAATTGCCGAAAAACAACTGCAACGATATAGTAGTTTCTTTGAAAAATACAGTGAAGATGTTAACACTTTTAGGAAGAGACTGAAGTATTCATCATGTGTATCTATAAAACCCATTATAGTAAATGTAAGTAAACATCACTATTTAAAAACAAAACTGTGTTTAATCTTGTTGATATTTAGATCATTCCAAAAGAAGAAATATCTCTCTTGAAGTTAGTAACTTCTGATAATAAATTACTTAGTAGAATATTGGTTAGTCTCAGTTCTGTGTGCAATGAAGCCTACTTACTTGTGGCTGAAGCCAAAGAAAACTTCTATTCTGAATTGGTGTATTATGGAGAGTTTGATGATGACAAGGGCCTGGAGAATTTGCCCAACTTGGATAAACTCTTTGAACTCCTGCAAAAATACAACTATTTATTAAACGAACTCAGGATGTCATCATACTTATTCTACAGCAACTATGTGCAATCATTGGCAAAAGATTCTCCAGTGAGAGCAATGTTACATCATTTTCAGTTAGTTAAATATATATTATTATACACAAGGCAAGCATGACTCTTGATGTTTGTTTTCAGGAAATGTTGGATTGTTTAGCTGAACTACTGGTGTGTTTGCTCACACTTGATTCATTATTGCATGCAAATGTGATTGATGATCATTGGAAAGTTTATAAGAGAGCAATTCGGACAATGCTTCACAATTCTCATCATTTCAGTATTGATGTTGATGATATTAGGAACTTAGACAAGAAGATATTGGACTTGGAGGATACTTTACTAACTGGGATGATTATGAAAGTATGTTTTGTATTTTTTTAATACTATATCTGTGTAATGAAATTCATTGATTTAGAGAACAATGGACAAATGCATGGATGAACAACTGTTAATCACTATTAAGAGTTGCAATCTATGCAATGAAATAGTACTGTACATGCAGCAATTGCTGCAAGATCTTGAAAGAGATGATGAGGGTGTCAACTATATGCAGATATGGCTGCAAGTAAATGCACTGTTTGTGTTGCATTATAATCTAAATGGAGCTTATGACAAAAAAATATTCAAACGCATTCTGGAGAGCAACAAGAAGGTGTCGGCTTGTGTTCTATCTGGGAACATAGTATGGCTACCAGAACAGTTCCTTATCAATCACATACCTGCGCTACGTAAAATCATTGACATTAAAACAGCGCACGCGAATCGTGCGGGACAAATCACACAACGTACTCAAAATTTACACAGGGATACAACCGCGATATGTATGCAAGTATGTATAGGTAATCTATTTGTTGGATGTAAATTGACTAATATTTAATTACAGGCGTGTTCTTGGTTTATACTCATAGAAAAAAAGTTGAAGCAAGATACTAGCAAGTTTAAAGTGAAAGATTTGCAAGAATGCAGCGCTTTATTTCTGGATGGAATCAAACTTCTGAAGAAGATTTCAGAGTCTATAAAATGGATCACCAATTTACACGCTGATGAAGGACGACCAATGCCTAAATCAGTACTGTTAAATTTATGCAAAATGGTGGAGATTCTGGTCTCGTATCAGTTTGTTTTCCGACGTAATATTTTACCTATTTCCTATGTTATACCTTTAATATCACAGCAACTCACTCACAAAGCATTGGCGTTTTTGGCGAATATTAAGAAAAGTTATGTCGCCGAGAAAACATACAAACAACAAGAATTAGATGTGCTCTCAGCTTTGGTTGTAGCTGAGAAGGCTTTAAAAGGTCCTACTACTCCCGAACGACTACTTGTAACAAAATTAGCCTTATCTGCAAGTGGTTTACACAGCGAATCATTAACCGAAGTCAGACAAGTCATCCAAAAATTGGAATTCATTTGCCATTTAGTTGAGATTCTGAACCAACTGACAAACTGCTCGTTTCTCTATTGGCATCAAGTGCTCTTCCCCGTTTATTTCAATAAGCTGGCAACCAGCAGGGCTGATTTAACTAGGTCCTATGTAAGTACCCCAGATTTTCTATCTTCTCAACATAATATTTATCTGTAATGAATTTTGTTTTGGCGTAGTTACTTTTGGCAGCGCTTTCGCATTCGACCGATCTAACAGACAACACACGCGAAAACGCCGACAAATACGTCGATAAGAGTCTGGTGGAACCGATGCGTGAATTCATTGAAGCTAATCTGCGCCACCAAACGCATTTACATCTACAACTCAACCCGCTGAATCCATTCCAGACGCCATTACCCCCAAGCTGCAGGAAACTGCTGCCAGTATTATTCTCAGATACGTATGTTAATATGCGCCATGACATCGAACATTATTTGAGTACAATGTTCTACAACCTAACTACTGTTGTGTTGCACGATTGGCGGACATACGGCGAGATGCGTCGGCTCGCTGTGCTTCAGTATGGCCTTAAGACAGTCGAAGATAATTTACCCGTCCAGACATTGGAACAAGGTCTGGACGTACTGGAAATAATGCGTAATATCAACGTGTTTGTCGCTAAGTATATGTACAACTTGAATAATCAGGTCTTCGTCGAGGAATGCAGCAGCAACAAACATCTAAATACGATAAATATTTCGCATGTGGCGAATTCAATACGCACGCACGGTATTGGAATCATGAGCACCACGGTGAATTTTACATATCAGTTTCTACAAAACAAATTCTACACGTTTTCGCAGTTTATGTATGATGAGCAGATCAAGTCACGTCTTTTGAAAGATCTGCGATATTTTAGCGAGCACAAGGTCGATTTGAATCAAATGTATCCGTACTCTAGGGCGGACGCTTTCAATCACGGAATACGCAAGTTGGGTTTGAATGAAAATGGTTTGACGTACTTGGATCTATTTCGCAAGTTGATCACACAAATAGGCAATGCGATGGGATACGTGCGACTCATTCGATCTGGAGGAAAGCGGTGCGTAGCTGATGGCACTTGCTTCCTGCCGGATTTAAAATCTGTGGATGCGTTGAATGAGACCGTCCAGGACGCAGAACTTCCAGAATTGACCAAACAAGCCGCGCAACAGCTCAAGCGCGAAATTAATAATTTGGCGGATAATTTCGAGGAAGCTACCGAGTATTTTAAAGTATATTTAACTAAACTTTAAATGTTTTTCAGATAATGATACAATATTTGTTTGTAGCTTTTGATAAATGCTTTTGCATCGGTGTTTAGGGACCCACAAAACAGTCACTTGCGAAACTTCTACGTCATCATACCGCCTTTAACGATAAACTATGTGGAACACTTGTTGAACTGCAAGGAACGCCTGAATAAGAACAATCGCGATGGTAGTGCGTTCACCGATGATGGGTTTGCGATGGGAATCGCATACATAGTCGAATTACTTGATCAAGGAAGTCAGTTGAATTCACTGCATTGGTTTCAGTCAGTGTGGGCAAAACAAGTTCAGGAACGTAATCAGCTCGAAGCACAGAAAGCTAAGGCGAGCAAAGAAGACAATAAATTGCAGCAGGCATTGTCATTGACCGAAAAACGTATCAAATCTATCGAAACTGTAAGTTGCATTTGTGTTGTTGAAATGGGATGCATAGTTCAATGTTTGTGATATTTATGTTACAGGAATTCAAATTGCTGTATTACAGCTTCAGCAGTGCAAGGATCTTTTTTGAAAAGTAATTATTGATCAAATGTGTGAGAGATATTCTATTTTTATACAAATATATTATCTGTAATATACACAAACATTTAAATGCATATTTTGTTACTGCCTATGAAATATTATACTGTTAATGAGTTAGTACTCTGTTATGTCCAATTGTTAACAAGCTAATATAATAAAATGTTTATGCTTCATATTTCTTGTGAATTATTAATTGATAATTAAGATATGATACTTTTGATCCGCCATTATGCGAAATTGATTGAATATACTATAAATTTACTTACTGAACTTTTTTACTTGCTTATTGCCGTTGCAGCACACAACTAAAACTTTGTCAACAGATAATGTTGCAGAAGTACTTTGAAACAACTCAGTTGAATAACTTCAATAATTTAAAGAAAAACAAAAGTAGGCAAAAGAAAACATTATTTTACAGGCGGCGCCACTTGACAGAGCACTACTACTGCGTAACTCAAATCGATTCAAATATTTCTTGCAATATTGTTGTTTTCTATAAAATTTGTTAATATATGAACTATTTTTAATTATTAAATAATTTTAGTTTTAATAAAATCAGCTTATAAACCGCGTTTTATGCTAAATTTTTAATATGTTTGTGTTTGGACACTGATTTGACTAGCATGAGTTTACCTCAGTGCCGCGGCCATCTTAATCGGTCTCTACTTTGGTAACACGTCGAGTGCACGCCGCAACGATGAGGTAAATTGTGTTTTTGGGCATAAAACGGCGATTTTCTTACAATAAATAACTCAGAAATAATGCTGTCAGTGATCGATCCATGTTGGTTATACAAATTAGTGCGTAATCGTGTTTTAAATTCGCGAAATCAAAGAAATTGATCTAATGTTGCACCACATGGTGTTGTGTTGATCCTCATCGGTATACCTAACCTGAAATTATATACTATTCAAGCAAAAATTGAGTTTGTGTTGTAAGAAAATTGCTATTATACAGTGATCACCTAATGTTTTTATCATGCATCTAAATTAATATCTATTCTTCAGTTCGCTCAAGTTACAGAAGAGGCTCGCAGCCTCTGTTATGCGATGTGGCAAGAAGAAAGTGTGGTTGGATCCTAATGAAATTACCGAAATTTCAAACACCAATTCAAGTAAGTTAATAGATTTCTCCCGTTATTCAGTAATTTATGTTTGAATTTGTAGGACAAAACATCCGTAAGCTTATTAAGGATGGTCTCATCATCAAGAAGCCCGTGGCTGTCCACTCACGCGCTCGTGTCCGCAAAAACACCGAGGCCCGTCGTAAGGGTAGGCATTGTGGTTTTGGTAAGAGGAAGGGTACGGCGAACGCTCGTATGCCTCAGAAGGAACTGTGGGTGCAGCGTATGCGTGTGCTGCGTCGACTCCTTAAGAAATATCGCGTCGCCAAGAAAATCGACAGACACTTGTACCATGCCTTGTACATGAAGGCGAAGGGTAATGTGTTCAAGAACAAGCGTGTCTTGATGGAGTACATTCACAAGAAGAAGGCCGAGAAGGCGCGTACCAAGATGCTGAAGGATCAGGCTGAGGCCAGGCGTCTGAAGGTGAAGGAAGCACGCGTGCGACGCAACGAACGTATTGCCGCCAAGAAGCAAGAGGTATTGCAGAACTACCAGCGCGAAGATGAAGCAGCCGCGGCCGCCGCTAAAAAATAAATTATACATTTAGAGGTTTTTTTCTTAAAAAGGTTCATAAATAAATTATGAAACACCAAATGTATGTTATTTCATGTTTAACCACCCTATAAAAGTACTTAAATACTTTAAATCTAACAAAGATCAAGCTAAATTATCTTTTCATGAGTGAAAAGAGACAAAAATGATTGAATGTTGCCGATTTAAACAGTAATTTTAATAAAATCAGGGATATTGTCGCCATCTTTAGTAAGCTGGGTGAATTCTGAGTGAAAATGGTGAATAATTATGGCTTTAAACAGAAAAAAAAACAAAGTTAATACATTTTTGGATTGTAGGGAGAGTTCAGTCATGGAAAGTCATTTTAAAAACGATTTATTGCATGTAAAAAAACAATTCTCAAGTACTGAATATCAATTCAATATTTTCATAATAAATATTTAGTTTTGCACCCCAAAATAATCAAAAAATCAGTTAAATATAAAAAATGCAATTTTAATTGCTTTAAATTTTTAATTAAAGTAAATTGACTGCATATATTCGTTTAAAATTTAAATGTCGCAACCTAACACAGAATATAAGTAGTTTAAAAGTCTTCAATTTTGATTTCTCAGCAAATAAATGCTGTGAATGCAAATTATGTAATATTTGACTCATGTTTTATTGTCCATCGTAATATTGTCTTAGAAATTCTTCTTTGGCGCGCGCGGTTATCCTCCACGGCAGCTGTTTGGTTATAATCTAGTCGGGGTGGTACAAAACCCCGTTGAATACTTTCCATTTCCACCAGTTTAGTACCGCATTTACGCATCCCAACACCAAACCGCAGCAGGCATATGCTGGAAAACGCGCTAACAGCCCGACGACCCCAGCGCGCGCACGGCCAACGAACCAGCCGCGCTCTAATGTAGGTAAGGAGAAGTGGAAACATACGTTCGGAACGCGCGCCAGTATTGAGAGTTCGTCGAGATCGCGCGCCGTAATCAAGTTCAATGGTAAATCCGTGCATCAAATTCGCGTCCGAAAAGAAAGATTTCTAGTGCCTTGTGGTAAAATTATTGCCTGCGATCACATAACTACTAGATTTTATTAAGGTAAGTCTCAAAATCTTCAAATTTGTACCCAAAAAGATAATGTTTTGTGGATGAACGTTAGCGCCAAAAGTTGTGAGACGATGGCTAGATTGACACGTTAGAGGGGCATCTTTGGAATTAATTTCTGAGTGCATCCGTGGTGCTAGCACAATAAAACTTATACCATTTTATTTGTCTTTTAATTAGCTACCAGCACGTATTTTTGTTTTTATTAAATGTTGCTTGTTCGCCTATCATAAATTATTTTCTGTAGGTTATGTGATTAACCTGTACATTGGTGTTTTGCCGCTTCTTTTGAAAACACCCCAATTTTATCAATTTGGACTTATTTTAACATAATCGAGTATTGTACAATATAGATATAGAACATATTGAATAATCTAAATGGAAAAAACGGCAATAATTGGCCTGGTTCTTAAGTTATTCGTGTTGTTTCGTGATGAGTTTTGGCGCGTATCAACTGATCTCATTGCTGCAGATGCAAATTCGGTTTCCTTGTCTATTTATTTACTATGGGGCCAAGTATAATTTTTTAATAGTAATTTATTAATTGTATAATAGGTTTTTAAATTTAATTTTTGATTTTGCAGACTGACCATGGACAAAAATGTTATAATAAACAATGATTCTTCAACTTCAACTTCAAGAAAACAAGGAATCAAGGAAGTAAAACTATGTGTTGAGAGTGAATCAAACTCTAGTTCTGACACAGATTCACTAACGAACGAACCGTCAAGCAGTTTTTTCGATTTTTTAAATGAAGATAAGCTACAGAATGAGATTAATGCATTAGTTAGCCCAAAGGAATATCAATCAGAGATATATGATGAACAAGTATGTGACTATATTCTTATCACATACAAAATATATGAATGTTTTTAGTTAATCATGTTGACCTTATTTTTATATATTTTTTTAGAGAGGCATTAATTCATTCGGAAAGGAGGGCATATACAAAACGCCTCGCAGTCGCGTGCCGACGATAGTAGAGAACGTTGTCAATGATGTGGAGACGACACCGAAGAAAATTCGCGACACACCACTGCCATTATTAACTTGGGCAGAGAGTGACGAAGTCTGGCAGAATTTGGTTTACAAAGAAGAAGCAACAGCGACACTACGCAACATTAAAATCTTCGATGAAAGATCTGCGTATTTACCGCGAATGCGCGCTATTCTTCTCGATTGGATCATGGAGGTTTGTGAGGTTTATCACCTCCGACGCAACACATACTACTTGGCAGTAGATTATATCGATAGGTACCTAACTGCGCGTCCCAGTGTTCCCAAAACTCAACTACAATTACTAGGAGTTGCTTGTCTTTTTATTGCGGCTAAACTAGAGGAGATTTATCCTCCGAAGTTATCTGAATTTTCATACGTTTGCGATGGTGCGTGCACTGAAGCTCAGATACTTACCTGTGAAATACTTCTGTTGAATATTTTGGGTTGGGAGGTGAATGTAATGACTCCTAGTAGTTGGCTCAATCTGTACATGCAGATACATTACAACGCTGATGTCATCAAACAGTGTAAGATGCTCTCACTGGATAACAAGTATTTTGAGTATCCTCAATATTCAGCGTACGAGTTTGTCAGAGCGAGTCATTTGATCGATTTGTTCTCCATGGACGCAGGTTTTCTCAAGTTCAATTACAGTACAATTGCTGCCGCGGCCATGTTCTACACTTACGGAGAAGAGGTTGCTCTAAAGGTATCCGGGTTGAAAAAGAAACAACTAAAAGACTGTACTAATTACATGCGTGGGTTTAATTCGATTATTAATCAAGCTCATGATCCGCGACTTGCCTCGATTGTTCCAGCACAGGACGATGAGAGATTGAATCGTAGTTTTTGTTATACTAGGCGACATGTACCGAAACTGATTAAGAACGAAGATCATTCCATACAAACACATTTAATTGATTTAGACTATTTTGAGCGATCAGTGCTACATCGAATTGAAGAGTTTGGTATTCAGGTAAGAAAGGCGTTTGTTAGGAAATACAAGTCCTCAAGTGGGGAGACAGAATTTGAGACGTTAAATGAAGAACCTAAAGAACAAGAACCACCCACAGTAATGGTATACGAGCTGACACCATTGAAGAAGTTTGAGGAAGAGGAGGAAGTCAACACATTACACACAATGCATCCAACTGACGCTGAGTATGAGGCTGGTAAAGTGAATATTTTTCGGTTGCCACACAAAACAACAGTTACTTTCGATGATATACTATCAAGCATTCATCACGATTCACGTATAGCTAAAATTACCTCGCAATTATTGGATCAGTCGCTAGTGTATCACTAATTTTATTTTACTTAATAGTTGCAGTTTGGAAACATTTAATACTAGAGCGTTTTTGTTTGGGAAATTGTTTGGATTTGTAAAAGTGGCAGTTCATATGTTTAGAGATAAATGTGCAAGTAATTCGATATGGATCACTGAATATTTTTGAGAAAGACTTGATAGAAAATTTTATAGCTTGAAAAATACTGTGATCTCTACAAACTGACTAGTTTTATTTAGGTTTTAGTGAAATTAATATTTATTGTACTTGACGATTAATACCGTTCGTACGGTTTATACAAGTGAATTTTTATTAAAGCGTAAAGAATTTGTACAAATATGATGTATGGAATTTTTAATGAAATAATACTTCAAATGGTATTTGTGTAGTAGTTTAATACCAATAACAAGTGATTGATAGCATTAAAATGTCTAATAATTATTTGACAACGAAATTAAATGAAGGGGTGTAGTATTAGTGGAACATATTTTTAAAATACTGCAAAAGTAAGAACTCAAATGATTTTATTATTAGTATGCTAAGATTGAGTCTAATGTTTGTAACGAACGCGAATTTACATAGATACTGTGCCTTGTACTTTGATTTTTATAAATAAATGAGTTAATAGTTTCACGGTTAATGCAATTAAGCAATTAAATATTTAAATAAGTGAATACGTTAGTCGTACAATAATTATTACTCATTACACATGCCACGCGTTCGACATCACGATAGTTACATGTACCTGCGTTTCATTTTCATGTAATTATGCCCAAAAGTTGAAGCAAACACGTAAATTCTGGTTGCAAATCAAAATGAGTATAAATACTTTTGAATTTGGCTTTACCTGCTTGATATCATCGGCTAAAATGACAAAGTTGGATATAAATACATTTTAACTACTTTGTAGTTTCATTCTTTATTTGTAATAAGTTCAGAATTAATTTTGCACATTGAAATCTAAGCAAATATTTACAAATCACATAATATGGAATATAACTTGTATAATGTTTATACCATATGTATCAATTATATATATCATTACTTATTTACTAAAACAATAGTCCAGCTACGAAAATATTACAAATTAATTGTGAAGATACTAATTACTGATATGTTTTTGTCAAATTTCTAAATGCATACAACGCTATTTTCTTACAGTATCAAAGAAAATGATATTTGACATGGATAGATAGTGAGCTATAGTTATTTGTTGAATATTTTGTAAACTTATCAGTTCATTTCTTTCAACAAATTGTATTAACATGGTTTGCAACTAACAAAATCTTTAAACGCGTTATAGCAAGCGAATTAATTTACGGTATTAGTTTATTATTATTTTCTGGTGGACTAAATGTAGACTCGTGACCGATGCAAGTAGAACACTCCATGTTGGGCTTGGATATCAACGATACCGGGCCGGGACTAGGTGCTTCTATAACAAAAGAAATTGCGTGAAATTTAGCTATCGTTTGGTTTTAATTAAGTCGTTAAACTTTAAAGCAAATTCAGAACATTTCCAGCTGCCAATGTTGCACGTAGCGTTAAGTCGGGCGCTGCATTGTTCTTATTTAGAACAAATTGAAAGCGCCGCCGGTGTTGAGTAAATGCAGACCCGTTTGCTAGTTGCTAACGCGCATCCTGAACAGAGGAGGTGTAACTTAACTTGCTCACACAATCATTAAGCGGATTTCCGTTAATTACCAAAGTGTAATCAAATCACATAAGTACACACTTTGCATGAATGGCGTTCAAAATCAATTAATGTAACTGCGCGTTGCCATGGCAATTCCCGAACCGTTTTCTAGCACTGTATGGGAACCGCCTGGCAACGTGTAGGAACTCAGCTCCCCGCTTCAATATAAACCTGTTTATCTATTTCATTTTAATTTACTATTATGTAAAACTCTGTTGGCGTATACTATATTATTATACTAAATAATTAATGCTTACCACCCGCAAGAACAAAGTGTCGGTGCAAATCTTGTCGATAGAGGAAGTTGGTGCGATCTGTACCGTCGAACGACAATCGCGACAAATTCCAGATACGATGTGTTAGTGCTGAAGCAGGTAATAATTCTTGTTGGCAAACTGATGCAGGAACTAATGAAGGATGATGTTGTTCATCGTTTGATTCTGGAGTTCGACTGCGTTCCACTAATGGGCCTAGCTACAAAAAATGATTTTTTAAGTTTGAAATTAGGTATTTGATCCGCAGTTAATAGAAACTCAAAACACAAAACATATTCTGAAAGATAATCAAATTTTATATCGATTATATAAGTATTTATACCCCTACCATTGATCGTTCAGGCCCTATTTGCAATTTTAACAAAAACATTGGTTTTTACATGCCAAAAAGGCTTTAATCTATAATTGTGTTAATGGTTTCCGATTCAGAATTTAATTTACTTTCTTAATCCGAGAAAATAATTTAAAAATTTCAATTATTACAGAATCTGCATTTGCTGAAATAAAAGATTTCATCATAAAAAAGGCAAAAGATTTCTCTGTTTTATATTGAATGCAGTTTTCATTAAAATTTGCAAATAGGGCCTAAACGGTTAATGTTAGTAAAAAAAGTTACTAAAATAATCGATGTAGAATTAAATTGTCTATCAGAATCCGAAAACAGAATTTCAAAATTCCAACTTTTAATTTCGAGCATAAAAAGAGAAATCTTTTGCCTTTTTTATAACAAAATCTTTTCTTTAAAAATTTTTTGTGCCATTTTAGTCGATTTTCAATAAGGATGGTTTCTTGTCTAGAATTCTTCAAGGATCAGGAATATGAAGTCCTTTTGTTTCTAGCCATTTTGGTTTTCGAGATAATTAGCATTTAATTTTCCAAATTACACTATGCCGACCGAATACACGTGTTTCATTATACATAATTGCAAGTAGGGCCTAAACGACTAATGTTAGACAAAAATGGTACTGAAATAATCGATGCAGAATTAAATTATCTATGAGCACCCGAAACCAGAATTAAAAAATTCCAATTTTTCCTTTTGAACTTAAAAGAAAAATATTTTGTCTTTTTTATGACGAAATTTTGTTTTCAACAAATGTAGGTTCTGTAATAACTAGAATTTTTGAATTCTGTTTTCGGATTCTGAAACCTAATTAAATTCTGAATCGGAAACCAGTAACCCAATTATAAATTAAGGCCCGTTTAGCATGTAAAAGCAAGTTTTTAAAATTAAAATTAGAAATTCGACCTAAACGGCATATGTTAAGTGAAATATTTCATGAATATTGAATATCTTGATTAATATGTTGGTGTCTCTAGCAATAGATACCAATATACACCAAAATTTATGAAAGAATTTGGATAACGCTTTTGGTCGCGCTCCTAATGCGTTAATTTGCAGTCCCAAATTATGACGTTCGCCATCAATTTAATTAATTCCCGTGAAATAAATGTTAAAATCCAAATTTAAGGCGATTATGATGCTGTATATATTCGTAAAACGACTGCGTGCACGCGCCCTACATAATCAATTAACGTAATGTAACATCAAACGAGAAATATGATATGCGTACGGGTTGGATGTGCGCAGTATTGGCTTGTTATGATTGTTGAAGGGAATAATCGTGTGCATGCGTATGTGTGTGTGTTGTATTGAGTGAGTTAGTGGTCGCGACTGCCGGCGGGAAAACGTTATTTTATACAAGTGAATGTTAATTTGATGTAATGTGATGTGATGATAAAGAAGCTTCCTACTAGCTTCCAGTTCCGCAAATTGAGTATTAATTAAGATTATGTTATTTGACGCGTAATTACCTAATTGGGACAAGCATTAATAATAACCTAAATGGATATTACTTTAATTAGTCATTTAGTAAACTATGTACACAAAGATTATATATGAGATTCCCTTCTATATTAGAATTAGAGAATTGTTATTCCAGATATGAATAATCAACATTCAACAGTACAGAAAATTAATTTATAATTTGACAACCGTGGAGTATTTTCTTGTTTATCTCTTCATAACTGCGAAAAAAATAAAACAGCAGCTTATTTGATAGAGAAAAGTCCGTAGATTAAGACGCTGCGATCAGATCCTATTTATCTCTTTTAGTTTACGAGATATTCGCGTTTGAATAAAATGGGCAAAAATTGCAAAATGTCACTTTTTAGCACTTTTAGTTGCGTTTTTCGACCTTTTACTGTTGGAAATATAATTATTTTATATCTTTATCTAATAGAGAATATTCCAATCTATCATAATCAATTATTCGTTGGTAGCTAGCGGTTTTAGTTTAAGAGATATTAATTATCAAAAATCGTCGAAAAAAAGTATCAAGCACCCCCCCTTGGCATTTTTTTTCTTAAGAAGTAAAATTTAATCTCTCAGATTTCCCTTTTAACTATCCTATCTGATAGAGGAAAGTCCGTAGATTAAGACGCTGCGATCAGATCCTATTTATCTCTTTTAGTTTACGAGATATTCGCGTTTGAATAAAATGGGCAAAAATTGCAAAATGTCACTTTTTAGCACTTTTAGTTGAGTTTTTCGACCTTTTACTGTTGGAAATATAATTATTTTATATCTTTATCTATAGAGAATTTTCCAATCTATCATAATCAATAAAATTTAATCTCTCAGATTTCCCTTTTAACTATCCTATCTGATAGAGGAAAGTCCGTAGATTAAGACGCTGCGATCAGATCCTATTTATCTCTTTTAGTTTACGAGATATTCGCGTTTGAATAAAATGGGCAAAAATTGCAAAATGTCACTTTTTAGCACTTTTAGTTGCGTTTTTCGACCTTTTACTGTTGGAAATATAATTATTTTATATCTTTATCTGATAGAGAATTTTCCAATCTATCATAATCAATTATTTGTTGGTAGCTATCGGTTTTAGTTTAAGAGATATTAATTATCAAAAATCGTCGAAAAAAAGTATCAAGCACCCCCCCTTGGCAATTTTTTTCTTAAGAAGTAAAATTTAATCTCTCAGATTTCCCTTTTAACTATCCTATCTGATAGAGGAAAGTCCGTAGATTAAGACGCTGCGATCAGATCCTATTTATCTCTTTTAGTTTACGAGATATTCGCGTTTGAATAAAATGGGCAAAAATTGCAAAATGTCACTTTTTAGCACTTTTAGTTGCGTTTTTCGACCTTTTACTGTTGGAAATATAATTATTTTATATCTTTATCTGATAGAGAATTTTCCAATCTATCATAATCAATTATTTGTTGGTAGCTATCGGTTTTAGTTTAAGAGATATTAATTATCAAAAATCGTCGAAAAAAAGTATCAAGCACCCCCCCTTGGCAATTTTTTTCTTAAGAAGTAAAATTTAATCTCTCAGATTTCCCTTTTAACTATCCTATCTGATAGAGGAAAGTCCGTAGATTAAGACGCTGCGATCAGATCCTATTTATCTCTTTTAGTTTACGAGATATTCGCGTTTGAATAAAATGGGCAAAAATTGCAAAATGTCACTTTTTAGCACTTTTAGTTGCGTTTTTCGACCTTTTACTGTTGGAAATATAATTATTTTATATCTTTATCTGATAGAGAATTTTCCAATCTATCATAATCAATTATTCGTTGGTAGCTATCGGTTTTAGTTTAAGAGATATTAATTATCAAAAATCGTCGAAAAAAAGTATCAAGCACCCCCCCTTGGCAATTTTTTTCTTAAGAAGTAAAATTTAATCTCTCAGATTTCCCTTTTAACTATCCTATCTGATAGAGGAAAGTCCGTAGATTAAGACGCTGCGATCAGATCCTATTTATCTCTTTTAGTTTAGGAGATATTCGCAATTGATTCGATATTCACGACACGTTTGTCTCTTTTTATTGTTGTTTCATTAACTTTGAAATCACAACGATTTTAAAGAAGCATTCAAAAATATTGATAAACATAATAATCTTTAAACGTATGAAAATAAAACATCAAATTATTATTATTATTATCATGATATAAGCTATCATATATTCAGAGGTTTTCATTGTCAACGAAATATTTAATGTATACCTAAGCACACTAAACTAATCTAATGAATACGGGAAACTAAGTACACTTGAACAATGGTTTTATCAAAATGAAATATCGTGAAATACAATGCCGCTTTCGCTTTGCCTAACGCGAACTTCGATTTCCAGGACTAGTACAGGTGGCAGGATGGAATAGAAGCAGAAGTAGTTCCACCACGGTACATGTAATATTTAATGAGGCTATAAAATATCTGATTTGGAATGATATAATAAAACATGTGAATGCGTAACATGTTCGTTTATTATTAATTATCGGACACGCGAATCATCCACTCGTCGCGTTGGGTTTCCATGCACGACGCATTTAATATGCGCTTGGAGTGTGTTTATTAGTTGGGAGCGCGCTTGCTTAACCGACCCCAAAGCGTTAGTGCAAGCAAGGAAAAACTAAACACGACAGTACATTTTTCCAGTTCTTTTATTTAGCAGGCAGCGTTATTAATTCATAATTAAATATTACAACACGTGCATTGATTTACCACCTTATGTGATTTTTAGATGTTTTAATAACAAATTAATTAAAATTAATCAATTATTATTTTTATTATAATCTAGTTTATTTACTATTGATTTAGGAATAATAATATGTTTAAATTTATATAAAATCTTGAAAATTGAGCATTAGATAAACGAAAACAATTTTTTTTCTTTCCTGTGAAGCATTTAAGTGACACAACAAACCGAGAAAGAAATGGTCGTATTGATACATTCACATTGCCAAATCTTGTGCTTACATCAAGGCTTCTCTTGTGCGCACCGGTTTCGCCCAGCGCAACCGCCTCCACATGTTGTGGGGCACACAAATGGCGTAATACCCTTAGTCAAGAGCTTATACGGTTTGTGCGCACGGAAACGCGGCGAACCCGTCCCCATGGGCCGGCCAAGTCATATGGGATTACAACGAATGTTGTATTATAGCTACTTTGCCCAGCATTGCTTTCTCCGTCGCTATATAAAACGCTTGACAAAGCGGGCGGACGGGACCTTTAAAAACGCACTGCACACAAAACGAATCCCAGCCCGATTCAATTACACAAGTCTAATTGCTTTTAATTGTAAGTGTGCGAAATTTGATTGTAGTTACCAGATTTGCGATTTGTTATTGTCGCCAGTTGTTAAACAATTATGATTATGCATATAGATATATTAATCTAAATAAATTTTGTGTTTAATTTAATTGTGAGTTGATTAAGTTAGCATGTGTTAGGTTAAATTAGTTTCAAATAGATTCTGATATACTTAAACTGCTTAATTATTTAATTCGAAGAACATTTGATTATTTTGAAGGTGGATTATGTCCTTTGGAAAATAATTACTTACAACTAAGACAAATAAAACAAATTAACTTTTTCAAGCGGCTCATTTAGTATTCATGGAATGTATTTAGCACAAAAGGCCAAATGCGGCAAGTGGCACGCCTGTGAATCGGGCGAGCTTCGACGCCTGCTAAATCGTGCACCCTCGCCGTGAGTGCGCCCGAATTAGAAAGCGCGACGAAGAGTTTGCCCGGCGGCACTCAATGAACATTTTTATTTAAATTAAATATCTCGTCAATGTTTCACCGTGCTGCTTCGCGCTGTAGTTGCGACGTCTTTATTCAGTTTTACATGCCGTCGGTGTTGCTCAAGAATAGCTGCTCTCGAGCTCAAGGAGTTCACGCTCCAGCTCGAAAAGAGCGTCTGTTGTATACACAATCCAGCAGACTTTTCTCCTCCGACGGAGTCACACGTTCGGCTTGTCTGGATGTTAAAAAGTGTCGTGATACACCATTAGTTGCGAGTATAATAAAATAAATACACATTCCAAGTTAAATGAGTTCGTATTCCCAGCGGACGTTCGACGGAGGCGCCTCCGTGCCGAGCGGACAAATGCGTCCCGGCGGCGACATCGCAATACTCGATATCCGACGCTGATTTCGTACATGATTGCTTTTTTATATCTCCAAAACAAAACACGTACGAGCAGAAGATAACGGCGCCATTTCGAACGACGTTAAATGTTTGTCTTGGCTCGTTTCCCCGAGAACTAATGCCCCACGATTTCGCGTGTGAGCCACCCCCCGACTCCGAGCCTAAGTGGTAATTCGGACGGGCATCTTCTTCGAAAAACGGCTCCTATAAAAAGATGCCCATTACCTACACGTTCACGTGCGCACGTTTTCTCTTGCAGTACCTACACGCGAATAGATACCTCGGGCTGTCATTAATTATTAGCTCGGGTACGCCGAATTAACTTATTGAGGATGTTATCATTTCAGATGGGATTGTTTGAATCATGGATGATGGCAATGTTTAAAGGCTACGCGGGGGTCGCATTAAATTTTTAGCGTAGGTATTAACTCGAAGAAGGGTCAAACTCATTCAATTTAATTCAATTAACATACAGGGTGTTTAATTTAAAGCTAATTTACGTATATTTAATTGAAAACATGAAATATTTATTAAATTTTTTAGTTTTCAATGAAATATATTTTGTTTCTATATGTTTAGAAAGCTGCATAATTGTGTAACACCCAGTGAAGGCGAACAAGGGTGAATTTAACATGATGTATGATAGATAACGCTCGAAATCGCGAGAGCAAATGAGGGGACAAATGCAGCGCTCCGCATTGTCTGTATCAAAGTCGATCCCTTAATTATTCATACCTGCCCATAGAATTGTAGTAATTTTAATCCATTGTTAAGTTAAACAAACGCCCCGATTCTCATTGTTACGGCGTATTCACTTTAATTGCTTTTAATTTACAAGCAAGAATCGCGTGGGTTGTATTATGTAGTCTTGTTTGCACTTTTCAATTATGTTATGGTATGTTCACGGTTCATCCGCGCCGACTTTCATGTTATTTCACTTCGGTGCGACTACGCGCATGCAATCCTTCGAGGATGAACTTTGGGATGGTTGCATTGGAAGTGAAATAAAATATTATCTCCGACTGTTGATTTTCCATTGTATTCTCTATACTATATTACCAATTGTGTCTTACGGCGCTTCAATTTAAAATGAAAAACGCGGAAATATCATTCGTTGAATAACGAAAAGTAACGAAAACACGATCGCCATTATTTAGTTTCGCGCAAACTTTTAATTGGCATCACCTTTGCGCATTTTAATCAAGCGGATTTTTTTCTGCGTCGCTGGTAGAATGGTAGTTTTTGTGCGCGGGGGAGATTCGCGTCTACATCACTGAGGCAACTAACGCGGAAAAAACGTTCGTTTGCACGAGCGCCCTGCTCCGATTACCAAACATTGCACACTCCCAGTGAGAGCGGGTCGGTCGTAAGGGACATTTCGCTTAAATGCCAGCGATTGCCCTTTGCGAAGAGTCCGCGAAAATTAAAGCAGACATTATTCAAGCCTGAAATTAAATGAAAGTTATGGTAGATAACTAGGCCCGCCAGGGTGTCTGGCAGTGTTCCATAATAAAACTGACAAGAACCTAACTGATTTATTACCATATCTAGGGCTGTAACTAAATTAATCTCTACGTTGGTTATAAGTGTTTATCAGTTTATAAGTCTCTGTGCATTTCTGCACAATTATATCTATTATATAAATTTAATTCAGAATAGTAAAATTAACCTATTTTACAGATTGAATTTTAAATTTATGTCGCATATGTATTCACTTAAAAGCAGTAGTGACTGATAACAGCATTAATTGCTACAACACTCTTTTGCGTAACAATAGCGCGCGCGATTTATTATTCATTACTATCGATTTGTACACAGCGGCGCGACTCCATGATAATCTAAATTGTCATATGGCGATAGGTATTGTCAGCAGTAGGTATGAGTGGCTGCTATTCTATGTAAGTAAATCGTCAATTCAAGGCGACAGGAAAATAGTTATTTTTGAATGTTTTCCGTAGGTAATCAGTATTAATAAAATATTTATTTAATAGAAACTGTTTGGCAGTTAATTATTATGCTTATTGCTGTTTGAAACAGAGCGTTAATTATTATGTTTATTGCTGTTTGAAACAGAGCGTCATTATTATTTTTTATTGTAATCGAGTAGCGCTCTATTCGGCCATGGAAAAGTTAGTGTTTATGACCTTTATTTATTGGTAGGATCTTGAATCTATGTACGTTTTGGAATAAAATGCACAAAATTATAACGCGTGCTCAATTAAAATCAATCAAGTTCACCAAATCTCATTATAACTCATTACATTATCGTCCGATTAAAGCAAAATTTCCTTTAGGTAAAACTTAGAAATTCGATTACATTTAAATAACTAATATTTCCACCAGTCAACAAAGGAGCGCCCGATGTGCTCACCTACTTATTACATTAAAGTTCAAAGTACAGGACCTTCTTGCGCACCGGCACTATAAATATTGTTTTTGAATAGACTCATGGTTGTAAACCATGCGTGACATCGAAATTCGAGTTCTCTTCGATTAATGCGTTAGTCTTTTTAATCAAATGTAACTCAATACTGAAGTGTTTGTGTTTAACCGCGTTCTGCCAGGACAGACACAACAGCAGCACCGGCTAAGACCCACCCCGTGCAGAACGTACCGACGGGTTTACCTTCGTCGGTGTGCTGGTGTGGGCTTTGTCGACGCAACCTTTTAATATGATTAAATGCAAACACTTGCAAACGGCGAACTAAACAGCAAAAGTTACGACCGCCACTTATTTATATCTTACCGGCACGCGTTAAGTGCTTTTCACTTTTCCAAAATTAAATTTTGCATTATTTATCATATTTATCAATGTATTCTGTAAGCATATGAACGTTTGCTTCCCCTTTCCAAACAAAATTTCTCATACAAAAAAAAAACATTAAAATAACTCACCTTTGATTCGGAATTTGGGCTCCACTGGCCATGAGTAGTTGTAGGGATGTCTGTTTTGTCGTCTGTTGTCTCAATATCCACTTCATCATCACTTTGATCTTGCTCTTTGGACGTTGGAGGCTCCTCAATAGAACTAACAGGTCTAAACGCCGACTGGTACGATTTATCCATAGGAAAGAAAGGATTTTCGTGTGGAAACAGAATTGGATTACGTTTTAACCATGGAAATGATCCATATGAAGAAAACGCAAATGGTTTGTTATAGATGAAATCCATTGCGACTCTGGATATCGGCAGAGGTAATTCCGGACACGCTGGTAACCTCGGCGCTGGTACCACTGGTTGTGGTGTTGGGGGAGTAGCAGGCGCTGTTTTAACTTGTTTGGGTTGACGTGTACTGATCACAGAATTAGCCAGCATGCGTTTTCGTGTACCACCGTTGAACATAGCCTTGACATCCTCCCATGCAAAGACCACTTCATCCGGAGGGCTACCGCTGAGTTTCATGTGACGTCGCCAGGAATTAAAGTTAGCCGCGTCAGGCTGCACGTACTTGTCGTTGGCGCTAAGACGATGTGAGTGAAAGATGAATTTATTTGGAGAGAAAAACAAGCCGCACATGGAACACTTGATGCACTTTGCTCGTGAGGAATTATAGCGTGATGGTAGGAAGGAACCTCGACAGCCCCAGGCGCATTCATGGTGCACGGAGAATGCAAAGTCGTCGGGGAGTCGAGGTGGTGCGTTGTCACCAGGAAGCTCTTACAAAGACGTTCTGCTTCACGACGGGTGATCATTCCACACCGGCGGGAGGATACAGGCATGGCACCAGCTCGACGGAGAATCTCCAATTGCACAGGAGTGCATTGCACGCATGTTATTCCAAGCGCTACCCGTCTATTGTGGATTTCATTGTAACTGAACTGCTTTAGCAATGTGTTCGAAATTTGCGCCAGGCATAAACGTTCTTGATTTTCAATCACTAGTGAAACTATCGGAATTCCATACAGCACAACTGTACTAACCTAATGTTAGCAATAAAAAACTGAGGTAATTTTAATGTAATTGAAAGAATATATAACTTACCTGATTAGGTTTTGCTGATGGAAGTGAAGGTGACGGCGGTGCGCTCCCTTTAATTTTGATCTGCTGTTCACCCCTGAAAGCACTTGCACATATAGTTCTCAATAAACAACAAAAATCATGTTGCAATCAACGTACATCTATATTAGATTATGATGTTATCAGGAATAAACGACACTTTAATCACCGAAAAGACGTGAGAATTTGAAACAACACCTGACACACTGCGTGAGACGGACAGGATAGGGGATGTTTGTGCGACAAATCGTCATGCGAAAATGAAACTGTCCGTTTGCGTCACTGTGCGATGCGTCCCGACGCTCCACCCGCTCGGCGTCCCGACGCCCTCCGTCGGTGACCAATCATAGCAGGGCGTTTAAAGTAAACGCGGCTGTTGGTTTCCATCCCTGCGCTTCCGCCAATCATACCAGGGTAATACAACGACCCTTTACACTTGTTCTTGTATTGCATTTGGACGCTGGAACAAAAAGCATGCGACGCAAGTATTGATAAATAAACAATTTTCTATTTCTGATACAATAAACTAAACTAAAAGCTGTAAATATTTTCAATAATTACATTTTTTATTGGTGATATTATCACCATCATGAATTTTTTTATTTGAGTTTTGCATTGTTTAATATTTAACGTTTTTATTTTTTCAGTTTTTTAAATCAAATATTAGAAATATGTGAATTTGAATCAATAAATAAAGTCAGTGTTGCGTACTTAAAGATATGTCATGTCGATGGTTCCGATAAGTGGCTCCCGAGGGACGTTAGCATGCATTATTCAAATCATATGCAATTATATTCTGAATTATATTTTCTACTGTTTCACCCGCGTGGAAATAACAAAATTTGATTGTAGATATTTGAATTTTAATACTTTTGACAAGTATAAATGAAATTTACTATTTACTATTGTCCAATTACGTCATGTTGATCTGTATATAAATGGGATGCGGCTACAGTGCCAATTACATTCTAAGTTGTGGTCATTCACGAAGGGTGTAAATTATTATCGCCGCATGCAGCATGGTGGTTGTTAGTGGATAAATGTAAGTATTTAATAAACGTGTATTAGACGATGTGGCGCGGCACAAAGCCGAGGGGGCATTTCACCCCCACACCAACACAAACATACACTCACACGCACTTAGCGCATCCCTCGCCAGGCTTGGAATCGACCTCACCATATTATAGGCTCGAGGTAAGGGCGCGCACGTGAATGCGCTAAGCCGTTGCTTGAATCGTCGCTGAATGGCTCCCTCGGGAGGCCACAAATAATAAAACGCGTTGAGAAAACTCCCAGATTCAACTAACCGAAGTGAAACTCACACACACTCGCGCAACTACGTAAACATGACGCTATAGTTGAAAGAAAAAAGCTGGTGGCCGATGAAAAGTGACATGTGTGATGTGTATGTATATATCGTCGGATGAGGACAAGGATAAAGATAAGAAAAAAGAAAATAATTGGGAGCGCGTCGCACATAACGAAAAGACGAATTACCGCGCGCGCTGGAAATAAAACTATACCGCAAAATAAAAACGTAGGCGAAAAGGCGTGTTCCAGTTAGTTAGTTTTCTGTATTGTTTCTCGCTGAATGTGTGCTCACCACGTTTGCGGGCGAACACAAACGCGCTGGGCCGTCGTTCGTCATCGTTAATGTTACGAGGGGTATCATTACGCGGATTTGTGCTCTTCCTCCACTTCCTCCACCTGGAGGCGCGAATCGATTTAATAACTTGCTTTATCGCTATGTTCTTTTTATCCTGCAACCGCTTAAAATGCAATTGACAAAATAATTAAAATTTTGAAACCTGTAAAATTATTTTATTTTGTCATTATTATTAGGCGCAATCAAAAGATTAAAACAAAGATTGTTTGTAGTGCATATCCGGTGTTTACCATGACATTGTTCATGACGCTGGAAATGGATTAGGTCATTGAGACATCACCAACATGGCGGGTAAGTTGGTGTTTGGTTTAACAAGACGCGTGCGAGTCGCGTGCGTTCTTTAGCGTTATTTAGCCAAAAGCTTGTTGTTATCGGAAGGCGCCGCGTGCGAAAGCTGCGGCACGTGCCGCCGCTCGTTACCGCCTCGCTCAATTGCCATTAAACGCTGCCGCCACCGTGGCGAACATTATGTTGTGCAGCTGTCGTCATAGCTATAAGTAGACATGCGAAAAAGGTAAGCGATTAATTCTGAATGCTGCGCTTCTTTCAATATAATTGGCATGTGGTCGTACGATTTGCGTATGGTGCACATACGCAAATGTATCAACTTATCGTGGAATTACATACTTACATCATATTTTAAGATATGTTACGCTGCACACAACATTTTAATATTCATTTTGCTACGTGAGAGTGATAATCTTATCTTTCATTGATTGTCAATTAATATTAATTTATATTATTACAGATTTGTGGAGAAAGTAGAACTTTCTCCTGAGTTACTCGGAGATTTTAATTACTGATGATTAATATTACAGAAATGATATTTGCGCAAGAAATCATACCAGGAGATCAATCAGATGAGGGCAGAATCATCAAGGATCCATCTAGGGCGGTGTTAATATCATTCAACAGTTGACCAAAGAAATACCTGTGCACGAGAAGATGAAAAAGGACATGGAAAACCACCTGGAATTGACACGCAGATGAAGGTTGGTTATAATCATCGTTATTAAGGTCTTGTTTTATTTTTTTTTTGCTTGTGTGTTTCAGGGGGTCGAACAAGAGGCAATTGAACAACTACAGCGCATCAACCAAATGGTTTTATTCAAGTTACAACAACCGCCATGTTGAATTTTGACATAATACAAATACTTGTTGTAAACAAATTATTAATAATGATGTATATTGATTTGGGAATAAATTATTTATTATTTGGAATCAAAATGATTGTTAAAATCATTCTACAAAGAGCTCCTCTTTTTGTGGAAAACTAATTGTATCTCCTGAACTAATATAGGTACCTTTTCCAAGTTTCTCGGCGCTATACTATAGTCTAAGGGGTCCTTTTTCTGATACAATTCATTTCAATCCCGTAGCCCTTATGGAAGTGCCCTAAAATGCTTTTTAAAAGTTAACAGTTTTATAAAAATTTGAAAACAAGGTGTGGAAAACACCCTGTATCTCCTAAACCTATACACTTTCTGCAAGTTTCTCGGCGCCATATCATAGTCCAAGAGACTCTTTTTGCGATGCATTTTATTCCAACGTCCTAAACCCTTTGAAAGTGCCCTAAAATGCTTCATAAAAATTGACAATATTATAAAAATTTAAAAACATGGTGTGGAAAACACCCTGTATCTCCTAAACAAATATACTTTTTCTGAGTTTCTTAGCGCCATGTTATAGTTCAAAAGACCCTTTCTACGATGCATTTTATTTCAACTTCCTAAACCCTTTGCAAGAGCCTTAAAATGCCCTTTAAACCTTGACAATTTTATAAAAATTTAAAAACATGACGTGGAAAACACCCTATATCTCCTGAACTAATTGGTTTTCTCAAAGTTTCTCACCGTCATATTACAGTTCGAGAGTTCCTCTACAAGATGCGTATCCTTTCAAACCTCTAACCCTTTCGGAAGTGCCCTAAAATTCGATTTAAAAATAGTCATTTGTGTCCATTAAATTATTTTTTTGGGTCAAAAAACTGTGTTAAAATCGTATTTAAATTTATTTTCGGTCGAATAACAAGGTCGAAATTAATTTTAAAAAATTCTTTTGGTCGAACAACAGGGTCGAAATTATTTTTTAAAATAATTTTTGGTCGAACAACAGGGTCGAACTTTTTTTAACAAAATTATTACCGGTCGAACAACAGGGTCGGACTTTTTTCTTAAAATTTTTCAGGTCGAAACTGTCGAAGTGCCCCTCCACCAAAAAAAATTAAATGAGTAAATGATAATTATCTCAAGAACTAAGAGGGCTAGAAGAAAATAAACTTCAGATTCTTGATCCTTGAAAAATTCTCAACAAGATGGCATCTTTATTGAAAAACGACCAAAATGGCACAAAAAATTTTTAAAGAAAAGATTTTGTCATAAAAAAGGTAAAAGATTTCTCTTTTTTATGCTCGAAATCAAAAGTTGGAATTTTTAAATTCTGTTTTCGGATACCAATTGATAATTTAATTTTGCATCGATTATTTTACTAACTTTTTTTGTTATTATGAACCGTTTAGGGCCTAATTGCAAATTTCAATGAAAACTCAATTCGACATAAAAAAGAGAAATCTTTTGCCTTTTTTATGACGAAATCTTTTTTCATCAAATGCAGCTTCTGTAATAATTGGAATTTTTAAATTCTGTTTTCGAATTCTGAATGTAGATTAAATTCTGAATCGGAAATCAGTAAAACAATTAACGATTAAGGCCCTATTGGCATGTAAAATCATATTTTTGTATTAAAATTGCAAATAGGGCCTAAACGGTCAATGTTATATTCTGTTTTCGGATTCTGCAAGCTAATTTAATTCTATATCAACTATTTAAGTAATTATTTGCCTAGCATTATCCCTATATTCCCTATTAATCATAATAACTCATGGAAATCCAACAAAAATCTGGCGGGAATTATCTATGTCCACTTTCTGCGTTCCTAATATCACGAACTGATGAGCAGCTCAATTTTCGTATTTCCTCGACAAAATTTTGTTGAAAATCCGATGAAATTCATACACAAAATCTTTTGAATATTAGGATCGCAGAATGTGCGAGTAGGCTGCTGAATTAATGATTAAACTTATTGTAACACCCAGTGGCGGTATAATTTATTTATTCATAAACAGATGGCGGTGGTGTCAATATTTAAATAAATTATAGTAAATATTAAATTAAAAATTGATTTTAAAGTGTTTCACGATTGCAGGAAGGCACAGTTATAAGCCATGCTACGGCAGTTGCCTAAAAATACCCAATTAACAATTATATATAACGAATAAGTCCACTATTAATTTAAAATCAATTTTCGGTTTAATATTGCATCAAAATTTATTTAAATATTACCACCGCTGCCATCTGTTTATGAGTAAATAAATTACTCCGCCACTGGGTGTTACAATAAGTTTCATCATTAATTCAGCAGCCTACTGCACTTTCTGCGATCCTAATATTCAAAAGATTTTATGTATGAATTTCATCGGATTTCTCCACAAAATTTTGTCGAGGAAATACGAAAATTGAGCTGCTCATCAGTTCGTGATATTAGGAACGCAGAAAGTGCAGTAGGCAATTCCCGCCAGATTTTTGTTGATTTCCATGAGTTATTATGATTAATAGGAATATAGGGATAATGTTAGGCAAATAAAATTAACTTAAATAGTTGATATAAAATTAAATTAGCTTGCAGAATCTGAAAACAGAATATAACATTGACCGTTTAGGCCCTATTTGCAATTTTAATACAAAAAATTGGATTTTAGATGCCAATAGGGCCTTAATCGTTATTTGTGTTACTGATTTCCGATTCAGAATTCGAAAACATAATTTAAAAATTCCAATTATTACAGAAGCTGCATTTGGTGAAATAAGATTTCGTCATAAAAAAGGCAAAAGATGTCTCGTTTTTATGTCGAATGGATACACGATATGTACCCTTTCGAAAGTGCCCTAAACTGTGATTTAAAAATTTGTGTCCATTACATTATTTTTTTGGTCAAAAATTATTGGTCGAACAACAGGGTCAAACTTTTTTTAAGAAAATTATTATCTGTCGAACAACAGGGTCGGACTTTTTTCTTAAAATTTTTCAGGTCGAAACTGTCAAGTGTCCCTCCACCAAGAAAAAATTTAAATGAGTTAATGCTAATTATCTCGAGAACTAAAAGGGCTAGAAGAAAATAAACTTCATATTCTTGATCCTTGAAGAAGTCTTTACAAGATGGCATCCTTATTGAAAAACGATCAAAATGGCACAAAAAATTTTTACAGAAAAGATTTTGTTATAAAAAAGGCAAAAGATTTCTCTTTTTTATGTCGAATGCAGTTTTCATTAAAATTTGCAAATAGGGCCTAAATGGTAAATGTTAGCAAAAAAAGTTACTTAAATAATTGATGTAGAATTAAATTATCTATCAGAATCTGAAAACAAAATAAAAATAATCCAAGTTTTAATTTCTCCCTTTTTCTCACACACACACGCTCACACTCAGCTTATGTGAACGAAGAAGTGCATGTGTGTGTGTGCGCGTACAAATTCGGGTCGAAAACCAATGGTAAAATCGGTTTGTGTTATTCGGATCCCAGAAAGTTGAGGAGGCTGAAAATTTTTGCGGGCAATTCGACGATTTGTGAATTGCACTTTCTCTCTCCTTTCTCCCTCTCTGCATGGGCGTGAATTTTACGTTCAATGTCGTATCAGAAACAAAGTGGATCGGAAAACAAAAAAGGCATTTTTTAAGGTTTCCCGAGGAGTAATCGCACAAATTTTATATGAAAATTATACAGAATTTAAATATCTTTAATTTCGTGTAAAAATAGTTGTCCTAAGACATCGCATTCGCACGCAAACCACCAAAAACTACAAAAATTAGCCAGCCGAGGAACACAAAAAGGGCAATTTTATAGGTTTTCCGTGGGTTAATCCAACATATTATATATGAATATTATGCAGAATTTGAATATCTTTCATTTGGTGTAAAAATAGTTGTCCTACGACATCGCATTCGTCCGCAAATCACCAAAAACTACAAAAATTAGCCAACCGAGGAACACAAAAAGGGCAATTTTATAGGTTTTTCCTTGGTTAATCCAACATATTATATATGAATATTATGCAGAATTTAAATATCTTTAATTTGGTGTAAAAATAGTTGTCCTACGACATCGCATTCGCTCGCAAACCACCAAAAACTACAAAAATAAGTTAACCAAAGAACACAAAAAGGGCAGTTTTATAGGTTTTCCGTGGGTTAATCTAACATATTATATATGAATATTATGCAGAATTTAAATATCTTTAATTTGGTCTACGCTACTGACCTTTAGACAACGGCCCTAGCATGGTTTATATCCATGCATTCCTGCGACAACAAAAGGAGTGGCTAATGCTTGGATAGAAGACCGTATGGACCTCCCCCCTGCATTAGTGGGTTTAAGTTCTGTTTCAGCGTTAGTTACTCAAGCTACCAGTGCCATCTCGCCTACTGCACTTTCTGTGATCCTAATATTCAAAAGATTTTGTGTATAAGTTTCATCGGATTTTCAACAAAATTTTGTCGAGGAAATACGAAAATTGAGCTGCTCATCAGTTCGTGATATTAGGAACGCAGAAAGTGGACATAGACAATTCCCGCCAGATTTTTGTTGGATTTCCATGAGTTTGTTATGATTAATAGGGCTTCTATGGATAATTTAGGCAAGTAATTACTTAAATAGTCGATATTAGAATTAAATTAGCTTGCAGAATCCAAAACAGAATATAACATTGACCGTTTAGGTCCTATTTGTAATTTTAATTCAAAAATCGGATTTTATATGCTAATAGGGCCTTAATCTATAATTATGTAACTGATTTCTAATTCAGAATTTAATCTAAATTCAGAATTCGAACACAGAATTTAAAAATTCCAATTATTACAGAAGCTGCATTAGATGAAAAATGATTTCGTCATAAAAAAGGCAAAATATTTCTCTTTTTTTATGTCGGATGGAGTTTTCATTGAAATTTGTAAATAGGCCCTAAACGGTTAATAATAACAAAAGAAGTTACTAAAATAATCGATGCAGAATTAAATTGTCTATCAGGATCCGAAAACAGAATTCAAAAATTCCAACTTGTAATTTCGAGCATAAAAAAGAGAAATATTTTGCCATTTTTTAATAAAATCTTTTCTTTCATTTTTTATACCAATTTGGTCGTTTTACAAAAACATACCATCTTGTTGAGAACTCTTCAAGGATCAAGAATATGAAGTTTATTTTCTTCTAGCCCTTTTAGTTTTCGAGATAATTATTATTAATCATTTAAATTTTTTCTTGGTGGAGGGCCACTTCGATAGTTTCAAACAGAAATTTTTTAAGAAAAAGTCCGACTCTGTTATTCGACAGATAATAATTTTGTTAAAAAAGTTTGACCCTGTTGTTCGACAAGTAGGTAATAATTTCGTTAAAAAAGTAAGGCCCTGTCTTTCAGCAGAAAATATTTTTATTGAACATGTTGAACGAAAGAGATATTCGCAATTGAAATAAATCGTCAAAAATTGAAAAATTGCAATTTTGAGCCCTTTCAGTCGCGGTTTTAGACCTTTTAAATTAAATAATTTTAATTTTTAATAGGGTACTATCAGACAACGGCCGTAACATGGCTCATTACCATGAATTCCTGCGATTGATTAATTCCAGCAGCGTCAGGTGTGGGTAGTGGCTTAGCCTTGAGCCTTCTAACGTTGAGACAGAACTTAAACCAACTAATGCAGGAAGGAGGAGTCCGTGCGGCCACCAATCCAAGTATGTATTACTACCTGCGCCCGATGAATATCTCAAAATTAATTTAAAAAGGTACTACCAGTGTCATCTGTTTATGAATAAATAAATTACGCCGCTATTGGAGATTACTGGAAATTCAGCCTACTGCACTTTCTGCGATCCTAATATTCAAAAGATTTTGTGTACAAGTTTCATCGGATTTCTCAACAAAATTTTGTCGAGGAAATACGAAAATTGAGCTGCTCATCAGTTCGTAATATTAGGAACGCAGAAAGTGCAGTAGGCAATTCCCGCCAGATTTTTGTTGGATTTCCATGAGTTATTATGATTAATAGTGAATATAGGGATAATGTTTGACAAATAATTAACTTAAATAGTTGATATAAAATTAAATTAGCTTGCAGAATCCGAAAACAGAATATAACATTGACCGTTTAGGCCCTATTCGCAATTTTAATACAAAAATTTGATTTTACAAGCCAATAGGGCCTTAATCTTTAATTGTGTTACTGATTTCCGATTCAGAATTTAATTAATCTACATTCTGAGTACGCAGAAAGTGGGCATATACTATAAAGTTCCCACCAGATCGTAATATCGTTTCGGGGCGGAATCCAACCAAATCATTGCATCGGTCGATTAGGATTGTAATAAGGTATTTATAAATAATGTAATAAACGAGAATGTAATTTTTTAAAAATTTATTTTAGAATAGTAGGAAGTTATCAAACAAAACATACATAATAACAACATTTACATATCAGTTCATTGCTCCTAATAAATAAAATGTTGTATAAATATAGTATTCCATTGCATATTGACAAAAATTACAAATGATGAATCAAATCAACGCCCTAACAATTCACCTAATTAAATTTTTGTGATATATGCGCATATTTATTAGCATTTTGGCAGCGAAGTGAAATGAAAAATAAAATAATAATTGCGCTTGGATCCCAATGGAAATGTTTCCATCTGTGCGTAGCAGCGCATCGGCGTAATATTCTGCGGGCGATTGTAGTTACTAGATATTGGACGAACCGGCGCCGCTCGATGCAGGAGCGCCCACCAGCAATAAAATTACATTACACAATGCGGACCGGTGGTTTTTTCAATTATAAACTCTATTTGGCTTAGCACAGATTGTTGTGTAATCAGTTTAGCTCGTTACGAGCCGCGGGCACTCGACGGTGAACTGCGGGCGGGGAAACAATCTAACTAAAGCAAACCTAAACCTTAACTGGAGTAGAATGATTGCATTTCGCAATCCTCGACGCCGCGTTCTGCCTAATGCCTAATACGTAGCGAAATACCAGTCAACGCAGATATAACTCCGTCAAGCATAAGCATAATAATATTGTTGCCGAAATAGTCAACAACCCAATAAACAACCGATAGACCTCGACGTCGACGTCGGTTGGCTCGTTCTTGGCCTGGAATTTGAGATCTCAATGAACCAAGAACAGTCTATTAAAGTACCCGCTTGTGGAAACTGCTTGTCTACACGCTGAAGCGAGATGGAACTTGGGGAAGCAGGGAAGGAAGGACTAAGCGCCGAAGCGGATTGAATATTGCAACCGTGTCTTTCGTTCGCTTCCAATTCGTATCCGATGCTGTGCTGGCAGCGCAAGATTGTCGGACTCGCTGATATTATTCATTTGCAATTTGCGGTCGGGACGTCGGGATGTCGAAGCTGCAGCGGTTGACATATTTTGATTGCGGCGAAGTGAGGAAACAAACGACATTAAGCACGGTGTAATGATTGTGTAGTAGATTTGCTGGCGGAGACGGGAATAACTTGCATTTCTCATCAAAAGTTGAATCAAGACTTAATTTGCATATAAAATGTCACCAACAAAACTGATTTAATCTTAACCTATGCCAATACTTATTATAAACACAATGTTTTAATTTTTTTTTCCAAAAATTGTTTTTGACGAATTTTAAAGCTGAATAAATGCTAAGTGGAAGTTGCAAAGCGTATTGTCTATTAGTCAGTAGAGAACATATTATTAAGTGCGATTAGTTTGTAATTCACGTGTGGTGGTTTAATAAAAGGGAGAAAGTTACGCAGTGCCCCTCCGGTAATTCCCCTTACACCCTCACACTCCACCATTCCACAGCCTTCGCAATTCGTTCATCTGTCGACAGTTGATCAGTCTGTCGCGCTTGTAATTGAGGATTCAATTTGTTAGCGAGTAGGTAACTGTACAATGATACAAAGACGCTTAGTTAATCTCCTCAAACACACTCTTCGACCCTCCGAGCATATACTAAACTCACCCACTAGTATTACACATTCAAGTGTGCGTGCACAAGGCAATGTTTTGACTTGCTATCTTCGGCATGTACGCGTTGCGTTATTGTGTGCGGATTGAACAGGCACATCAGCGTGATTACATTGAGATGAATGAGGTGAGTCATTATAACGCAATGGTTAATCTTGCCGGTGCTGCGAGTGGCCGAATGAATAATTTCACGCACATCAAAATAAATACCCAAATGTAAAATTATGCGCGCCGCGCTAAGTAAATATTAATGGCCGGCGCGAACGCGATGCAGGCGGGAGATGAAAGCTTTGTGATTTAAATAAAACTTTTACGCTTTTTAATGAGCTGCCGACGAAGCGTGCATCGGCAGCACTGCTTCAATTTGCGAGGACGATTCGTTTGGAGCTGGTTCTATTCAGACATTTTTATGAATGCGTCCTTTCTGCTAAGATTACATTCTTTATATTAAATACCTAGGCATCGATGTATAAAAAACCGCATTACCGCAGCACGAACGAAAAGAAATGAGCAAATAAGTGAGGGAATACAAAAAAATCGAATTGGAAATATGCCAAAAGAAGTTTAACGTGAATCAAGCACGGAACCCTCGTGATTCACTGAGGAATCATTTTTCAAAATATATATTCGATGCTATAATTTATGCATTTTGATATCGCCCTGTATAGATAAATACCAACATAATAAGCGGAAAAATCACGATAAATACTTACAGACCGAACAATATATCATTAAATATCTTGACGGAATAAATACAAAAGTACTGCATTAATTTAATAAAAAATATTAAATACTTTCAGTAAATGGTGCAAAGTTATAACAATGGTATTATTATCGTAATGAATTCTAAACCGATCCTTAATTTATTTAATTTTTTAAACTGAATCAAATTCAAATAAAAAGTAATAATATAGGTACTACATTTGTTTATTATTTAATGCTAAAACTGTAATAATTAGTGGTGCCAATTTAATTTTGTGGTAATTCCGACTGCTGTTTTGTGCGTACACAAACAAGTTAAGAACAATTAATGGAAACCAGCGACATTATTTTCGCGCGTACCACATAAAAGTTGCTTTAAATTGAATTTGCCAGAGTTGTTTCGCGTGACCTTAAATCAAATCAGTGAGGGAATTCGCGTCGCCGATCCCCAACTCCCAGGAGCATGCAGAACGACGGCAGCTGGATCGAATTTTAATTAACAAACTCGACAAGCAATTAGTTGAGCAGTGCCGTGATAGACATTTACATCTAACAAATGTCACACGGCGCGATATAATTAATCAAATGCAGCCAATGTAACATTTACAATTTGGAATATATATTCTTTGTTTAAATTAATTTAAATTAAAAGATTCAAAATAGTAATTCCATAGTATTTTCAAATTAATAAATTAATAAAATAAATTTAATGTAGGCAAAATGTAGGCAATCTGTATTTACTACTCGTAGTACATAAAATAAAAGACCGACAGGTTATGTATAACGGAAAACCTTGATTTAGCAATGAATAAAAACCAATTGAAAATGTGTTTTAAATTTAGCAAATTGCTAAATTCTTTCCTTAAGCAACATGTCACTATTCAAAGTTGTCAATAATGGTTAAAAATCGTTTTTAGCGGGTTATGTACAACAAGTACATAAAAGTTTATACATAGCGAATTAGTGGAATATACGTATGCAACCCACAATACACTTCAAGTCAGTTCTAAGCGGTAAAAATAAACAATACGAAAGCTTAACCTTACAAGCAATCATCACATTGAAGTCAAGTTTTAAAACTGTACAATGATCCATGGTTTTATTTCATAAACTTAGTCGGATATCATTCCACATACAACGATTTTTTGCCAAGGATTCCAAACCGAAAATGAAATACCTCTGTGTGGCAGAAAAGAATGATGCTGCTAAGAACATTGCTTCAATTTTATCTCATGGAAACTCAAATAGGGTATTATCTAAATATTTATTCAATGTTAGCTCATAGCAACTCATTGTATATTTTTAGAGAAATGGTTTATCAACATACAACAAGATATACACATTTTCATGTCAAATTAATGGAGTTGAATCTGATTGTGTGATGACTTCTGTATCTGGCCATCTTCTGACCTATGCATTCAGTGGAATACACAAAGCTTGGCAAGCTTGTGATCCAATCACTTTATTTGATGCTGAAGTTAAAAAGATATGTCCTGAAGATTATCAGAAGATAAAGGTTTTTCTGTATTTAAATATAAGTATGTGTTTCTAATTGCAATAAATGCTTACAGAAAACTATTCAGAAAGAATTGCGTTATTGTGGAGCACTAATAGTATGGACTGATTGTGATAGAGAAGGAGAGAATATTGGATATGAAATAATACAAGTTTGTCAAGAAATTAAGCCCAATATCGAAGTTTTTCGCGCCAAGTTTTCGGAAATTACTGCAAGGTCTATTACAAGGGCTATCAATAATCTAGAGAGACCCAATAAGAATATAAGTGATGCTGTTGATGTTAGAAGTGAATTAGATCTAAGAACTGGTATTAAAATTATTTAAATATAACATTTCAGAAAATATTGTTTTATTGTTTCTTTTAGGCGCCGCATTTACTAGATTACAAACGTTGCGACTTCAGAAAGTTTTTCCTGATGTATTGGAACAGAAATTAATCAGTTATGGTTCCTGCCAGTTTCCTACATTAGGATTTGTAGTTGAGAGATTCAAAGCCATTGAAAATTTCATAGCTGAGCAGTTTTGGCAAATTCATTGTAAGTATACTTATATTAAACATTTTCATACAATAAATATTGATTAACATATGATTAGTGTCTCATACAATAAAAAAGTTAACAACTGACTTCACCTGGAAACGCAATCGACTCTTTGAGAAATCAGCGGTGCTGGCGCTTCTCGATATCTGTCTGCAAGCGAATTCCGTACGCATTGAAAGCGTAGATAGTAAGCCGAAGAGTAAATGGCGTCCATTGCCTTTGGACACGATTGAAATGGAGAAGATTATATCGCGTAAGATGCGTCTCAGCGCCAAAGAGACCATGAAGATTGCCGAAAAGCTTTACACTTCTGGTTATATTAGTTACCCCAGGACAGAAACTAATATTTTTCCCAAGGAGATAAACTTGCAGAATATTGTTCAACAACAAATTGACGATCCAGATTGGGGTGGTTTTGCAAATCGCATCATGAACGAAGGAGGGCCAACACCGCGCCAAGGCAAAAAGAGTGATCAAGCTCATCCTCCCATCCACCCAACCAAATATACGAAAAATTTGACCGGAAACGAGAAGCGAGTGTATGAGTACATTGTAAGGCATTTTCTGGCGTGTGTGCACAAAGATGCTAAAGGGCACGAGACGATTGTTCAGGCAGATTGCGGTGGTGAGAAGTTTACTGCAAAAGGATTGGTTATCTTAGAACGGAATTACCTTGATGTTTATATTTATGAAAACTGGAACGGGAAGGAGATTCATGAATATCAGATTGGAGATACTTTTGTGCCAACTCGTCTTGAATTGGTAAGTCTTACAAATAAGAACAAATTAAAAGTTTTTAATTCAAATTATTGATTTCAGGGTGAAGGTGTAACTAGTCCACCAAAACTTTTAACTGAAGCCGACCTCATTGCCTTGATGGAGAAACATGGGATTGGTACAGATGCAACTCATGCTGAACATATTGAAACAATCAAAAGTCGTGATTACGTTTCTCTACATCAAAACATTTACTTTGTGCCAGCTGCACTCGGAATGGGACTTGTGGAAGGGTATGTACAACTAATAAAGTATATAACAGTTGATCATAAGAATTTTTAATTTGTTAGATATAATAATATGGAGTTAGAAATATCATTGGCGAAGCCAAATTTGCGCTCAGATTTCGAAAACGACTTAAAACTTATTTGTGATGGTCAAAAACGCGCCCAGGATGTTTTGCAGGATCAAATAGCTAAATACAAAGAAGTGTATCGCATTGTTTCCCAAAAAATGACAACCATTGATAGTACTCTACAACAAAGATTAAACCGTGTACCGCGTCCGTATAATGAAGCACAGATTATGATGGGTTCATCGGATAAATGGGCACTGAAATGTCCTAAATGTGGAGGAAACATGTTCTTGCGTCAGAGATCCAACGGGTCGGGATGGTTTTTATCCTGTGCAAATTACCCACCGTGCAGGAATGCGATTTGGTTCACAGGTGTTAACTCTGCGCAAATCATGGATGAAACCTGTCCAACTGTAAGCATTTCGCTCATTTAAATCAATTTGCATTAGTAATTATTGTTTGTTTTTATAGTGTGGACCGGACGTAAGAAAAATCAAATTTACTTTCCGACAAAATCCGTTTCTTGGAGAGCCAAATCCTAATGTGTTATGTATTGGCGGATGTGACATCGCTGTTTTATCCGCCTTAGACATTCAGTTGTCTTCTGTGAAGAAAGGTACATAAACATTTAAATAATTTGGGTTTAGTTGTTAAAACAAATTGATGTTTTAGTAAACACACCAGGTTTACCCGTTCAGGAAGCGCCTCCACCACCACCACTACAAAACAGAACTAACAATTACAACAATCAGAATGGGCCTACAAAGAAAACAAGCCAGACCAAATCAACAACGACACAAGTCCCTCCTAATCAATCTACAATCACGTCATGGATGGGTGGCGGAAATACAAATAATACAACAAATGTCCAAAATATTCCAAACAATCGTCCCAATTCTCTAGGATCTTCCGGGAACACTTCAGTATCTACTGATAATGGTCGCACACCTGATACACAGATATGTAATTGTAACCGGGAAGCTGTGGTCCTAACATGCCGAAACGGAGCGAATGCAGGTCGTCAGTTTTATAAATGTCCGTTGAATAATCAAACTGGAACAGGAGGGTGTAAATACTTCGCTTGGAAGGACGAAGATCAGACACCTAACACAAGTAACGCAGGATCTTATCAACCGCCCGCCAATGGCAATAATAATGGAGATGATTCTGACGACGCCGGACAACCTGCACAATGCCAATGTGGTATGCCTGCTGCGATGCGTACTGTCTCCAAAGACGGCGCAAACAAAGGTCGGCAATTTTATTCCTGTCCAAAACCAATGGGGCAGGGGTGCAAATTTTTTGAATGGGCAGATGAAGTAAGTACCCTCAAATCTAACACATGCAATATTTTCATATCTATAATCTTAATAGGACAATAACGGAACATCAAAGCGAAGGATTCCACTAAAAAGACGGAATGCACCTGTAGACAAAAAAAAACAAGCTAAATTGTCTAAAAGGAAATGTAGCATTTGTCACCAAACAGGTATGTCACATCTATTGTATATTACAACATATACTTATACATTTATTTGAAATTTTAGGTCACGTCAGACCAAAATGTCCATTAAAAGGTCAAAAATGAATAAGAATGTAGTGTATAGTGTTACAGGGATGTAAATATATTTATTTTTACATGACTCGAATTATTTACCAAAGGTTATGACCGAAAAGTTGATTTAATCAATGATTTAGAACTATGTTTATAATGATACTTACCACCTATTATAGTAATTATAATTCTGATTTGGATTCGCATCCATATTATTACCGCCGCTATTATTCGGGTAGAAGCGTTGTTGCATGCCTTGGAAATTATGAGGGATGGTACCCATGGGTTGTTGCATGTGTGGTCGCGCATTCAATCCAGGCCCGTTTGGTTGAAACTGCCGATATGGCTGTTGTTGTCGCGGTTGAAAACCCTTATTACTATTAATGTTATAACTATTAGACTGTTGCTGCTGTGGCGGATGCAATTGTAAGGTTGGTGGCACAGATTGTTGGGGAACAGTATTAATCACTGGTTTACCAGCCACCGACGTAGTCAGTACATTTGTGTTGGCATTGGACGCAATTGAAACCATAATATTCGCAATTAAATTAGACATATCCGATTGTTGCGTCTCGCTCAAGTTTTTACTAGCTGCTTTAAAGACATCTTCATAGCTATAGTCGTCTTCGTCATCAGAAATACCTACTTTCGTTTCTTTTTTGATATCATTTGTTACAGATTTGTTTGTAGTTATATTTTCTGATAACTTCTTGGAAAACGGACTTATTCTACCTATCTCTTCAGTTTTTGACGATTGTGGTAGAGTTACATCCATATTGACAAATTTACGTAGTGTTTCCACTCGTGCGGGTTCTTTCGCTTCCAATTTCTTAAGATATGAGATCAACCCTTGCTGTTCTTCAGCTGATAGGTCCTTAAAACTTTGAAGGAGTGTCTGCAGCTCTAGATCAGAGAGACCATCCATAGCGTCCTTTTGAATACTGCTTAGATCCTTTTCAGGTTCAATTTCTGTAACCTTCGTGTGTTTCTCAAGCTCAATTGTTTGTTTTGAGTGTTCGGGTTTGGCCTGAGATTTGTTCTGTTTAAGCATTTCTAGGAAGGAGGCTGTGGTCATTGGTTTGTCTGATTCTTTAGACGCCTCCGCCATTTGTACAACAGTATTAATAAGTTGTTCTAATTCAGCTTGGGTGACGTCCGTTTTACCTTGCAACACCAACGCATTTGCGATTTGTTTCGCTATCGCCACCTTATCGATGTTTATGATGGAAGCTTTCTTTGCTTCTTTTTCAGTTTTTCGTTTATTTGCCAAATGTAATAAACCTGCAATTTTTGTGATGCTGGTCTTAACAGCTTTTTCCTGCGAAGGGTAATCAGCGACTAACCCAGCATGCAACAATCCCTTCAATTTCTCCTTGATAGTTTCAAACATCACGCAGTTTGTTTCGTCGTCTAACAGTTGCTCACTGCTATTCGGAGTTTTCTTCTCCATGGAAAGTGCCTTGGCTAACAAATCAACCACCTTCGGTCCCAATGATCCAAGTTTATCTTCTAACGCAGTCAACAGACGCAAGACGGCAACAATATTGACATCTACTCCTAGATCTTCAACAGCAGTGATCTGTTCATCCAAAATCTCTTGCTTCTTCAGTGCGGACTCTCGTACCATAATTACGTCCTTCCCAGAAGGCGCAAACGGGATGTTAGCCTGTTGATGATTTTTGTAGGATACCGCCCGATCCCATTCGACGGAACGACGTCCACCCTAACAAACAAAATAAATTAATTTGTATACAAAAATATTATTTGCATTGTTTACATACCGTTGTTTTGCTGCTATCGGCTTCTCGTCGTATTTGTGGCGACTTACTCTTTGATCGTGTCGTTCGCCTATACCTCCGGCTTTTACTCCTGCTCCGACTGCGACTCTTTGTTCGACGCCTTCCATAGTTCCTTCGCCGATAGGGAGACAACGATCTTGAGCGTGATTTGGATCGTGAACGAGTTTTCGTCGTTCGGCGAAGCGGAGCTGGCCTGCGCCGATAATCTTTCCTTGGCGAGTTATTCGAATCGCTCTCCCATGGACTATGTGAATCTTCACGTGATTTCACCTTGTCATCTCGCAAATCGTCAATTACAATTACCTCGTGATCTTGATCTGGTTGTGCAGCAACCGGCTGACATCCAAATTTCGGATCACGTCGACGCATCGCTGAGGAACTTGTCGATGCCGAGTTGATTTTGAAACTGATCGGGGTTACTTCAGCCAGACCCAATCTAAACCAATAAACACGATAAAATAAATGCAATTGTTAAATTATTATAATGTACCTTCGCCGCAACGCATCAATGCTTTGTTTCACAGCAGTTTTATGAAACTCTTCCATCCTTTTGTTCCAATAAACAATCCACTCCGGTTTAAAATCGTAGCCTTGTGTATCTCTTCCTTCCATTTGTAACTCTTTATATCGCTTATTCCAGAAGATTTTCCACTCCTCGTTGTATTGCGGATGCTTCTCCGGGTTCATTTGATGTTTGCGAAGTTGTGGCTCCATGTCTTTTTCAATCGCCGCAGCTAAACGACGAAATTCGTCTTTTTTATTATCCCTATCATCCTCTTTGCTTCGCCGGTCTTTTGATGAATTATTTTCGTTCCTACGATAATCCGGACGATTCCACGGTAGCGAATCTTCAGCACGGCGCCTGTATGGCGATCTGGAGCGCGAGCGTGTTCTAGTGCGACGTCGACGATTATAAAGCGAAGAAGTGTTTGATTTGACTGGCTTGGAACTGCGATTCCTGTCCCTGTCGTTTACAGAGACTGTGAAATCATCGCTGGATATGGATGAAACACTGCTCAATGATCGACGATTACGTCTGTGTTTCGGTTCGTTATCTCTGGAAGTTGGCCGACTATGCGCAGGTTTCGCATCTTGGTTTAATTCATCTATGAAAGCTACACAATCCTACATTACCCAAATATATATAAATATTAAATTTATTTACCTTTATTTGAATTGTTTATTATTTCATCTCGATTTACGAGATGCTCAAAACTAACGCCATTGCTTTCAGAGAAATGCGGCCCATTGTTAACTTTGTTGTACACTTCCTGCTTATTCCTTTCATATGTATCCATATCAATGGGATGCGGCAACATGCGGCCATATTTAGTTTCAATCGCGTCGGCAATTTTCGTCAAAGCTTCCTGCCAGCATTTCTTGTACTTCTTATGCGAAGAAAACGGCACCAATGCATTATAGGTTTTGGTGTAATGTCTTTGCAAATACTGAAAAGTATGCAATCAAATAAAAGTATATAAAACAATCTTGAGTAAACTTACATATTGCAAGTGATTGTAGCTGACCAAATGTGGAATAATGGTGCGAAAATCACCCTTCTTTCCACAAAGCAGACAAAAGTATGATGGTTCGCGTTCTTGGTCGTAATCTTGCAATTCTAATAAGTACTCCAATCCTATAAGGCTTGTAGTTTTAAAGTTGTCAAGACGCTCCTGCGATAAATTAAAAAATCACATAATTTTAACAATTAAATAAGATAAACAAAAATGTTTTGTACCTGAATTTGTGCAACTTTAGTTATCTCTCCTTCAAAACCAGGAGGCACTGGTTCTCCAGGTGCAACAATCACTTCACCTCGTTGCTCAGTATAGTTCTTCGTTGAATTACCATCATCCCAATCCGCGCTATTTGAATTTGAAGTAGACTTCAACAAATTAGAAGCCGATGTACGTTGATTTCGGGAAGCACTGGCGGCTTCCAACGCTGCCACGTGTCTCTTCCCAGCTTCGTGGTTGAATACCTGCCCCATAACTGGACAGTGGCACACACGACAATACCATACTTCACTGCCATTCTGCCAGGTGAGCTCAAAGATAGCTGATGAACTTCCATCAGGCAAAGTATATCGCAAGGAGAGCAGCCGATCGGTCTCGGAATTCTGCAAATAGACACAAATTACTTACAATGACATTTAAATGTTTTGAAGACCAACACTAAAATAAACTCAGAAAAATGTGTAAAAAAAAACGTAAATGCCAAATTTAAAGTTAAATTTGTTTGTCCACAGCTTAATAGCATACTTACCTGTGCAAGTATCTATTGCTGTTATTTTATTTTACCTTTTTACTAATATATGTAGATGATGCTGGTGAAGTGATGTTATCTTCAGTGCCAGGCGGCGCCAACGATTCCATTATACACTGTGCACTGTACACACTTCACTTAACTTGTCTTTTATTGAATAGTCACTTTGCTTCTGCAAAAATAATAAACATTTATATTTCCATTGCACAGTCAACCCCCAAAAACTCGAATTAGAATTAAAGTACATACTTACTAACTTGTTTACACTTTACTACACAGAACTTACCTTCGGAAGGTGAATGTGAATTAAGAAAAACATATCACAGAACCGCATTGTAATTATATAATGATATAATTACATGAATTATGAGTATATCAGTAAGTACGCACAATTATTGCAGTCAATAATATGCAAGTAGTTTGTATTTGTTAATAAATTGCAGTTGCAGTTCAAAAGTAGATCGATTCTAACCTTACATATATAAATTTAACATAAAATTGTGATAGCGGCACGCCAAAATATTTATCACATATAGTATTTATCTAATAGTTGTAATGGTGTGTATAATTACCTTTCGTATTTATTCCTGTTTCACTATTACAGCGGTTTGGTCATTTTCTTATAAAATCGGTTTGTTTTGGACGCCTAATGTGGATTTTCAATGGCGGATATGTTGATCGTTATTTATCACGGTTATGTACTCTGATGGATGATATTCGCCTGCGGTTTTTTGGTGAGCAACCAAATATACACATTTTTAGCACCTTAATTCAAATCATTTTAAGTAATATTAACAATTACTTTTATTATGAATTACTATTATGAATGTATGTAAATATGCTTCTAGGTACCAAATATTAATATTGGGATAAAGTCAGGGAACACCAGAACTTAACTTAGATACTGAAGACTTTTTTAAATTTATTTTTTGTGGTTTTTGTAAAAATGTGGTATCAATCAATAGATAATACTGGCCCTATGTGTATACATTAAATATTATAGTAAAAATAAAAACATATTCATGAATAATAAATGAAATTAACTTAAAATATAAATTAGACTTTGGTGCGTTCTTCAGTATACCCATCACCCACATATGCTGCGTTGGCGATTCCTTGATGAGTGATACCGTTTGTGTTTCCTTCTGGTTTCTCTTCTGCGGACACTGAGTCATCATTCCAATGCTGAGGTTCACCACTTCCAATCAAACAAAACAGCAATCCGCACACAATATAGACAGAGGCACCAATCCAGAAAATGATATGCCATTCAAATAATCCATTCTAAAATATTTAAAATTATTTAGTTTTAATTATAAAAATATTGATGACCGATGAAGAACTTACGCGTTTTTCGGTAATAAATCCCGTCAGCAACGGCGTGATAAAACCCGTTGTCCCACCGATACAATTAACAATTCCATACACGGTTCCAGCATAACTACTGGATAAGTCTTGAGCATTTTGCAGATTTGTAACTGTTGATGCACCATTCATACCAAGGGCTAATGTTAGAAATACTACAGCCAGTGTTTGGTCACAGCCGATGAGCGTTTGAGCAATAAGAAAACAACCGGGAATAACATGTGCTAAAAATAAATAAAACATTATATAACTCCTTACACAATAGTAGTTACTTTAAACTTACAAAAAATAATGAAAGATTTTCTAATTTGTGTAACGGACATCCAATTTGCTTTTCGTATATAATCCCCGATGGTCCCAAAAATAAATCCAAATATCATTCTAGCCAAGTATGGCAACGACGCCAAAATACCAGAGTGTCCCAAATTGAAACCCAGCACTTCCGACATAAATTTAGGACCCGCCGTTAGTAACAAATACAAGCCCCAACAATTTCCAAAGTGCAGGAATGTCAACGCCCAGAAGGGGATTGAAGTAAATATTTGCCTGTAAGGTGGAATGCCTTTTGAAGGTGCACTGCCTGCATCGCCAAGACTTTTGATGATGTAGAATTTTTCTTTTTCGCTGATGCGAGGGTGAGAATCAGGAGTATCGGAGACAAAGTAGAACCACAGCAAACACCATAATAACACAATACCTCCAGGAACAAAAAAGGCCCAAGTCCAACCCCATTTTTCAGTAATGGCGCCCAAGAGTGGCCAGGTTATGACAGTTCCCAGGGTTCCTCCCATTAATGCCCCGATGAATTTGCCTTTTTCTACTGGAGGTGCCCAACGGGCAATGAGACAATGTAATGCTGGATACACTACACCCTAAACAAAACAAGCAATTGTTTATAAACATAGCATCTATATACTTATTAAGTCAGCGTAGGTACTTACCCCAAGCACGCCAAGTAATATACGAATGGTAATTACATAGCCAAAATGCCAGGAAGCAGCCAAAGGTGTCAGGAGAGTTAAAACAGCTGATAACAACGCGGATATACCAACTATTCTAGTAGGACCAATGATTTCAGCTAAAAGACCGCCTGGCATTGAAGATACCATGTATCCCCAGAAGAATGATCCCAAAATAAGTCCTTGAACGTTTGGGCTCCACTCATGTCTTGGGCCGTACTAAATAAAATTATATTAATAATTTTATTGATTATTAGAGAGATTCTTACATCTGGTAAAGCTGTCAATCGTTCATGGGTCTCAGAACCATTTCCGTTTGGATCGTTTATAGCCAAACATTCAGATTGCACCTGCCGCGGTGTAATGTCTTCCAAAGATATTGTAGATGTGCCATTTTCATCAAATTCAAAATCCGCTGATGAACTTGGTTCAATCATTGCAATGAGATTTATGGACATATTTACACGTAACATGTACGACACCAGACATGCCGTCAAAATTAACACCCAAAGGATCGCACGTGTTTGTATTTGGACCATTTTGGATTTTGATTTTTACTTGAATTTCAGCCTAGAAAAATTCACATGTTTAACTTGACATGTACTGTCAGACTTGGCAAAAATTAGAAAACTAAAAGTTTGCCCGTTAGTGTTAGGTACTTTAATGCCTCGTGTCATTAGAGAAATTTCGCCGCTAATACAAATAGAAAACAGTTGCTTCCAATTTGACACTTTGCTAATGTGAGTCATTTATTAAACTGGAAATATTTACACTTGAATGAATACGCATTCTTTGAATTTTGTGTTTATGTGCAATTGTGTATTGTGGAAAAGATTGTTTGATTCCACAAATGTCTCTTGTGTTTATCAAACATAATTTTGCTTACTGTTTATCGCCATCGCTTAGAATTTAATAAAATATTGACATTTCTACTCTGTTTATGCAAACTTTTACTGATTCACCAATAATTAAATTCCTCGAATTTGTTTATGTTTATCACTATCATAATCTGTCGGCATATTTATATACGCCACGCAAAAGAATTTCACACTCTTGAATATGGTTCATAGTTATATTTACATTGTTTGTAAAATTGTCCAATGATTGCTAACAACTGATAATATGCAAATTTAATTGTGAATTGATGCATCATTGAACTGCGCATTGCAAATTTCTCACATATCTTGTGCGTCCGAACCAAATCAAATACTTAGGTAAACGTTGATGTTTTCAATTAGTGAATATTTGCGATGAGTTACACACTATTTGCGTGAAATGGGTGCTAAATGGTCGGTAAGATTGTTAAGCGCTTGCGTATATTTTATTAGTCAATTATTTTGTTGTTAGTACACATTTGGTGGTATATTTTGTACTTGGTAGTGATGGGTTAAAGTCCAAGAACTGACGAGGGCGTTATGACACATTTGAATAACCTAGTTTAGATGCTATGGTGCTAACCATTTTTATTATTAAATACTTGACGTACTGATGATGCTTAAAAATACTATCTTGTTATGTATTAATATTATTTAGTATTATGTATTGTGTTGTGATTACGTTCAGGGATATTTTCTGGTCGAAATTGTCGAAAGGCGCCTCCACCAAGAAAAAAATTAAAAAAATAAATGGTAATTATCTCAAGAACTAGAAGAACTAGAAACAAAAGAACTTCATATTCTTGATCCTTGAAAAATTTCCTACAAGATGCTATCTTTATTGAAAAACGACAAAAATGGCACAAAAAATTTTTAAAGAAAAGATTTTGTTATAAAAAAGGCAAAAGATTTCTCTTTTTTATGTTGAAAATTAAAAGTTGGAATTTTTAAATTCTGTTTTCGGATTCCGATAGACAATTTAATTCTACATCGATTATTTTAGTAACTTTTTTTGCTAACGTTAACCGTTTAGGCCCTATTTGCAAAATTTAATGAATACTGCATTCGACATAAAAAAGAGAAATCTTTTGCCTTTTTTATGATGAAATCTTTTATTTCAGCAAATGTAGGTTCTGTAATAATTGGAATTTTTTAATTCTGTTTCCGGATTCTGAAAGTAGATTAAATTCTGAATCGGAAACCAGTAACACAATTATAGATTAAGGCCCTATTGGCATGTTAAAACCAATTTTTTTGTTAAAATTGCAAATAGGGCCTAAACGAATAATGTTAGTAAAAAAAGTTACTAAAATAATCTATGTAAAGTTAAATTACCTAACAGAATTCAAAAACAGAATTTGAAAATTCCAATTAGTACAGAACCTGCATTAAAAACAACTTTTTTTGTTAAAATTGCAAATAGGGCCTAAACGGTCAATGTTAAGATAATAACTACTTAAATAATCGATGTAGAATTCAATTATCTTTCAAAATCTGAAAACAGAATTCAAAAATTCCAATTATTTCAAAAGTTGCATTTGCTGAAAAAAGATTTCGTCATAAAAAAGTCAAAAGATTTCTCTTTTTTATGTCAAAAATTAAAGTTAAAATTATTAAATTCTGTTTTCGGATTCTGATAAATAATTTAATTCTACATCGATTATTTTAGAAACTTTTTTTGCTAACATTAACCGTTTAAATTTTATTAAATAAACGCCATAACGTATAAAGGCAATACGACTTTGCTTAGTCACATCAATATAAATAAAGGTCGGTTAGATACTGCCATAACAAATTTTGATAATTATATTCTATTTTGAACATTAGACTGTATGGAGTGAATAAATAATTATTCAATTGATATGCAATCGATTGGGAACAATCTTCATTTGCATACCTACTTTTACAATATGTATCTCTAGTGTTTGAGTATATATTTGTTCTAATTTAAGTTTTTAAAAATGTTTTCAATTTTTGCACTGCTAAAATAATTACTAGAGATTAAAAAGTAAATCTTAAACAAAATTTACCTCTTGACGAATTTATGAACTATCAGAAAATTAAACACGCGATATTGAAAAAGCATATTCATAAATTTTATTTGTTGTTGTGTCTATATTTTGCGTATTTTATTGTTGTTATTATATCAAGGCATTGTTGCTGTGTTTATTACAAGCGTAATAAAAAATATCTTCAACTTTATGACGCGAAAAAGTACATTATTCCAAAATCATATTAAATTTTTGTTTTATCGTGAAAATTAATAATTAATTATAGTAAAATCCAACAAGCACACACATTTTCAAGAAATAGTATTTCGGTTAATTATCTGCACGTAATTCTTTGCGATACTGGACTTTTATTATACAATATAATATTTAATCAAAATTGATTTCGGTGCATTCCATATTCCCAGAATTATCCTAATATTATAGAAGTAATTACTGTTTTCAATTGTGTTCCTATATTTAAATGTAAAAAACGCAACAAAGCGTGAAATACGTCATGTTTTAGGTTTCCAAGTAGTTAGCTACCTACACAAATCATGGCATTTAAAAAAATCTATACAATTGATAAAACCAATATACAAACGTGGAAAACACTTGTTTCCACATATACTAAATTTTAAAAAGTGCTCAAACTGAAACTTTTTACTATTCATTTACTACTCACCTCGTACACAACAGCAACTAAGTAAAAGTTTATCTTTACTTTTAAATTTACTTTAAAAACTCGATATTCATTATATTTAACAGTCACAAAATAGTAACAAACAGTTATCACTTATCACAGTCGTATTGTTTATTATTATACACAATTAATTTATGATTTCCAAGTTTTGGAAGGCAATAAATAGTGCGTGCTGTGTTCACAACACATGCGATGTCAGAATGAAGCACACGCAGAAAAATGGCACAAAATTTACGCGTTGCTAATCCACATAAGAAGTCCAAGAGTCTACGAACAATTCGCGCACGCAATTCCTTAAATAGGTGTTCACTAGATTCACAAAAAAGTTCGCGACTTTGTTGTAGGTGGGCCCAGTCAACGTGCGAATGTTACGATGAGCCCAACAAACGCCTGGCGAATGAACGTCGCGCGCACGGGGACGACAAATATAATGCACATTTTAATGACATTCACAATAAAAATCCGTAACCGATAAGCAGATTTTCCCGCTGCCATATACTTTTGAATGCTCATTAAAGTCACTGACGTTTTACTAATGCACCAATACGTAATTAAGAGCGAGTTTTTGTTCTCGTTAGGAATGTCTAGACCCAGACTTTAGAAATAACATGTACTATTATTAATTACGCCACTTATACCAGCATAATATCGTTTGATACCTGCGAAACCTTTAAAATTGCAATACTGTTGATGCATTGTAGACATTCTGACACACTGATTGTACAACTCATAATTTGTTTATGATCTACTGGTTTTGAAAACAATTGCATTCATTGATACATTTATTTTATCGTTTGTATTGTATTGTACGTTGTGGCGCAATTTAAATGTTAGTAAATACAAAATTAAAATACCGAAACATTGACAAGCGACATTGTTTTCAAAATGGCGGTTTAAATGTAACAAAAACAACATTTTACTATAAAAATGTAAAATTGTATTTCTTTCAACTAATCGAAGCATAGAATTAGATAACTATGTATGATATAGTAAAAAAATAGTTAATTTGATCATATGAATTCGTGTATTAAATAATAAAGTGTTGTTTTAGATTTTTAATTGTTGTGAATCCCAATTTAACTTGTTACCTATAAAAAATGCAAATCCTATGGGTTAATCGTCCGAATTTAACTGGGAATTTTAACTGGTGACATTAATACTATGTTTAATAACACTTAATTTGTTGACTACTATTGTACCACGGAATGATTTCCTCGTTTCAATGCCATTGTCATTTCCATTATGTTTAATTTAATTGTTTTATTCTTATTTTTATTATAATTATTTGCTTTGCAGCGTACTATTTGCGGTTGGTAATTACACAACACTTTATCTCTTCATGATTTTTTGTCACTTTAATCGCGTTAAATGTAAAAAATATTTATAACGCTAAGGAATGCTTGAACGTGCGTGATGATACTACACGAATACCTAATATTAAATGTAATCTAATATTTTGGTTTGTAATTAACACTTGTGGTGTTTAGCATTTATCATTGAAAGATGAATACCTACTACGAAAATTAAACATTCTTTAAAAGTATTAATAGATTTGCTTCGAGAAGTTCCTTGAACTTAATTGGTTATTGGAAACGTCTAGAATGCGCAAAATCTTCGTTAACTGTTGCTAAGCAACCAATTTGTCTGCGACTTTGGCTGATAAGTTGTTATTCCATGTCGATGTTTACATGCCATACTTTTTTAGTTGTTTGGTAACCAACACAAGAGTACCTCACACCACTTTTTTGTACAGGTATGATTTTATGATTCAAGACTGGAGCGGAAATTTCCACTAATCTATTATAGTTTAGTGCTTAGCAACGTGCAAACACACGATAGCAGTTATGATTAAGTTGTATTAGTTTAAAAGCTTCTTTGGACTTTAATCTGAGTATCTCTTGCTTATAAATATGTTAATAGTTAATTTGTTTTTAGTTTTAATTTGTCTAATAACTATGAAGAAGTTTCTAAAAATAAATTAACCGTCAGAGTTAAAATACTGGTGAAATATCATGTAGTATATAAAATATTAACAATTTAACACAAAAAACTAATACTTTAGCAATAAATGATCATAACTTATTAAGGGCCTGTTGAAATAGGTGTTAAAATTGAATTTTTAAGGTTTTACAATCAGATAAAACGTTTAAAAAGTCTTTGAGTCTTGAGTTTTGTTGATGCCTAGAGCAATTCAGTTGAACAACAACTTTTTATACTAATTATATGAATTGATTTACTGTTCAGTTTACTGCTCGTTATTATAGTGGATTCTGTTTTATAAACGTTCAAAATACAATAATTTTTAATGCCAAAAAATTCGTTTATTGCGTTAACCTGTGATTGGATTGTTCGTTTACCATTGATATCGCAAATTGTTTATACACTTCACGTTTTTATTCCTTTTTGACAAGCCAGGCACCGATAAATGTTTTATAATTGAATTTCATACTCCTGCAATAGTAATAAACCTTCCCAAACATGCACAAAACCATTGCATTTTGTTTTAAATATTAATAAAACAAAAGATGGACAAACCAATCAATTGTGAGCAATATTACCACTGCAATAAAACCAATCTACTCGAGCATCGCTCACATAACACACTGCTCGTTGTGCCTATACATAATTGAAAAATGCATGACAGGTTTATGCATTATGACTCTGTGACTCTACAAATCGCTGACAATGGCCATCAACAAGAATACTTTAACTTTTAGTGCACTCACGTGCGTCATGATTGTTTGGGTTTATCACGTATTGATAATTACCAAGCGTAACCGATCTAATTTAACATGAATATTTATGTTATGTTGCTTTTCAATTTTCTTATTATCATGATACTGGTTTGTCATTGTATCTGTGTAAATAATCACAAATTTCGCAGGTTTAATTACTGATTACTTCTCTGTTATTTTATAACATTGCTTATTATGGTGTACGCTTTAAATTTGTTAGCCGCGACCTTGCGACATGGAAATAAAATTTTAACGCGGACTCAGCATGCGAATTCGAATTATGACAATTTGCTTTTTAATTCAAGCAATTCGGTACAAACCTTTTTTACAAGCGGACCGATAGCGGAAGTAAAAACATAATCATAATGGCTGATTTATGATTATATGAAAATTGCTTTTCTGGACACAATGTTTTGTAAATTTGTTTGTATATACTCGTAGCGTTCTGTTAGTCCAATGAAATAGAATGAATTCGAAGAATCGCTATCATTTTCTTTACATAACTCAAACTTGCCCAGTCAGGCAACAAAAAAAAACATGATTTAGTTTAGTAATTACATTGGTACATGCTAAAGTCGCATTAAATTTAATTTGGCTTGGTGAAATCGTTTATATCCATATCCCATTAATTTATTAAATAGAAACAAAACTAATGCATCTGGAAAGCACAAATTACTATTCTATCCTAAAGACTGAAGTAAAATTTTTATGTTTATTCAGAAAGTATAAATAAAACAAAATTTACTTCAAATACAAATCGCCATGTGTAACTTTACCACTCAGCCGAAATAAAAATGCAAACACGTGAATTCCCTTAACTTGCATAACAATAATGAGTAATAAGAAAATAACTAACTGGATTTAAACATAGTAGAGTTCGAAATTTTTAGATAAATCATATCACGTTTTGTCATTAGCCAAAATACACACGGATACGTTCTTGGCTAGTCATATTTACTGTTCGTTAACATTTTATTACTGGTACTATCTTTGATCAAATGGTAAAGACATTTGATGTAGATTCTAGCGACGATGCGAATGGTGCGGCGATTGTTGATCGCCGGAACGCTCTCGATTTCTATCTCTATCACGATCCCTATCGCGTCCTATAAAAATACACAAAATATTATACCATAACAACCTTCAAGAAACTGAAAATGCTGAAATATTTGCCTGAATGTCGATGGTGCGAATGTCTGTCACGATTTCTGTGCGGACCCACGCTGCTTGTATTGTTCCCAAAGTGTCTTCGGTTTACATTTCGATCCTTATCCCTACTATCCCTATTATTCCTGAAAATTAAATAAAATATCGTAAATTATTTGTTTTTTTGTATAAGTTAAGTTTACTTTATGCCGTTATTGTGATCCCTGTCACGGTGATATGAATCCCCCCGACGTGGTTCACGTCGATTGAATTTGAAGTTCGTCTCCGTACTTGGGCGCTCAGATTTCAGTCGTATATTATCAATTAATGCCTGCACCTCTTGAATAGCTGCTTTGATCCGAGCAAATCTAAACATTCACACAAATATTTTAAAATATCTGATTTCTTTAGTTTATGTATATGTTTAATTCTTACCCAACATGTTGTTTGCCCATAAGATGATCATCAATCCTCTGTTGAGCATCTCCAACAATCAGAAATGCTCCACAAACCTCACAAACTTCCATTTGCTTTTCTTGGACTTGGGCTGAGCTTGAACTTGTGTTCGGATTCTCTTGAATTCGTTTTAAACTGTCCCTTTCTTCTTTTAATTTATCACACAACTTCATCAAGTCTTGTGCTTGATCAACATTGCCTTGATAGCCAGCCTGTTCAGCCTTTTCCACCAAACTGTTGATTCTATCAGTTAAAGTATTAATTTCTTCTGTATTTCTCTGACACTCTGCAGATACTGGTATTGTTTCAGTTTGGCTCTTCAATTCCAGTCTCTGCTTGCCTTTAATTATCTTGCGGTCCACATCATTTATCATTGACTGGCAAAATCGGACAAACTCCTCTTGGTACAATATCTTCTTGAATGATTTACCTTCTGCAAAGAGTTTTTTCACTTCTTCATCATGGATTTTTGTGCACACCCCCAAATCAGCTCGGGTATTGACAAACAAGTCATGAGGGCAGAACTTGACCAGATAGTATTTACAATACTGCAATTAACATATAATAAATTTTACATTAATGATTATAGCCTTATAAACAATATGTAAACAAAATTTGTTGTATCTATTTGTTGAATTAATCCACTTATACCTCTGAATCTTCCCAGTTTAGTTTCTTTCCTTTCTCATTGGGCGCTACATTTCTATTTCGACCCATAAGCTCATCTAGCAAAGCGGCGGCTGCTAGGGCCATAGTTAAAAAGTGTATCTACTAATCAACTGCTTCTAATTGTTACTAACTAAACCCAGTGTGAATTTTCGATAGGTTAGAAACTCACGATTGTAAACAGTAAACCAGTATATAACTGCTTGACTTCTGTTATTTACTGGTTGGCGTCGCCAGATGGCGCACCTAGTACCACATTTAAGATTAAATTTATTTACTTCGTGGAAATCATAAACCATGGTTTACATTATATTTATTTAAGTTCTACGTTATTGAATTACATTTCTGTTTCAAGTTAAACATGTTTCGCCTTGAAAACATCGTCTTATTCATCGTATTATTAACATTAATTTTTAATTTGATTTTATTACTCAAAAGATAAAATGTATCATCAATTTAATATCTTAATTAATAGTTCTCTGTTTATAATGAAGCATATTGAGTAAATTGCAATATCGATAATACAAGGACGTAAAAAATTCAGTTTTCATCCACTGTTTGAGTTTATCGGAATATCATGGATATTCCATTCGAAAAAATTTGTAATTATTTCAAGTGTTATGATACTGGTGTTAAGACACTTCAGTTAAACCAAACAGGAAGAAGATTCTTAGCAAAAGTTGGATTTCACTCTGACGTTGTCGATTTTCGAGCATATTTGAAAATGATTCCCATCACCGTCTTTTTTCATATGTTGATGTTTGGTCAATTGGGTCATTTGATACATTATCTACGTAATTATAAAATAAAACTAAAAGTATTAACATTACTGATTCATATCTTCTTTCAGAACATAATCCGTTTTCTTTCTTTGAAGTAGCCGATGATATCGCAGTTATACTATCAACTGAAACAGTTACTTTCGTAACAATATCAATGGGCTCATTCTCTTCTGAATTGGATAAAATTTGTATAGAACTTGGAGATTTTATTAATGCAGATTTGGGTAGAGCACGAGGCGTTGAAGCTTTGGACAAACTTTTTGCGAAATATGTTTACGCATGCATCTTTGCCTTTGTATCAACTTGTTTCATAACTTTCGTCTTTTACTTTATTGACAATTGCGCACCAGACGAAGTGAGCAACTGCGGATTTATATTTACGCCATATTTGCCATATATTGATATCTATAACAAACCATGGAGGCAAATTTTTCTGTTATGTCAATGTTTGAGTTCTTATACAGGCGGTGCTATTATTTTAATAATTGTATCGCAATACATGTTTGTCAACGAGGTGATAATTCTGCGATTTGATCACTTGGCAAGTTTAATTAAAAGAATCCCTAGAACAAAGCAGGAAGATAGACAGGCATTGCTTGGAAGAATAGTTCGATACCACAACTATTTATTAAAGTGAGCGTTGTTATAAAATTTAATTGCTTTATTTAATTTTTTTTATTTAAATAGAACCAACAAGGAAATCAACCGTGCATTAAGCAAAGCATTTGCATTACATTTATTTGTCACACCTGTTAATATGAGTGTGATTGCATATCAACTGCTTGGCAAAGTAAGAACGTGTCACATCTTAATAAATTAGAGTAAAATTATCATTTATTTACCGTTTATATTTTAGGAAGTAATTTTATCATCAGTAATCCATCTATTGACGTACGTTGTTATTGTGACCTTAACTTGTGGAAGTGGCGAACGTTTAACTACTTCTGTACGATACATTTGATTTCAATCTAGTGTTATTACTATATATTTTGTTTATATTTCAGTCAGAAGCTTTATACAACATCATTTTTCATTCTATACCATTGGAAGACACGAAAACAGCATTAGATATGAAGTTTATCCTATTAAAAACCAAGAAACCAATTATACTTCTTGCTGGCAGTCTTACAACTGTTAACCATGTTTTAATGAATGAGGTAAATCATTGAATTTAATATACAATGCAATAATAAATGAAATAATTGTGTTTTAGATTTATAGAATGGTATGGTCGGCACTAACAGTTTTAAACAAAACAAAATGAAGAATTCGTTCAATAATTTTAACTTATTTTTACAGAAATGACTCTAATCTAAATGACTTTATCAAGAATAGTTAAAAAAATATAGGTATTGAATGCTATTAATGAAATGTGCTCGATTCTTTAAGAAAATTCAGCATATACACGTGTCAAAGACATCGAGGTCAATAATTTGGAACAAATCAGCAAGAATAATATAATAACAAGTTAAAAAACGACATTTAATTATGATTAAAACAGATAACATTTATTTGTGCCTCGTGAATATACTGTACCTATAAATTATTAATTCTTTAACTACTATAGACTTTATTAATCATTTCATCTACTTTGTAGTATCTTATTACACAACCTTTATTAGTAACAACTATATTCAGATTCTGCTACTGTGAAGGACTGTCAAACTGCACAATAACAATAACATATGTAGTTAACATATTAAATATAGTTATATTTGCCGCATAATCTAACTCGAAGAAACCAGCCGCACTGAATTCTGGCGCAAAGACAATTGCTTCATTTGTAAAGTGAGAAATATACTCCATCCAGGATTTATTGTAGCTTATTGGGTTTGTTTGGAAATGTCGAGATATTTTCCGATAACAATTAGCAATAATTTCGGTATTCCATTGTCTTATTTGAGCACATTTGTTAATAATCATAAACCACCCAAACTGAAACAATTACATCACATTTAAACAGCTAAACGCAGTTTTCCCAAAAGAAATATTTAAAAAATGCAATAATGATTTGAATTTATGTTAAATTTTGTAAATTACGACGTGGCAACTTACCATATTAATCAAATTTTTAATTACATTTTCAATTATAAAAGTAATTTCATGATATTGATTCCAATATAAAAAAATCATCACATCATTTAACAAAAACGAAAATATTGAAATAGTAAAAAAGAATATATACGTCCCAAACACATCATTAAAACCAGTAATAATTTCATGAATAGCTTCTTGAATATCCAACCAATCCAAAACAATATCATTCATCAAATCCACAGTCAACGAAGGTTTCACATGAATATATATAGATGCCTGCTTTGATTGCACCTTATTTTCGTACATAATCAATTGGCTTAAATTATTGCATCGTAGTTCAATGTCATCCAGCAAGCTTAGTGTACAGAACAATATCAACATCTTAATCATTTCACACCATATTGCCCAGTAAGACAGAAAAGTATTAAAAATAATGTGAACATATGTCAACCACAGGAGTAGAAAAATATAAATAATTCCATATTTAAATTTATTTTGCTTTTGGTGTGGAAAATCAAGGTGCTTAGCGAAAATCTCATCTATTTTCTTAAATTGTCTTCGGAAGTTTTGACATGTACGTGCGTTCAATAGATTAAGTTGCAGGATCACAATCGTTGTTGATACATAGTTGGAAATAGCTGAAACTAAACTCATACATTTGCTTGCTTTTTGAGAATTTGCACTATAGACGGGAACATCAGCGCTGCCAATTGACAAAATTACTATTGACCATATGTCAAAGATTTGTGCAATCAAAAGATGCGTAATTCCAATAAATTTATGAATATGTGTGTGGTTTATTAGCCAATTACCTGGAATTAATCCTATTAAACGACCTACTTTTATTAAATAGTTATCCATGATTCTATAAAGTTTACAAGCATCTGAGCTGGTTTATAACTGTTTTTGAAATTTATAAATTGTGATCGTTCATAATTTATTATGAAGAAATTTGGTTTAAGAGTAAATTATATTGTCATGTTTTCTTTAACGTTTCTAATATCAAATGTCTCATATATTATTAAAATTCACACAATGCGCTTGATCGATTTAATGAAAAGACATGTTTTTATATATTAAAAATATCCGAAATCTTTGTGCGTTCAAAACCTATTGAAATCCAGATTTATTAAAATGTCAAGCTGTTTTCACACCCTTCCATCAATTTTATTGGTCAACTGTTTATGTTATTGGTGATACTACATTCGGTAAATAATATACGAGTATTCTCTTCATAATATGAAGCATTGACAAGTAAATGTGTTGAGCCACACCTTGTAGAAAAATGTATTGATAAACACGTTATAATTACAGTATAGATATAAATAGATCTCTTATTCATTCTCTTTCAATGGCCTAAGTGAAAAACACCGAATTTGTGCTGAAATATTGTTTAATCAAATTGTGTTTGATAAAAAAAGTAAAGTGGCATATGTACTTTATATAGACATTTATATTTTGACAGAGTGGTGATGTGAATACTTTTTGTTTACTAAATAGGCTTTGATTTGATGTGATTGATGAGGTTTGGAGTACAAACATTGACATAAAAAGTTATAGGTACGACAAAAGTATAATAAAATTCTTTTTGAATGAAGAAGAATCTTTTTGCAAACCGAATTAAATTTAAGCATTAAGTTCTACTACAATCTGAGTGAGTTTTTTCAATTACAAATAATGAACCAGTAAATGATTATCTACCTCGTAAAAATAGAAATATGTGTATTAATACACGTTGTGTGGACATTTCCGCATAGAAAATTATTACATGACTTTTATTATATACATTTACCTTAAAATAATGAAATGAACGTTGATAAAATCATGTTACCAATCATATTTTACGACAAATTATCAAAATGTTTCAAAATGACATACTTGATTTTACTAACATAAAAAGCAAAGTCTACCCTTACAACCGACAGTTATAATTCTAAAATAATCCAAGATGTGTACTTCAACAAAAGTTACAATCAAATTGATAATATATTTTACATTTATAAGTCTAGTTGGTTCATCAATTGTCCAAAACAAGAGATCTACGTTTAATACTATATATAATAATATTGACATATCATCCGCAAGTGAATGTATTCAGAATCTAACTTATGAGTTTTCAAAAACCAAGAATTTAATAACCATATTGATCTGCAATGTAACCAATGAGCCTGGATTGTCAATTATATCTAATGTACTAAGTACCTTACACAACAACCCGGAATATGTGTCTTTCACCTATGAAATAAGTAATGGAACACAGATAAAAATGAATTCATTCGAAATGTGTGTCAACAATTGCAACTCAAGAAACACTTCGATGAAAATATTCAAAAGTTATTTTAAAAACACTTGGCAGACACAAATTTATCTTGTGTTCATAGATAATCTTCAAGACTTTGAAAATAACCTCAAGAAAATTAATTTTATGGCATCCTACAATATTTCAGCAGAGTTTATTTTATTTTATACAAATATACCAAACAACACGAAAGTTCTTGCAGAGAAAATATTAAAAATCGCATACAATCATTCAAAGTACATCGCAACTCTTTTAATACCATCTGCCAGAGATATATTTGACATGTATGTCTTTGATTTATATGCAAAAGACTCAATTTACTGCGGAGCTAAACCAGTGCTGACTTTATTAAACACCTGCAATCAAGGAAAATTTAATTTTACGACTTATCGACATATTCCTAATTTTAATAAATTAAACTGCACCATTCGTGTGGAATTGGTCTACACCCCGCCTTTTGTTGTATCATCTACTGATGGAATTGAAGTACGATTACTTAAACAAATAGAGAACCGCCTTAACATAACCTTTGAAATGATCTACTATAACACAACATTGAGATGGGGATCCAAACAAAGTGATGGCAATTGGTCAGGAATACTTCGCAGAATTTACAATGATCATTTTAGAATAGGTGTTGGTTCAGTTGCTTTGAGAGAAGATCGTCTATTGGATTTTGATTTTTCATTGGATTACTTCTCCGAGGAGATGTTCTGGGTTGTCCCACGAGCGGAACATGTAAACGACGGATCGCTTCTGTTATTTATGTTTACTAGGAGTCTTTGGATTGTTCTACTGGTGTTTTTGGTAATCATCGCAGTGTTCTTCTGGATAGTTAGTAATGTTGAGCGTGAATGGATGCCTATACAAGACAATAGCTTGAAGAAAATTGGTCCAGCCATTTTGTTTTCTCTTCAAATTTCACTTTCTAACTCAGTAGTAAAACATCCATCTTTATTTGCTAATAGGATGATTTTTATAACCTACGTATTATTCTATATCGTCATTAGCAGTTTATACCAAAGTGCTTTAATTAATATATTAACCAAGCCCAAGCATAAACATCAAATTAAAACTTATGATGAGATATTGAAAAGTTCCTTAGAGATCGGAGGTATATCCTACGTGCAGGAGTTTTTTCACACGCCAGAAAATGAAAAAGCAATGATTATTTATCATAAATACAATTCACTAACAGCAGACGAACCACCAGATTTTTGGAGGAATATGGTTGCTGATGGAAATGCAATTTCGATTTTAGGCAATACTTATTTAATGTATTATGCAAAAAGAAACGAGTTGTCTAGACGTGGTCAATCATTGAGCATTTACGTGGTAGATCATGAGGTATTCGTTGACACATTCCGAATTATTTTCTCGAAGAATTTTATTCTTAAGAACCAAATGGATAATGTTATAGAGAAGGTAATTTATGCAGGATTTATTGGTAAATGGACAAGTTTTTACTCTTATAAAAATGTACATGAGGCGGTAAAGAAGATGAAGAGACATAATAAACGAAATGTTCCGCTGACCATGAAACATTTAAAAGGAGCTTTCATAATCATTCTCACTGGCAATTTTCTTGCGTGTTGCGTATTTATTTTTGAACGTTTTTTGTGGAAATAAGCTAAATAAATGTAAATTATGAAAGAATTGTTATTGTACAACGAACATTTTGTATTTTACCAACTGCATTTAATAAATATTGTTGATTGCGACTGTTTAAACGTCAGTAAAGAACCAAAATATAAATAATAAGTAATTGAATAGCGTTGAGGTAATAAATAATCGATTCGTAGGTATACTTGGTTGCATATCGTGATGGAACAATTTATGCTTTAGTTTGGTTATATAGATCGTGCTTCAAAGCTTCAAAGCTATTTATTTGAAATAAAGTCAATTTTGCATAGACTACAACAAATATAAATACCTAAGATATCGAATTTAATATTAAAAATGTTTTCCATCT